AAAAAAGTATTTGAATCAACTGAAGAGCCAAGACAATATAAAGGATGTTAACGAAAAGGTCTTTGATTTCTATGAGGAGATACTTATTTTAGCTTCCGAAGACGCTGTACGCCAATCTCAAGAGAATGGGGAGCCTTAGACACTGGTAGAATCAAAGGAGTTTATGCTGGATACAAGAAACGCCTCAAAAATTTCTGAACGTGATTATATTTACCAAATTTGGTTACCTTTGCTCAGCAAATTATATAATATCAACAAAAACATCGTACGAATCAAAACAGGTGAAACCGTATCAGAAAACACCACTGAGTCGAAGGCCAATTTATATTACAATCATACAAATATCATTGGTTTCAAGACTGATTTGCGTATACTAGTTGATTTTGATGACGAGGAGTTTGATTTAGTGTGTGGTGAAGGTTGTTTGCGCGATGCAAGTGATAAAAAAATAAGCAGTGATATTAGTAAGCTGGCCAGAGAAGGAAAGGAAGCAGAAGTAGCAATTCAACAAATATACAATAGTATGGACAAATATTCTATCAAAAGCAGAGCATGGCTGTGTCAATTTATCGGTCCACGATGTATTTTTTCCACTATTCATGCAACAAAGCACCAATACCATGTTATGATTCCTGAATTCAGTTTGACCTTCCCCACCAGCTTTCTCGGATCAGATGGCATCAGCTCGATCAGATGTTTATTTACTTTTCGTGACAGTGTTGAAAAAGCCGCTCTTGCTATAAAAGAAATTCTCGGTGAAAACAAACAAAAGATTACTACAGCAAAAAACTCCAGTAGGTGCTTATCTTTCATTCCTGAAAAATTAAATATCATCCCAGAGCCAACATGGTTCACTCCTCCCCACGCTGATAGAAGTTTATCAAGAATCCCTAGTCATATGGTGTTTGAAAGTGGTGTTGCAGCCAATAATAATGTGGCTTGTTGTTACACAGGATAGGATCTTTCCTATAAATACGCTTCCTTTTTTTTATTTCTTAATAAATATTCTTTAGTTTTGTCTTTACCTAAATTTGGGATTTATCTTGTAATTGATACTAGTAGTATTTCCTCCGCTTTTTGTTGCTGTTTGTTGTCTATTGTAAATTATACAATCACATCATCTTCTTACATAAACCCGTCGTAAACTCTTTTATCTTTGACATCTAAGAACTATATTCTCTTCTCATCTCTCACTGTATTATTATCGATTTGCATTTTATTGTCTTATCCATATATTTTATCGTCTAAGATCACTACAGAAATACTCTTAATAAATAATAAAACTAAGTTGACAACTAAAAGTCTGGTGCTCACTATCACAATTGTTATATAATAATAATTGTCCCTTTTTAAATCTAAATCCGTACTAGCGCTATATCAGTGGTATAGAAAGTGATGATGGCCAAGACGATCAAGAAGAGTGCAGCCAAAAAGCAGATGTATATGGTTTCATCAAGACTAAAACTGGTTTAGCACAGTCGCTAATGCAGAGTTTACAACACACCCATTTCATGTTTAATAAAAAAAAATTCTAACAAATAACGTAGTCTTTTCATGTATTGTTTTTTAAGCAGATATTCTCGACTGTATTGTTTTTAATCCTTGTTGTTTTCAGAAAGAAAATGTCACGGCTTACAGTCGTATACTCAGATACACAAGGTGATTGATTATAAGAATAATATCATGTCGGTCGATATTAAAATCAAGGGATTGTTCATGCACAGACAAACAATTAAGCGATAAGAGGTCAAAATACTGTTGGAGCATTAGGAGTTTCTTAATACAATAGTTATCTCACTGAATACTTATTATATATTTTTTAATACAAAATAACCTTTATTAATTAATTAATAATGTACTAATGTAGACTACATATCACTTTAACTGATAAAGAAGAAATATGTATATAATTTGTCGAGGTGTTTATACAAGGTTCCCCGTGGCACAGTCTTATTGCGGCAGTTATCATGGTTCTACTACGTCGTAGCAAAATTAACAAGCATTTAGTATCAGTAGTAATATCTGTAGGTTTTGTAATTAAAATAGCCCGCATACCATGTATATATCTACGAATTTTTTTCTAACTGGAATCATAATGAGACGACAGATTGTGAAGGAACACCGAGTTTCTTAAACTTCAAAAGAGGAATAAGCAGCATCAAGTTCGGAAAGCCATCCTACCATGCTTTACTAATCCGAAAGTTAGGATTCTACTCCTTTTTTACAACAGTGTAGTCCTAGAGGTTGAACAAGATTTGAATCCTTCAAACGTTCGGCCAACTATCCTATGGCTCCTTCCAACCTTGAGTTATTGCATAACCAAGGAATAAGATGGCATGTGAAGCGGAGCAGTATAGCTGAGCTAGTAATAAGAATTGGTTGTTGCCCTCTTTGATAGTCAACAAATTGCAAGAAATACCTAAGAGTAAGCATGTGTAATGTAAAATAGCATTGGTCGATATATAATAATACACGGGCATGGCCGCTTGACCTTTTTCGTAATGACAAATAATCTAATTTTTAAAATTTTGTCTTTGTAATTAAAGCAAAAATACAATAAAAGTTAGACTAGAACATGAGTTGACACATAAAAGCATATAAGGTGCTCCTTTGATCGAAAATGAAGTAGTACACGCGTGGACACTTGGAGCGAGGAAAAAACTATGTGAGTTGGTATAATTATAAAAACGTCATATACACTCCGATGATGACGGGTAAAGTTTTCCCGTAAATTGTTTAATAATCGTAAATGCGGGATGGACATTTAAAAAAATTATAAATATTCCATCTTTTTCCTAAAGTGAGATAAAACACGTATTCTCTTTTCTCTATTTTGTTAAACCATGTTGGATAAATACGACCCTTCCACTTATAATCATAAATATGCCGATATTAACGGTCTTCGTATGCACTACGTCGATGAAAACTCACAATCCCCCAAAGCTCTGTTACTTATCCACGGTTGGCCTGATCTGTAAGTCAAGAAATTTTCTCTTTTCAAGAAGTCAAAAAGAAACTCATTATTTTTATATAACAGCTGGATCGGATGGAGAGAACAAATTCCTTTCCTTGTACAACTTGGTTACCGTGTTATTGTGCCTTCTCTTCGCGGTTTTGGTGAAACAGTAGGTCAAAGATATATGCATGAAATTAATCGATACTAATATGTATAAAAATAAAAGGTATCACCAGCTGATCCTGCCGAATACGGTTATGGCACTGTCTCCAACGATTTAGCCGGTCTTTTAGACCACCTTCAAATTCCTACTGTCACTGTCATTGGTCACGATTGGGGAGGAGCTGTGACTTGGCGATTCGGCCAATTCTATCCAGATCGAGTCAAGGCGCTTGCCAGTTTTTGTACACCCTATCTTCCTGTGGCCCAAGAAGAAGTGACTTTGGAGCAAATTGTAAAAATTTTGCCCAACTTTAAATACCAACTTTACTTGGCAGGACCTGATGCTGAAAAAGATATGAATGACAATTTCCCCAAATTCTTCAACCGTATTTTCCGTCCTATTGCCGATATGGAACCCTTGATTGACCCTGAGCTTGGTACTTTGGCAGAAGGTCGTTCCGACCGACCTCGTAGTGATAAGATCCCTCAAAAAGTAATGGATTATTATGTAGAGGCTTATACAAAGCAAGGTGCTCGTGGTGGTTTAAATTGGTACCGTCAAACACATAACAACTTTGTGCAATGCAAGAATTTAGATCCCATTATCAAGAAGCCTTCTATGTTGGTGCTTGCAGAAGGTGATAGAGCGTTGCCTCCTTCCATGGCTAAAACCACACCTCAGTTTATCCCCGGTGTGGAGGTTCATCTTGTTGAAGACTCTGGACATTGGATTCTTTGGGAACAACCTGAAAAATGTAATGCCTATTTGAAGGATTTCCTCGCTCGTGTGGACCCTATCAATCACAAATTATAATTGTAAATAAACTTTTTTTTTTTATTCTTTGAATATACATGCATGGCTTTAAAAAAAAAAAGATGAAGAGGTATTATTAATCGAGTGAAGGTGGACACGAAGCACCTGCAGCAAGACATAAGTTACGTTGAGTAAATTGTACAGTGTAAATGGGAGTATTTTTTGTAGGAAAAACAGATAAATGATCGTTGCTATGAAAGATTAATTTAGAAATATGTACACTTTCTCTGGTAATGCATTTTGTTTACCTTTCCAATGTACCCTTTTTTCGCTTGTAATCCATGCTTGGCTTCATCTTTTCGTTGTCTTTTTTATCCTTTTGTTTACCGTGCTGTTTAGACCGTTTCGAGTCTAATGTTTCTTGTACATCCAGCGGTGTATCTTTAATCACGTCCCATACACGCACAGTTCCATCCGCACTTCCAGATACCAGGACGGTACTTTCTAAGTTAAAACTAACCGAGTAAATGAAGCCTGTATGACCCGTCATGGTCTTTAATCTTTTTCCTGTGCCTAGATCCCACACAATGATTGTTTTATCCTCTCCTGCTGACGCCATCAGTCGGCCATTCGGTGAGACGGCGACAGTATGTACCGACCCTGTATGACCTGTAAACACTCTAACGCAAGTACCTCGTTGCACGTCCCATAATCTAGCAGTGCGATCACTGGATGCCGTCACCACATATTTTGAATTGGGATGAAATCTAACAGCCTAAGCAAAAAATAAAATAAAAAACGTTGGATCGTTTAGCAAAAAAATAAATCAGGATTATTTCTTTTTTTTGCAATTGTACTTACGTTAACATCGGAAAGATGACCTGCAAAGATGCGTAATGGATTTACGTGATCGCAACTCCATAATCTAGCGGTTTTATCGTGCGATGCAGTAGCAAAATAAAATCCATAGGGTCCGAAATCCACATCCCAAATTGGATAATTATGACTCTTATAACAAACTAAATTTGTAAATGTATCTAGACTCCATAACCGAACTGTTTGCTTGCATGAGATTCTCTTATTTAAAGTCTACTTATTTTTTTGCTTGTACCTGTTTGATCTTCAGAGCATGATATCAAGTATTGATTATCATGACTAAAGCTCACTCCGTATACAGGCCCAGCATGGCCAATCATTTTTTTATACTGTGTGCCTGGAAGACCTAGAATATATGTGGTAAATTTAAGAAAATGCACTTTTTTCTTTTTAAATGAATTTGTCATACCTTGGGCTTTTTCTGCTGCAGATGTTAATTTATTTCCTTTTAAACTCCATACTTTAATATACGATTCGGAAAAACCGCCGGCTACCAGTGTCGTGTCTTGAGAAATGGTCAAACAATTTAGCCTAAGATCATATGCGTGTGTTACTTATGGTATTGCATAAATTGGAAAATTATAATCTTATTACTACTACTTACAAATCATGCGTGTTGTGAAAAGTGTAAATGCAGACACTGGGTAATGCAGCACTGCCTAATGAGACGCGCTTTCTTAAGTCACTGAGTGACTCTAATTCCGCTTGGATATCTGTGCCACGACTAGAATATAAAACTTAAGTTACAACATAAACGTGATTGTGGATATTCTTGATTTTTTTTTTACTAGGAAATGGCGGCAATTTCTTCCATATTCATCGTATCGACCAAAACCTCTTGTTTTACTTTATTCGTATCGGCCTATATATATGTATATCCAAATGTCAAAACTGAATACATGCATATATAAAAAAAAAAGTTGTGTATGTGTACGTTACATTATTGTTGACATGATTGATTTCGTGAAACTCTTCGATTTGATCATTGATATGACCGGCAATACCTTCGTTTTCCGAAGTGACAGGCGATAATTTTCCAGTGACGAGATGAATGTTCAGATGCTGATTGACAATGCGTATCAAATTCAAGAATTTCTTGTCCTGCAAGTACGAGATAAACAGTTCGAATGGGATGGAAGACATGCGAATATTGTATTTGTTGTTAAGATAAAGCGTGGCGATGGCATTTTCTTTCATGTCGTCTGTGCATTGGATTTGAGCGAGGGATTCGATATCGGTGGTATGGTGTTGAATATGATCGTGCTTGTATTTATCGAACAGGTCCAAACCTATATTCATACTTTTTAAAGTTTATGTTTGACATTATGCATACAATTATTTTTTCTTACCTTGATCTACAAGCCCTTTGGACATGAGGTCGAGAAAGACGTGAACAAACATGGGGTATAGAACTGATTGTAGCTCGTGCTATAGAAAGATGCTTTAACATTGTGCTGTAGAGTGATAAAGTCAAAATATGGGGGTTACTTTGTATAAATCCAGGGCATTGAATATCCACTCTCTCAGACTTTGATAACTGTGCATGGTCGCATCCAGATCGCCACCTCCTTGTTCAGCCTCTCGCTTAATAAACTGTACATGGTTAGGTAAAGTTGGTGAAGTGGTGAATTTCTTGGTCAATTGTTCTAGCGAGACAATGTTGTGGTCTGCTGATTCTTGGATATACGCGAGTTCAGATTGACTGTATCCCTTTTTTAAAAAATAGGTTTCAAGGATCTTGTTTACATCGTGATGAGAAGGCATGGGTTGCATGTCCTGCTTGTCCATGTCTCGATTCATATTGGTGAATGAGTAGAAGAAAGGAAAACGGAGCGTCAAAAAAAAAATTAAAGAACGAGTCGACGTCATTCTTTTATTATTATTATTGGAGAAAAAAATCTTTTTTTTTTTTTATTTTTCTTTGTTCGTTGACAAAATGGAAAGCGCAATACTTGAAGAGGACTTAAAGATCTTGGGATCCGATTCTATCAGGGAATCATGCAGTCGTTTCATGTTAGACATGGAAAGATTGGGTGATAAAAACGAGGAACAGGAAGAGGAATACACGGAACCTGCCATTGAATTGGATCGTGTCTACAACGACATGCGAGAGATTCGTTCAGCAGCTATTGAATATGGAAGACGACACAAATTTGCAGTCTCAACATTACGAAGCGGAGCACGTCAATTAGTGCTGGCATGTAAACACTCCGGCTCATATCGAGGCACAAAGAAGACTGTCTTTGTCGATGAAGAACCTACACAAGAAGCCAACGCTTTACCAACAGTTGTATTACAGCAGGAGCTTGATCATGAGCAAGTTGAATTATTTCCACGTAAAATGACTCGCAGAAAAGTCAGTCGAAAGATTCAGTGTCCATTTCAAATCCGAGCTAAACCGATCAAGGGAGGACAATGGATTGTATATAAAATGATATTGGAGCATAATCATCCTATGGCTACAGATAGTAAAGCGTACGCTCAACACAGAAAATTGGATGATGAAACTCAAAAGGAAATCGTACGTCTGATGCGTGAAAATAAAACAAACACACAGATTGTCAAATTCTTGAGTGACAATGGCATTCGAAATGTGGTGAGAAAGGATATTGCCAACTTACGACAAACCCATTTCAATCCAAACAGTAATAAACTGAGCGCAACAGGAAATATCTTATACCAGGTCGAGCCACCAATGGAAAAACTCACACCAAATGTTGAACCAGAGGATCTTGTGGCCCAAAAGCTTGAGGCACAACAAGTAGCAGAAGTAACAGAAGCATTTAATCTATTCAACAAATCAAACCTTAATGGGATTGCACGAAACCCAATTTAAATGATCCTTCCTTTCTCCATGAAGTAGTTTTAAATAAATAAAATTCCAATTGCATTACTTTTTTTTTTATTTTCTACATATATCTCTAAATCTATTGCACTGTGCCATCGTCGTTGGCCTTGGGGAAATCTGGTGGGGCTTCCTCAGATTGTGTAGCAGGTCTTCGGACATACTCATCATACACGGTATGTTCAACAAAGGGTCTTCTACCTAATAAATTCTCCATATCCTCTCTTGTCAACACTTCCTTTTCCAACAATAATTGGGCTACCTTTTCAATATCTCCCTTCTTCTCGGTCAACAATGTCAAGGTACGAGCATAAGCATCTGTAATCAATGTACGAGCTTCATTATCAATCAAGGTACCTGTTTGCTCAGAGAAGGGTTTCTGGAATTGTTGTTCTCCCGAAGGATCACTAAATGAAAGGGGTCCAACCTTGTCATTCATACCGTATGTAGTGACTTGAGCATAGGCAATCTTGGTGACCTTTTGTAAATCATCTTGAGCACCAGTAGTAATGGAATCAAAAAAGATTTGTTCAGATACACGACCACCCAATGTCATACACATACGATCCAATAACTGCTTCTTGGAATAAAGGTATTGATCCTTGGGCAAGTATTGAGCATAACCAAGGGCAGCAGAACCACGAGGAATGACTGACACCTTGAGTAAAGGATCAGCGTGTTCAAGGTACCAACCTGCCACAGCGTGACCTGCTTCATGGTACGCCACCGTCTTTTTTTCTTCAGGTGACAAAACACGAGATTTCTTTTCGAGACCTGCAATAACACGTTCAATGGCATCTTCGAAATCCTTTTCTTCGACCTCTTCCTTTAAATGACGTGCAGCAATCAAGGCAGCTTCGTTACAGATATTATGAAGATCAGCACCACTGAAACCAGGAGTCAATGCAGCTAATTTACGAGCAAGTTGCTCAGTGTCTACCTTGGTCTTGATAGGCTTCAAATGAACACGAATGATATCAGCACGACCTCCAATATCAGGACGATCAATGGAGATATGACGATCAAAACGACCAGGACGCATCAAGGCAGGGTCCAATACATCGGGTCGATTGGTACCAGCCAATACCACGACATGTTGGTTAGAATCAAAACCATCCATTTCAACCAACAATTGATTCAAGGTACTTTCTCTCTCATCGTTACCACCCATTTGTCCACCTTTACCTCTAGCCTTACCAATGGCATCAATTTCATCCACAAAAATGATACAGGGGGAGTTCTTCTTGGCTGTAGCGAACAAATCACGTACACGAGAAGGACCTACACCAACAAACATCTCAACAAATTCTGAACCAGAGACGCTGTAAAAGGGAACACCTGCTTCACCGGCTGTGGCCTTTGCTAACAAAGTTTTACCTGTACCAGGAGGACCTGAAAGAATAGCACCCTTGGGAATGGTAGCACCTAACTTTTCATAGATTTGAGGGTTCTTTAAAAAGTTGACGAACTCCATAATTTCTAACTTGGCTTCATCAGCACCAGCAACGTCCTTAAATTTGACACTGACTTGATTTTCTTGGTTAAACATCTTTGCTTTGCTCTTTCCTACACCAAAGATACCACCGCCGGCACCACCAGGACCTTTCTTTGTCATGTAGTAAATGACACCGATAATGAGTAAAGTAGGAGCGAAATGAAGTACCGTTTGACCAATGCTGATTTCGTCGTGATAGGCAACAGGTAATCTTTCGTTGGATGGAATACCGAGTTCCTTTTGTGCCTCGTCCAAGCTACGTTCGAAGGCTTCGACAGATCCAATAGAGAAATAAAATGAGGTGGCGGGAGAAACGCCCAAAGAATTAGCATCGTTGCGTAAATGAACACGTACACGGTTTCTGTTGAGGACTTCGAGACGTTCGACAAGGCCCTTGTCCAAGAGTTGGGTTCTGAAGGATTGCCAGGTTAATTCTCGAGCATTGTCTGAAGGCGCTACTGCTTTGTAAAGGAAGTAAGTACCTACAGTTGTACCTAAAATTAAGTTCATATTGTTGGGCATTTCGGGTGGTTTTTGTTGATCGTTGGGTTTATTTGAATTGGCATTGTTGGTAGGCTTGGGTTTTTCAGTGGTAGGCTTTTGCTTATTGGATTTGCCAAAGAAACCTTCAAAGCCTTTAGGCACGTTTTCTTCTGGTTTTTTTTCGGTGTATAATCGTTTTTGTAAAAGAGTACGGCGGAGACCTGTTGTACTACGTACAGTATATCTGGATGCTGTACTGGATAATCGTGACAACATGTTGGGTTATTGGGTTAATGTGAAGAAAAGAAAGAAAATTAAAAAATAGAAAATGTCAATAAATAACCCCTAGCGTTATTGACTCTTTTTTTTTTTGACTCATACCGTTAATTCTTTCACGGAAACCGTAAAAAAGAGGGGCGGCCATTAGATTGATTACGAATGTTTCTTAATTTATTCATAGAATTGTAGATATTTTGGTAAATGGGACGTAGAAATAGAGCTTTATTTTAGGGTTGCAAATCTAAAGGGTGGGGGAGGAAAGGGAAGAAGGCGAGTTTTTTCGGAAGAAAAAAAAAACAAAAATTTAAAGAGCAAGCTCTTCCTTGGTCAAGAGACCTAATTCCTTACGAATAGGTTCTAATTCAACAAGATATTGTTCGTATTGGCTCTCGCTGTCAACCTTATCCTTGAGGCCTTCGAAAACACGAACACCGGTAGCAAAATCATTGACACGACGAGAAGCCTTCAAGGCAGACTCGATGACTGAAGTGGCAGGAACAAGATCGTAAGCAAAAGCATTGTTCAATCCACGTTGGAGTTCAAAGAGATCTTCAACATTATCAAAGAACTTGACATAACGTGCGTTGAAGGACTCGAAGCTCTCATCTTCATGGCCAGCAGAGTAAAAACGCTTACCCATGACTACACATGAAATTTTTTTAGTTTACATTTACTCATTTTTCCAAACAATCTAAATCTTACTCATGGGACGAGACACATTGCCAACTGAACGGACAGCAGTGGCACGAGCAATGTTGGTGACGGCAGTACGAAGCATTTTTTAATGTATATAAAAAGTGTGGGGAGTTGGGTGAAAAGAAAAAAATAATTGGCCTCAGCCCAGGGTAAAAACTTCATTGGAGAGCTGCCCACTTTACACCACTGAATATCAAATTTGAAAATGATTGGACAGCACAAAAAATGACGTAAGCTCTCGATGGTTGAAACCGCGAAATCTCATGTATCTTCCTTTCCTCAATCATTGCATTGATAAAGCTGTAGACTGTAATTTCACCTGTTATTCTATTAAAGCCTTACTAGTTTCTTCTTTAGTTTAAATATTGACCTCGTGTGTTTTTATCGAAACAATGCCTCTTATTCTACGAAATAGAGAAGTCTGTAACAACGGATCACCCTTTATCTTCATCCTATGTAAAAAGTCCTGTTACATTAAGACAATTTATAAATAACGTAAATATCAGTATACATCCAATTTACAAATTATGAACAGTATCGTAGGTAGAAGAAGTTGTATTTGTTTGAAAAAAAAAAAGGTGTGGGGATAAGGTAATACAAAATTAAAGTTTTTTTTAAAAAAATGAGTTAATGCATGAAGAGCATACCAGATCCTTCATAAACAGCAGCAATCTTTTGGATAGCGTTGACATAGGCAGCGGTTCTGAAATCCACTTGCTTAAGATTAGCAGTCTGTCTGGTTTCTTGACAAGCTTGAATCATGGTATCTTCGAGACCTGAGTAAACCAAATCGGCTTCTTCAGCACCATGCACAATAGCTTTACGTTCTGCCTCTGTCAAGGATCGACCTGCGTTTTCCTCAACAAGTGCGACTACCTTAGAACGTGCACGTTCATCCCACTTCTTGTTCATACGACCAAAGCGAACATGGGATAAATTCTTGAGCCATTCAAAGTAAGATACTGTGACACCGCCTGCGTTCAAGAGTAAATCGGGAATGACAACTTTACCAGAGGCTTCTAAAGCAGCATGGGCATCAGGAGTAACAGGACCATTGGCTCCTTCACCAATAATCTTGGCCTTAATGTTGGCTACGTTACGCATACCGATTTGACGTTCAAGAGCAGCAGGTACAAGGATATCACACTCTGCTTCAAGAATCTTGGTGGATTCTTCCAAAATTTGAGCGGTGTTAGAGTAGCCACGGAAAGTACGATTGGCACGATAATACTTGTGAAGCTCTTCCACATTTAAACCCTTGGGGTCATAAATAGCACAATCTCTTTCACCCACTCCTACAACTTTAGCACCGTTTTCCTCAAAAAATTTGGCGGCGTGGAAACCAACGTTACCGAAACCTTGTACAATCACGGTACGGTCCGCCATGTTGCCACTAAGTCCCGTCTTCTTTTGAACTTCGGGATAGCTGAGGAATTCACGGATACCATAAAAAACGCCCAAACCAGTGGCTTCGTTACGACCACGAACACCTCCCATGGATAATGGTTTTCCGGTAACACAACCAGCGGCATTAACATCTCCCACATTGAATTGAGCATAAGTGTCCATAATCCACGCCATTTCTCTGGGTCCAGTACCAACATCAGGGGCAGGCACATCAAGTCCTGTAAATGGAGTTTTTTTTTTTGTGCCGTTAGAAATAAGGTGTCTTGAATTATTGTTGTTTTAATTAATACATTACCAGGACCAATAAACTTCTTCTGACACAACTCCATGGTATAACGACGAGTAATTCTTTCTAATTGAGCAACAGTGTACTTACTAGGATCAATTTTAATACCACCCTTGGCACCACCAACTACAAAATTATGTCAATCATAAAGTTGTATTTTAAGACCGCGTAATACTTACAAGGAACATCAACAACTGCACATTTATACGTCATGAGCGAAGCCAGAGCTGGGAAAAAAAAGCTCCGATTAACATGGTTTGTGCTACAAACGCGTTTTTTAATTTACCTTCAACTTCCTGTAAGTCAACTTCCTCAGAGAAACGAATACCACCTTTTACAGGCAAACGATGACGAGAATGCTGAGCACGATAACCTAGATGAAAGAAAGTTAACTCTAAATGTACAGGACAAGAATTTAAAATCAGCTGCTGTTTTTTTTTACCTTCGATGACTTCATATTTGCCGTTTTCAACTTCGATAGGAAAAGTGACACGGAGGACACTATCAACAGCACGAAGATGAGCAAGTGTGTGAGTTTGAACATCACTCAGGCTGGCAGCATGATCATAGTACTTTTCAACGGATTGTAAAAAAGTGGGCTCTACGTCATGACAGGCGACTTGAGTTGCGGCTTTAAAAAAAATTAGTAAATGGCATGATATGTAAATCCACTATAGTACCGGTAGTCATATATCTTAAAGCCAAAGGACCCATAGCTCTATTGATAGTAGCTTTTGGAAACATGGATCTGCTCATGGCAGTCAAGGGACGAGCAGTAGCACTAAGAAACTATCATTAAGTAACGTGTTTCCTCCTTTCTTCTTCCGCAATTGATTTAAAAAACTACTTACGAGAAACTTTTTGCGAGGTAAGCCATTATTTGATTTATATGTAAAAAAAAATATAAGAAAGAAGACGTAAGTAATGTATGGACAAAAAAAAAAGCGTATTTATTGACCCAAATAAACTCGGACAAAACGGGAATAAAAGCAAAATGCACTGTGACGCGCTTTTTTCTTCTTATTTCTGTATATGGTTCAAGCAATCCCCTATCTTGTATTTCATATATTTCCCAATTGTCATCCCTAATGAAAGATGAGAGAAAAAAACTCTACCTATTTATCAGAATAACTTGAAAGAAAAAAAGAGGTGGAATGTTTATATTCATCCGTGAGAAAAATCGGTTGGTTTCTGTAATTGGGATTTCTCCCACGCCTGTACAATAAACAAATTAAAACCAGTTACAGGTTGTGAAAGGCTTCATAACAATAAATGTTTACTTTGACCTTTTCTATTATCTATTGAGCATCTCCGCTATATATGTGGTATCTAATAAGAAGTTACCATTAATGGATAAGTAGAAAGGACAAAAGGCATTTCCAGAAACACGATTTAATATACTGACCAATGAAAAGCGCGGTCTGTCATAATTCTAAAACTTAAAAGTGCCCCCACGTTTCTTTCCCATAAAAGACTGATCTCTGTTATCAAGCATATGAACAATGTCATGTCAGAAACAATAAGATTAAAATTAAGAATGTTTGAAGCAAAGAGTCGATGGTTAAAATATTTCGTTAAAGTTTCAAGTAACACATGTCCACCCAAACTGTTCATAAATCATGCAAATGAGAAAAATAAACAATTAAGAGTTATACGTGATCTTTCATGATCTCTTAAAAAATAACCCCCTTAGTATAACATCAATGACAAACACCTATTTTAAATATCGTGATAAAAAAGAAAAAAGAACTTTGAGAATCATCTCTCTTTCAACAGCGCTCCGAGTTTTATTTAAAAAATGTAACCCAGAAACTGGATACTGTGCTACGAATCAGATGGAAATTATTATAGAAAATATGGTCGTACTGAGATTCTCATCTTCATTTTCGAAAAAGTAAGATTGTATCTGAACCACCTAAACATGAGAAAAAAATTACGCGGAATATAAATGTAGAACATGGAACCTGGAAAAGCTCAATACACTAACTTTGCCATGTTCTGGTCACTTTAAAATGATTGCTTGTCTTGCTCCTTCTGAGTGTAAATATTCTGCATATTACTACTTCTATTCGTTTATCAACTATGCTATATGCACATCAATTATATTTTTTATCTTGAATATCATATTAATAACCTACTACTTCTGCTGACAAAGAAACAAGAAGACTAAACTATTTTTGATTCGGTTCATGATAAATCAGTGAACTAATTTGCGCCACCTTTTGTATTTAAAAAAAATCTTCGATCCATACCTGTTAGATAAACATACGTTAAATTATTTGATGATGGAAATTAGATGACTCTGGTAAAAATATTCTACTGCATAGCGCACTGGAGTAATTTTAAACAAAGCAAAGACAAATTTAGTCGAACAATTCAATTCGTTTTGACCAATTTCTAGCATGCGTTGCTGAAAAAAATGTGAGGGTGTCTTATCCAAGAAGATCATCTTTTATTTATATTATAGCCTTCTTACCACAATGGTTAATAGCTATAATTTAGAGCTTACCCTCTGTTTTGTAAAAATAGTCATATATTCAAATTACTAAGGATCATACTGGTCTGTAATAGAACTATTAACCGTGCGAAGTGTTCTCTTAAAAATTAACAATAAATATCAAGAATATAGATCGGAAAAGTACGCCTAGTAAATGAAATAGGCTACAATATAAATATTGTAGAAAATCTGTCATGGAATCACCGTATGGAGCAATTGAATAAAATATTGGGAGTACTGTGAATATCGTGGAGCAGTTACGTAATACAATGTCATATTTGAACAATGATAGAAAAGATACACGCATGAGCAAATGTCAAGTATATATTTAAATGTTTTTTTTTAAAAAAAAAACCTTTACCAATCCGTTAAAAGCTAAATTAAATGATGCCATTGAAATCTATGAGGACACAGTGTTAGTTTGATCTATGATCGCAGTCGTCGGGACACGACTACGAACACCACAAACACTATAAAATGTGTAAAAATGAAATGCTGGTAGCAGGAATCGAACCTGCGTCGACGCGGCCACAACACGATGTACTGCCACTATACTATACCAGCTTGTTATATTTACTAAATGTTTAAAAATATAATGTTCCAAATAAACAAATGTTAATCACGTGATATACACGTGAAACTGTTTTGATTGGGCAAAATGTTAAAGTCCATATTCTATCCCAACGGCTCACAGAGTTAGCGCAACACTCTCTAAAAGGGCAATTTTAAAATAAAAAGGCGGTTTTTAAAATTCTCAATAGTAGGCGGATTGTTTTTTTCCAAAGGGCGGTTATTGTTTTCTCAAAGGGCGGTTACGATTTTCTCAAAAGGCGGTTGCAATTTTCTCTAAGGGCGGTCTCTTCGATCCTCAGTACTGTTTTTTGAATATGAGTTTACGTTGAGATAAAATTATTTTTCACTTGACGCTGGGGGCCGAAAATTTTACTGTGGGCGTTCAAATATTATCAGTGCGGTGCCCAAATGGTTTTACTTGGTGGCTAACACAGCACCAAAGATCAGAACAATGCATAGAAGAAAAACTGTCTTTTTGTATAGGAACCCTGTTTAATCTTTTTTTTTTCGAAATAACATGCCAATTAATCACCACTTTCTTAAGAAAAGCGGCCGTTTTTGTTTACAAAAAAAGGTGAACAAAGGAAAAGGGCCTATATAAGACACGCTAATTCTCATAATAAAACCAAAAGCGCATTTGAGGTTCTGTATCTTAAAGGTCGAAAGAAAAAAAAAAGAAAAGCATGATATTACACTTTCTACGAATTAAATCCACTAACAATCTTTTTTCTCATATTAGTTTCTTTCTGAATAAAACTACCATTCGCATACCTAGTAAAAAGTAATGTTTTTTTTTCATTTATGGTCCTCTATGAGAGCAATGAATATATACTTTTTTATTTGCTGTAGTAATACTGTGATATATGGGTCTTTTTGATCGGTGTATATTATCATGGTATTATATTATAAATGAATATTGGAAAAAGTGATGATGAAGAGATGTGTTCAGATAGAAATGTATGGATGTTACGAGACCGAATGGTTTGTGTAAAAAATGCTTGAATAACGAAAATAATACATTATTATTATTAAATGCGTAAATGGATGAAGTTGAATAGATGTACTAGACAAACAATAATATAATGCAGTATTATATAATAAAAAATTTAAAGAAAGGATTACTGCATGACAATAACAATGAAAAAAAAGGAATAGTAGTAATCAACTAAAGTTCAATATCTAGACGAGGCACCAAGTGTTCGGTTGCAAGTCCTGTTGATCAGTGCATATAATTCAAATACTGGGACAGCATCGGTGTCATCACTCGCCAAAGCACCAGCTTCATCATCTCGCGCATGAGTAGCATGTCATTCATTCCAGAAACATCGCCCGACCTTTGTCAGCTTGTTCAAGTTCATCATTGATACAAAAGAATGTAGGTTCGATAAGGACTGGTGTATCACAAGACTATCTCACCATAATAACAACTACTCTAATGTAAATACGGAACATATAAGAATCACCGACACAACAAATACGAATCACCGACTTAACAAACATGAACATATAATATATATACAAGAGCAAATTAAGCATTTAATAAAGGATTATCTTATATTTGATTGAAATTATTGTCTCTTAGACATCGGATATTACAAGGACGAAGCATAAGTGAACTGCGCAATTTCCAGCATTGTGTAGCAATTTTCGTGCTGTTTTTTTGTAATGAAGAACGTTATATCAAATCCATTGATCATGAATCCAAAGCATGAGTTCAGTTTCACTTGTCGATTGCACTTTTTGAAGCGATTCCCAAGCGTAAGATATCGAGTGATACTGAATGTTTTGTTGTAGAACTGTTGCCTGGCTTTACTTATCCGAAACCAACAGGGTAGCCAAAGTCGTGTTGCATGATCGTTGAAACAATTACATCGGGACGTATATCAGTTTGCTCCTCATATATTGATTTATTTGGCCATCGTAATGCAACATTCTTATCTTGATTGGCAATAAGCTCGGATAACAAGGCATCATAATATGTTGTTTGCAGTTCGACTTCTCCCAATTTATCCTTGTTGAGGATCTCGACTCTTGGCAACTTTGTTAATCTAATATATAAACCAGTACAGTTAGCAGTAGCTACGGAGCACACACATACACAGTTAAATGACTCCCATATCAACACTTACAAGTTTGCTACTCCTTCTACTACGCTTGCTTTATTACCACCTTCCATGGAAGCCGCCAATGGGAGTAGCTCCAATTTGGCTGTTCTGATGATTTTCGTTTTCTCAGCAACTTCATTGATAATCCTTGTTACCTTAATAAATTCGTCGTCGTTAAATAATTCTTCGCTTCCTTGAGTATCGAGAATTCTTAATTCTTGTAGCATTTATGTACACATCAAGTCAAGGTTGGACAATTGGATTTTTTTTTGCAATCACTATGGTCATCGGGTGCCAGGAACAAGATATTTGCCGTTGCCATGATTTCTTGTAGATCTTTTTCAATTGTAAATGTTGGGTAGTGTGATGAAATTTATTCTTGGTATTGTTTAAATGTGTCAGTGACATTGACGTGTTTAATAATGAACGGGGTATGTATTTCGGTTGGTGTTGATGTACCCGGATTGCTGCTTTCTGAACTATTACTTTTATTATTGTTGCTTGTATTACTGTCATCATTATTGCTACAACTACCAGTATTACTGTTGTTACTGTTACTATTACTTTCATTGTTACTATTACTATCGTTTGCTACTGCTGTGATTACGTTCGCTAATACTACGATCATTATGATTGCTATCGTCAGAATTATTAATGTTGGTACCACGATCACTATTGTTGGTGCTACTGCTGCTACTGCTGCTTTCAGCATTATTATTGCTGTCATCGTTGTTGATTGATGATCCTTGTGGACCTTCTTCGTGAATTATTGCATCAACAAAAGCTGAGCATCTTACACGAGTTTCGGCTTTTTCTTGCTTGTTCTTTCCAAAAAATCTTTGCATTAAGGGACTTCTTCCATTCATCCAAATCTTGAAGAAGTTTTTTTCTTCTGTCCCTACTAAAGTGTCCCCTCAAAATGTTTCGGTATCTTGACACTGTGTATTGTCGATCGGTGAGACCAAATTCAATGGCGAAATTCTTGACCGTAAGAGTGTCGGAATTGTTGAGACACTATTGTGCGTCATTGGAAGTGCGCTTTCGTTTGCCTGGCATTGACTATAGTAGTAGTAGTTAAGAAAGGATTTTAAAGAGCAAAGGGAGTTTTACGAAAGAATAGGGGGTTTTAGAATAAAAATTTAAGTTTGGCAAAATATAAGGTTTATGATTCTGAAACCCCCTAATTCGGAAATGTCTAGACCTCCGTATTTTTTTCAAACGTATTTTTTTTATACTACTTACAGAAATTCTGGCCAGAAGACCAGCAAGCCAGTATATTTACAACCATTTACAGTGCAATCACAGCCATTCACGGTTCATGAGTTCCAAAACTCATGAACTCTCTGCCTAGGAGGTCGCCCTCCTACAGCAAAGACTAGCCGCAGCCGCAATATCACAATATATCTTTTTCAATTTAGCTTTTTTTCAAAGAAACAAGAGTCGCTACTAAACAAACCTTTTTACGTAATCGGTTACTTTCATACGATAAAATAAGTATGTTAAGGGAAAAGAAAATAAGAAGAATACAGTGTGTGAACCAGCTTTATTTATAGATAAACAAGCTTATGTCAGGATGATTTCATTTGTCTATTTTATCATCCATAATGTTTGAGCCTTTACTTAAAACAGAAACACCTGCAAAAACTTCCCAAGCAAGTCAGAATTTGGTTTAATTGTCTATCTGTGTTCCATTAGTAGCTTGTAATGACAGTGAAGCAAAATTTATGGAAAACAGAAATCAATCATCCTATGACGTTTGAACGATATGGCAAGATGTCAATCGACGTGTAGATTATCGCGTGATTCTAAAAAATACGTTTGAAAAAAATACGGAGTTCTAGACATTGCCCTAATTTGACTGGCTTGAATTCGGTTATTAGAAACTTTGGCTTTAACATTCACTAGGAAAAACTACTTCATCCTCATTCTGAATCCTCAGTCACATAAATAAAGCCTCCTATACTTTTTAGTTCACGACTTATAGATGAAGCTATTATGACTTACAAAATTCCTCACAGTTGGTTGCTGTTCTTGATGGTCTTATTACTTTTATCTACTTTCTCCACTCTCCGACGTCATATCTATTTTCCTGTCTTATTATAAACTGTTATATTTGAGTGTACTAGCTTTTCTCCACCTCTCTATTGTTTATATATTATAGTAATAAATCTTTTTTAAAATTACTATATCAAAATGTGCCCTTTCAAATCGTTAAGGTTCAAGCTATTGGAAGCATCGTTGACTGTAATTTTATGTATATTTGACTTTTTCATTTGGATCGAGATTAGGTCTGTGATATTGGAATGTGTAATATGCATATCAATAAGGAAAAAATTTGCCGTTATCCGTGGTGATAATGTAATATGCTGTGGTCACTGGCAAGTTTTCATTCGTTGTTACGAAGAATATATGTATAGTTTCGTGTAATTATCTTCCTTTGTTTATATCCACATTTTATTATAACAACAGTTTATTATTGCTTTTTAAACAATAATAGCAGATGCTTATTCCAGAGGCCATACAATAAATTCCAAAGAATTTTTAATACACCAGACCCATTAAACCAGGAGCTTACTGACTGCTATTGACGTGTTCGGTGTAGTAATCTGTATAAGATAATTCGAGTATAAACATTAATACATACAGTTAGAGCAACACTAAAGGGCGGTTTTTTAAATTCTCAATAGTAGGCGGATTTTTTTTTTCCAGAGGGCGGTCTTTGTTTTACCAAAGGGCGGTCTCTTCGATCCTCAGTAGATATTTTTTACAGTTGTTTGTGACATTTTATTAGATAGGATTGCCTTTTAAGCAATCTTAAAATATGTTTACCGAATGTTGTACAAATGCTCGAAGATGCTCTGGAGGAACATTATTGCAAGCCTCAGTTATTCTTGTTGATAAATCCTCTTTAGTTTGATTTATTGAATATGTTTGACCTTATTTTTAACTATGGACCAAAATTTTTCAATAGGATTAAGTTCAGGCGAGTAAGGAGGGAGATAAATGCACTTATATCCTCTCTCTGTCACCATAGTATCGATCTCGTTAAATGTATCTATTGGTGCATTATTCATTTAACTGCATAATATCCTTTCATTTCCGGAATGCAATCCATTTCATCCATTGTTTTCTGAATAAAATTCATATAATGGCCAGTGACAGTTCCTTTGGAGGCAGGTTTCTTTGGTTTTGATGGTGCGTTTCTTTTGCGATTACCAGAATCGATTTTTAGCCTTTTGAATGTGTGTTCCTGAGGATTTGAGGCTCAATTGACACGACATACTTCGCCGAGATTGCACCCAAAACTGTGTGTGATACTGCTCTGGTGGTAGGAGTGATTACAATAGCTGGTGTGCCCTAAATAGACCATCCTCCTGGAGGTCTCATATTGATATCAAAAGCTGGTTCATCAACAAAACCACAATTTTTTAAGGTAATCCATATCTGTTTTGCTCCACTTCTCAACCCACGCCATGCGGTTTGCGATTTTGGTTAGTTCGTTTCTGGGAGCTGGATGACGAGCGATTTTTTTGAATGAAAGGTTGCATTCTGTTTTGAGGAAAGTTCTCACACTTGATTCTTTCAGTGTGAATGATTCGAATTTTTCAGTAAGTGAACAAACTGCATCCACAACCCTGGCTTGAAGATTACTGTCATAAAAATTTAAAAGGTGAATCTTATGCTTCTCATCAAGCTGGCCTACTGATTTATTGATTTTATTGGTTTGTTTTTCAAAGATATTCCAATCTTTATCCTCTTTCAGTCTCCTGGCCATCTTCATAAAAAAAGTATGTACTCATTTAACAAAAGTAAAAAAAAAAGAATATACCACCCTACAATTTGAAAAATCCGCCTATTGAGAAAAATGGGACTCTTACAGTCACGTAATACACCCTTTCATTTAATTAAATCGGCACAAATTCAGTATGGCACTTTCTTTATGTACTGGGTTTTGAAGAAAAATTTGGACGTACTTTCTTTCTGCTGGGACAGGTAGGTTTTTTAGTGAATTAATTTGAGATGAATAAAAGCTTGACTGGGACAAGTTAAGAAAATGTTGGCATGTTTTAGGAACAGGCACAAGACAGATTAGTAAAGTTTCAAAACCATTTGAGATCCACAACTATCTAAGACTATTTTTGTTTCATTTACAATTTTACTAAATAGTTTTGATTTAACAAGCAACGTCATTTATTTCATATCAACCAAACCAGCAAGTATACAATATGTAGATGAATATACTACTTCTGATGAAAAAATGACAGAGAGAAGAAATGCAAGGCATAAATTCAAGTCATGCTAAGTCGTTTTTTTTTATTTGGTCACTTTGTCCAAATACTTTTAGTCGTAAAAATATATTTGATAACATGAATTTTATTTATATTGGATGCTACAGTCACGACACTTCGAGGTGGTATGGTTAATCATCTGGAATAACTGTGTGGTATGGGAACTTACAGAGGGAGAAAATGTTGAGGTGTCGATTGGATATGCAACTTTGGGGGATGTGGGGGATGGCGTGCTGACAGGTGCAACGACAGATGGTGATGAATCTGCTTGGTAACAGCAATGCCAAAATAAAGGGTGACGCGCAATAACGTACGGATATTTTTCAGTGTGACGAATGAGTAAAGGCAGGATAATATTTCAGGTAGGGTAATGCAGCCAATTTCTGTCATGGTAAAGAAATTGGCATGTATCATTTGTGTCATGTAAAAAACTAATTGAAATCCTACAAAACATTGTGAAATGGTTATGATCCATAAGCACTGTAGCAACATTTTCCTTCTTACCATTTACTTGAAAAGTCAGAATGGGATGGCCACACTTGAAGACGCTGTTGCGTGACAAGACGGTGAGCTTGACTGTGTCCATGCAAAGGGAATGATTGGTCGTGCTGTCAGCTCCAAGCTTCACTTCTCCGAAACCAAGGGATTGCCCAAAGGCACGTTGAACCAAGGTAGATACGATGGCGTCCGGACGAATGCCAGTGGTCATTGTGTCCTCCTTGTTCGGCCATCGTAATACAACCTTCCTCGTAGTATCTGCCATCGATGTAGTGCCCTCAGGCAAATTCTACAATCACATTCCAGCCAGGTAAAGCAACCATCATGGTTAAAATTATTATAATACATCTGGGCAAACTTTACGAAGCCGGATTAATTTTCAGCGGAAATAAAGAGTCCATCGAACGGGTTCCCGGTCAAGTTATTACAACTCGACTGGGTTTACATATCCGTAAGAAAAATTTGTAGGATTGCTAGAGGAATTTCATAACTAAAATAAAACGTTAGTAATTTGAAATATCAATATGAATAGAGGCTCTTCTACGAAAGAGAACCCAGTGTCCTAGGAGCATATCAAAAGCTGATGATCCAAAAAAATTGAGTCGGCTCCGAAGGGCTGGTATCGAGAGAGGTTCATCCACAAGGACTACTGACTCAAAGCATCTCTTTCGCACAAAATGAAGAAAACCCAGTATCCGAGGAGCATGATAAAAGCAAAATGATCCAAAAGAATTGAATCGACTCCAAAGGGCTGGTATCGAGAGAGGTTCATCCACAAAGACTACTGACTCAAAGCATTTCTCCACGAAGGGCATCCAAAAAATCATAGCATGTAGACTAAATACTTACTTCATCGCATTCCTGTAACTCCTTTTCTTTATCTCCGTTTTCTTGGTTATCTCCCTGCTCTCGATCGCCCTCTTCTTTTCGTTGTTAATTACTTGGGGTATTTGCGTCGAGTTCTAACGCTTCTTGGACCAATTTTGAAGCTGTACTTGCCGCCTTCACTAATGTCTTAACGCCTTCATTTACGAAAGTTTGCTTTGTTTCTCTCTATAATAATAATTAGGAACGTCACTGTTGCTAAACTGTAAACATAACCTCATTCAATGCACTTACTATCGAGTCCGCCGATTTGGCAATGTCTTCCCATACTGATTTTTCGTACTTTAATTTACTAGAGAGCCTTCTATAAGTTTGGCGACTAACTTATTGTTTTTTAGTTCTTACCTGTCGCATATCAAGTGGATATTTCTGTGATCAAGCAGCTTGAGTGTAAACCGCTTTTTCCAAGCGTTGTACAGATTTGAGGGGCAAAGATTTTCGTTTTGGCTACACCAGATTGTAATGTCACGCTTATTAAGCTTAACGAACTCTTTAAACAGAGACGGGCTTCCTTTGAGCACAAATTTAAGTAGTTCTAAAGAAAAAGAAAATCGTGAGTCAAAGCGCGTTCGAGTCTTGTTCGCACTCTTAATCGAATGGAATAACAAATTGGAAATGTCTAGACCTCCGTATTTTTTTCCAGCGTATTTTTTCTATACCACTTACAGCAATTTTGGCTAAGAACAGCAGGCCAGTATAAACACAACCATTCACAGTGCAAACTACTGTCATTCACAGCCTGTGAGTTCCAAAAAAAAAACACCTCAAGAGCCCTGCTTGGGAGGTCGCCCTCCTATAGCAAAGACTAGCCGCAGCCGCGATACCGCAATAATAACTTTTTTCATTTTAGCGTCTTCTATAAGAAACATGAGTCATTACTAACTAACCTTTTTACAATATTGGTTACTTTCATTCGATAGAAGTATGTTAAAGGAAAAGAAAAAGGGAGTAATAAAGTGTGTGAACCAGCTTTATTTATAGGCTGATAAACAAGCTTATGTCAGGATGATTTAATTGCTTGTTTCATCTTTCATAATGTCTGGGTCTTTACTTAAAATAGAAACATATGCAACCCCCAAGCAAATCAAAACTTGGTAATTGTCTATCTGCGTTCCAGTAGTAACCTGTAATGACAGTGAAGCAGATTCTATGGAAAACAGAAATCGATCATCCTATGAAGTTTAGACGATATGGCATGTCAATTGACGTGTAGACCTTCACGTGATTCTAAAAAATACGTTTGAAAAAAAAATACGTTTGAAAAAAAAATACGTTTGAAAAAAATACGGAGTTCAAGCTTGAGGTTCTTCACTTTGCCTTTTACCAATGCCCAGAACTGTTCAATTGGATTGAGCTCTGGTGAATAAGGAGGAAGATAAACGTACTTATAGTCCCAACCTCTTTCATAGATAATTTCTTCTTTTTGTTTAGACGAGTGGATCGGTCGTTGTCCATAATCAGATAAAAACCTTTCATTTGATCATTCATAAATGTTTCTCAATCACTAAACAAATTTCCTTTTTGCTACCGCATCATTGCAATCTCGTAGAAGAAGTATGCTAAGAAACAACAGAGATGAACAACGAACAGCGACTACACGTTTTAGCTTACAAGAAATTTGCGGGCGACAAGATAACGGATATATGCCACTCGAGTTTTGGAGATATGATGCCTGCCAAACAGGTTTTATTGAAAGCAGTTACTTCTCTTTTGAAAAAACCTCTATTAAACGAATTTGAAATCTGCGCTTTAGAATCCTCACTGTCAAGCATCTTTAACAAAATTAACCCAGCATTTTAAGAAATTTTATATGAGCAATTAAGCAATCAAGAAGGACCAACCTCATCCCCCTTCGAACTAAAGGGCATCAGTGAAGTCACCCTTGGCTTAATGGAAGAAGTTATTGCAATCAAAGACGTTGAAGAGATACTGTCATTCATATATGAAAAAAAGAGTCAAATGGCCAAGCAAAAGAGGTCATCGGAGGAGTTCATAATGCTCAACTTTGGAAAGAGTTGTGGGGAACTTTGACCTTTGGGGCTCAAGCACAAACGATTCAGAATTGACTTTCTATCGACGTTTTGCCGAGCTGTTGGATATTTTGTTCAAAGGTACTGACGTGAAAATAGCCGATGGAGAAACAGGATCAAAGAGCAGCAAAACCGCAATCGGGATCAACAAGGCTTTGTTCCACACATCAGACGCATCGTCAACGTATCCAAGAAAAATCGATCTACTTCCAAAGCTCAATGAATCTTCCACTGTTGAATTGTCGTCCAGTGAATGGAAGAAATCGTCTGTCAGCTATGTGATAATTGATAATAAAAAGGGAAATGTAAATTGGAAAATAAAGGAAGTAAAGAAATGAGACTCTATAATCCTTTATTACAAGTTGACCAGTTTGTCATGATAAAAATAGAGGTCCTTTTTATATTCAATTATTACCCGCAAACTGGGAAATGGTAGAATTAGATTTTGAAATCAGTTACATATGAAACATAGATTATTGTTATATACAAGGAGCTAGTTGACCCATATCCGGCACTTCTAGAGCATTATAGTTTATCCATTCAATGACAGGGTCCTTGATTGGATTACTAAAATAAATTTATGAGAAACTAGAAGATTCGGCAGCTACTCGACCAATCCAGGAACGATTATGAGATCTGATCTCAGTTTGACATATGAGGGAGCTGGTACTGTGTCGTACCAATAGGAATGTATTCGCAATATGGTACTTTTAATACATAGGTTATATGTATCATAATTGAGTGACAAGATAAGAGTAATTATATTCGTGGAATTAGGCGTCAAATACGACAAGCTAAGCCGTCATTCTCAAACAACAAACAAAGAACTTGAAAACTAACACATGCATTTTATCCACCCTATGTTCACTATACGGCAGCCAATTTAAAGAAGTCTTGGCAATGGATGGGATTGGGAATGTGGGGTACTTGTACAGGATAGAAAAAGACGATCAAGTATTTGTAGCAAGTCAAATAGACAGTTTGATTATACCAGAAAATGTCAAAACGTTTGGTTTATTTAAAAGCAACTTATTAAAGAATCTATTCAAGCTGAAGTATTCTATGATGAACACAAGCGCTCTACTCAAGCAAGAATTGTGCAAGATCGAGATAAAGCAGAAGCTTAAGAATATTTCCAGAAAAACCATATATATCAATAACAATAACGAATTCCCTTATGTGTTTATATCCCCCGCAAAAAGAAAAAGAAAATGCAGTAATGCTAGTGAACAAGACAATGAGAGCGAATAAGATGATGCTGATTTATTGGAGTGAAAAGATATATATATATATATATATATATATGTTTAACGGGAAGAAATGTTGACTTTGTTGGTAAAAAGAATCTCGCATGGTCTACGAAAACAACAATAAATATCCGTCCTTTGAATGTTACGTGTCTTTTGATGAATGATGTTGTTCTAATTAAATAAATCATTAAAAGTGGGCCACTCAAAGCTCAGGTTGGATAATAACACCTGCCTCGGCTGAGCTTTCATTCAGGGAGTGGGGAAAAATGTCAGCTGTATTTAAAAAGGTAACTGTTATCTATTTGAGATTTTCTCTCAAACGCAGTACAATTGTTTATCACCAACCTTTGGCACTTTGTTATTGTCCCTTGTAGTGTGTTAGGAAAATATGTCAACATTATCAGTCTATAGAAGCAACTGCCAAGTAGAGTTGGCAAATTGTGTCAGACGCTAGCAAAAAAAAAATTCAATCCTATACATCATCAAGACTGATTTTTACGCTCTACTATTGTATACAGGTCGCGGCCGTATCTTGACTTTGACAGATGACTCTGTATACTCTGATTTTACCGGTTTCTCCTTTGATATTATGGAGTATTATAGTAATGAATGTACTGATAATGGTGATTTGTTATTATACATGTCTGATTTACATGTGACAGTATTTGTTCTTTTCATACATTTTATCATTCTCCAATATTATAGTCCTGTCTTTTCTGTTTAAAAATAAAATCTTTCTTTTTCAAATCGCTTTTCTTAGGGACAGCCAATTTTTCCTTAGGGACAGCCAAAGTGCACGTAGTCGCAACGTAGGATCTATGGCTTTGATGTTCTGTAGACATGGGAACAAGGATATACAATCAAAAACAATGTAAAAATTACAAATAAATGTACATCAAACGATTTATACTTATTTTGACAATTCTATTATCACTCTTTCGCCTTTGAGCTCGTTTGAATTAAATCTTACGCAGAAATATTAATGTTAAGTCCAAACGGGAAGCTGAAAGTTAGCTTTAAAATACATATACTGGTTTAAACTATGTTAGTTGTGATAAATGTGTATATATTTCAAGTTATTAAGTTCTATTGACCTCTTGATATATATTAAAGTATCATAATCCCAACATTACGACTACGTGCACCCTGACTGTCCCTAAGAAAAATGGCTGTCCCTAAGAAAATTTGGCTGTCCCTAGGAGACCCGTTTTTCAAATAATATATTTCAACAGGCGCCTGAAATTTCATTTTATAACCTGTGAAACCCTTTCTGTTTTTCTTTAATAAAACCCCACTTTTATTTAGTCCTAAAGAAAAAAAAAGATGGCGGATGGCATTAGACAAGCACTTATTTCGAGCTTATTTACGCAAGGTAAAATACGAAATTTCCAGGAAAAAAGTATAACATCTAAATCTATTTAGGCTCGGGCGAGAAACTTATTGTTCATGTAAAGACATACAAAGATATTCAGTCGTCCGATTCCAGCAAAGACATCAAAGGAACCCCGCGTTATTTATGTTTGACCCGTAATGATTTTATATAGACTTAAAGAGAGCAAGAGAGCTAAAGGTCTATTTTATACATTGTAGAGAAAAAGAATGCCATTCGACTTTTAAAAGTAAAGAGAAGCCAAAATGGTACTTTTAGTGTCAGTAAAGCTTGGAGTTTAGATGACATTCGACAAATTCAAATTGTTGATGTAAGGTTTTCGATACCAATTCAAAATCATGCACGTCTAACTTACCTGGTTTCAATTAGGCCCATCAATTTTCCATAATGCTCAATAAAACTTATTTATGGGCTGTTGAAAGAAGCAGAGACAAGATGATTTTCCTCGCATTTTTAATTGACGTAAGCTATACACGCACTTATATAGAAACATGCTGATACTTTTTTATATTTTAGTCTTGCAGACGTTCAGCTAATCGTATGCCAAAACTTGTCAATATCGACGAAGCTCGTATCATTCGATGTAAGACCCCCTATTTTTGTATTCATAGTTAAAATTACAAAGCTAAACCTTTCCCCCCAAAAAAAAATGCAGTCTTAGCTGATCCAGCAGCTCCATCTATGGGCTCAACAAGTAGTATTACACCAGACAACACTTTTGACGATAATCGTGCTAATATGACACAATCACCCGTCGCCCATGACAATTCATATAGCCCATCACCCTCCACGAGTACCAGTTTTAATTATGCAAACGCACCTTCTCGATCTGTACCTGAGTTACAGATCCCGGTCACTCCAAAGTCTACAGTTCAGCAACAACAACAACAATCTCCACAACAACCTGTAGTCTCACAAGCAAAAACCACGCCAAAGCAGCAGCCTATGCCTAAACCTTCGATCGTTATTCAGCAATGTAATTTTTCGGGGTCTTTTTTTTCTATGTTTAACTAGCAGCTAATTATATATATATATCTTGTAGCACCCCGTGATGAAGAAAGATATAATGATCAAGGCCGAGAAGAAAGAAAGGAGCGTGACAGAGCAAGAGAAGCTAAGAGGGAACGAGAGAAGCAAGAGAAACGAGTCGTAGAGGAAAAGCAACGTCAGAAAAAGGCAGAAGAAATCCAGGAAAAGATGACAGAGCAAGCTTCTCTAATGAACGTAGAAGAATTACTGACCGATTTTAATTGGAAAGCAAGTGGTAATGCCGCTGCGCTTGAAAAGAGATTATTGGGCGAATTGCACGCTTTAGAAGCTGTAGGTAGTTTAGAGCAGTAAAAGTGATAAAAGAAGGAACTCATATAATCCAATATCTGTAGGCTAATGTCCATGCAATTATTCAATCGGATGAGCGTGTGCGATCAATTGTGGATCATATTGATAAATCCTTAGACGAGCTCGATAGTATGGAAAGTTGGTTATCACTTTATGGTGCAGAGCTCAACGTAAGTGAAAAGAAACCTTAGAGCACATTGTCCTTCTACCCTCCCTCCCCCCCTTTTTTTTTCTTTGTTAATTTTAGTCTTACACTTGTCATTCTTTCCCGTACATATTAGCCATTTGTTATATATAGACCCCCCACTCTTTTTTTTGTAATTAAACTTCTTTTTTTCGCCCTTTTGTTAGAGTATGGGTGATGATATTCGAGAGATTGAAACACAAAATCGAGCACTTCAAATATTGAATTCAAATCAACACTTTCTCATATCCGAACTTGATGCCTTACTGGTAAAAAAAAAAAAAAAAAGAACTCACACATTGCACAGCACAAGTAAACATAGCGACTTATTACATTCAAAATATAGACAGCCATCTCTATACCCCGTAAATGTCTGGACAGTTTACAAAACGATCCCATGGATACTGTAGATGATGTTATTAATATCCAAGAATCCGCCGAGATGTTACAAAAAGTGATCAAAACGAAATTGGGCGATGGATTACAAGATATGTCTGCAGTGCAGGAGAGACTCGAGACATATAACATTCATGGTAACAAATTCAGTGAACGTATCTTCAAGTTCTTGAAGGAGCAATTTGAATACCAGGCTCAGTTATACGCTGAAACCAAAGCAAGGTCTTCCCCTACAGGAACTAGAAGGGGCAACAACAGTATTATCGTTGCACAGCCTCATGAACAAATCGAAGACCAGTTGATCAAATACCAAGGATTTAATCTTTGGGAAAAGGAAATGGAACCTAGAATGTATAATGAGTTGCAGAGAGTAGGTATCATACAGTAAGAAAATAAATGACACACGTTGTTGATTGTGTTATAGTGCTATGCTCAAGCCAATGCTCCCTTATACGAACGTGATGTTCGAGAATTGATTGATGTTACACGATCATTTTATGCAGCCTTACGTAAAAGAGACGTGGATGAACTTGAATACAGTAAGTAGAAGTTTACAATGGCAGGAAAGAAGAATAACATCCCTCTAGTTTTTAAGCCTGAAGAATCTAGACCCGCAAGAGCTTTAGCGTATGCACCCAATTTACGAGGTGATGATTCAAGACCTCACCGTTACCGTCATATGCTTCGAGGATCTGTCGAGGGTGTTATTGGAGGAGGATTTAACGGTGGTACAGGACGTGCTAGTGTAGATGAGGATGAAAAGGCAGCAGATGATGTAAATTACAAACTGTATGAAGAAAAGAAAATGGGACAAATACTAAAAGAAATGTACATAGGCTTTTGCTCAAATGATTAGTCAAGCCATTATGGCTGTATGCAGAGAGCAAAATTATATGAGTGACTTGTTTGAGCAGACTTTAAACGGCCCCAAGTCTTTCTTGGAAAGAGGGATGGTTTATTCACAAGTACCAAACAAGGCAGATTTGTATGTCCGTAGAGATAAGATTCGAGATGTCAAGATGTCTAAAAAGATTTTGTAAGTTTTGTTCTTTTTGAAATATTTGTAAGTTTATTCTAAAACTGTATTAGGACATGGATGGAAATCATTTTTGAAACTTTGGAACCAAATCTTGTAAGTTTATTGGAATACGGTGTTAAGAGTGACCCAACGTAAGTTTTTACAAAAAAAATCAGTCAAGATGTGAAGCGATCAGAGTTATTCATGCATATTATTTTTTCCCCCTGGTAGTCAAGCAGTCAGTATGCTTGGTGCCGTTGAATTCCAACAAGAAAAATGGGATGGTTCCGATCAAGAGTTTATACTGAGATTGTGTAAATCAATTTTGCAACGTTTAACCAAAATGTTTGAAAGTTTTATTGTAAATTCGAGAATAGACAAAAAGTGGTATAAATGTGGATACTGACACTTTTTTATTTCATAGGCGGACCAAGTTCGTATTATTGAGGAAACGAAGGTCAGCTCCAAGAAACGTAAGGGTATTTTGTCTTTCTTCAGAACGTTTCCCGTTTTTGCCATGAGATTGGAAATGGCAGCTGTCAATGTTCAACCCGAATCCGAAACTCGTGTAACAGTAACGGAGGCATATGAAAAAATCATTCAAGCAATGATGGGAAGTTTAGAAAGTATTGCTAGAGAAAGTGACCAAACTGGTGACGATAAGGAACAGTTAAATGCGACCATCATGTATATTGGTAAGAAAAAAAAACTTTTGTATAGTAAGCGGGTTTTAACCATCATACTTATTAGAAAATATGCATCATATGTATCACACACTGCGTACAAACAAATTGCATGTGCTTGAAAAATGGATTAAGCATGCCAAAACACAGTACGACAATAGTTTGAACGCATATATTAAGGTTATTATTCGCCGCCCACTTGGTAAATTATTAGAGTTCTTTGAGGGAGTTGAGAATATGACGCATACAGGCACACCCGAAGAAGTATCATTTCACATGAATTACAACAAGACACAATTACGTAGAGTGATCACCATGTATCCTCCCAAAGAAATTAAGAAATCGCTGGAGCAATTATATAAGCGTGTTGATAAGCATTTCTCAGAAGAAGAAGGTTTACTTCAAGTAGTTTGGCGTGGTATCCAAGAAGAGTTCATTCGTCAGCATGAAAAGATGGAGGATTTGATCCATAAGTGTTATTCTGATGCAGGTGCTCATTTAGAATTTACCATTCAAGATTTGTTGGGCATGATGAGTGAGCTTGCCCGCAAAGTCAACGTATAACCTATTTCTATATTCCTTCAACAAATAAATCCCAATATTATGACCATTTAACTTTTTGTGTGTCTTTTCCAAATCGAGGGGGGGTTTTTTATTATTTATAATGGGTGTTGTGAAGTGAAAAAGAAACTACAGAAAGTAAAAAAAAAAAAAAAGAGATGCTAGATGATTTAAAGATCCTTCTTGAGAGTACCCATGAATTGATGCTTTTCGGCAGGAGTTTGGAAACGACCATGACCAAACTTGGAAGAAGTATCGATGAACTTGACGTTGACCTTTTCCAAAGCAGAACGCTTAGTGTGAACAGTCAAAGACTTACGAAGAGTAATGACTCTCTTCTTGGAACCGGCACAACAACCCTTGATCATAACGAAATCGTCATTGACGACACCATAATGAGGGAAACCACCCATAGGAGTAATGGGCTTTTCGGTAAGATCGTATTCAGTGGTACCAGACTTGGCATCAGCACCGGAGGCAATACGGTAAACCTTCTTGTTGATTTCGGTACGACGATGGTAACCACGTTGACCAGCACGAGCGACAGAGTACATGACTCTGGAAGGATGCCAGGCACCAATACAAGCGACCTTACGAAGACCACGATGAGTCTTACGAGGAAGCTTCTTTGTACCCCAACGGGCAGTGACACCTTCGAAACCATGACCCTTGGTTGTGGCAATAATATCAATCATCTCATCTTGTTCAAAGATAGAACCGACAGTAACTTCCTTTTCAAAGTGGTTACGGGCAAATTCAACCTTATCGGCAACAGAACCACCATTTAATTGAATTTCCATAAGATGAGCTTTACGTTGATGGAGCTTAGCCTTGGAGATTTGAGTGTGTGCAATAACACGGACAACGGAACAATACTTCTTGATACGTTCAGCTTCACGTGCAACATCCTTACCACCGTTAGCATACTTGGCAGCATATTTGGTGAAGGCCTTCTTCTTGGAACGGTACCAGTTCTTGTAGAATCTACGCTTGGCTTCTTCAGAAAGATGTTCAGCCCAGACAGTGGTTAAAGAACGGAGACCACGAGGGGTTTCGACATAACCGACAACACCAACAATAACCATGGGAGGAGACTCGATAACTGTGACAGCTTCAACGATTTCCTTCTTGTGCATCTTGGATCCAGGACGTTCAAGATCACGGACGATATGGGTCATACCAGCCTTATAACCCATGAAGGCGGTCAAGTGGACAGGAAGCTTGGAATCATCCTTGGGGTATGCCTTGACTCTACCACGGTGAGATCTAGTTCTCTTGCGAGGACCGAAACCTAAATGACCATGACGAGGAGCTTCAAACTTTCTATAAAATTAAACAATTTTGAGAATGTTAGTTTCTTTTCCTCATTTTCTTCATTTCATGCTCTTTTAAATCGTATTTTCAAAAAAAAACGCACCTGTGAGACTAAAGAAGACAGTGACATGTTAGTTTTTGATACGGATGGATGATTATATCAAGGATTATCGTCTTACCATATTATAATGCTGGATGGATGGAAAGAGGAAGAGCAATACGGATGGAACACTGGATACGTTTTTACATCGACGTTAAAACTCCGATTACAGCTCATTTTGGAAAAGTGTACTACTGCTGTGGGTTGAGACAATTTTAACCTTTCACATAGTGTCAAAATCCCTATCAATATCAATAATATGACGATACAGACTTTTTCCAGCTTCAACCTAATATACACTGTTCGTAATTCTCATTTGGATTTGATACGTACACCTTTGGATATCGCTTACTGTTAAAATCATCGACCTTTGATCGTGAGAATGGCCAGCAATTCGACATATGCTTAGATACTTCACTATGTACTAGAGACCACCGATATTAATGGCTTTTCTTGGCAATTAAAATTATTATCATTGAATGTGTGCCCATCGATGATATAGTGTTTGAGTATCACAAATATTCCTCTCTTATAATTTCAGAAGTTTAAGCATCGAGAACTAATTCGGTGAAATGTCGAAAGTGTTGATCAGTTAAAAAATATCTCAAGGGCGCGGCCTTACGTATACCACGTATACCACCAATATCCCACCTAGAAGGTTATCTTGTGCGGGATGATAATCGTTGTGAGTGCGTGTTTTATACCCCGTATTGCGCTAATGAACACTACCTCCTACCAAAGACGACCTACTATCCTATCTTCAAAATGCAATTAGGAGGATTTAATAGAACATAATTAGTGAATGCCAAGCGTATTCGTTACTTCAGTTGCGCTTGTAAATGATCTACACCCATCCAGGCTTTTATTTTTATTTGTGACGAATTCACCCCCTTAGCACGCCTTATTAATTTTTTTGCATTATGATATTTCTTATTTAGACATGATGTATAAAGAATCAGTATCCGTGCGTCAAAGTAGTTAATGAACAAATGCATGGAAATAAAGTCTTATCTGCAAGTTTATGCAACTTATGCAATACTATTTATTTCTTTATTACAGCACTCTTTACAAGTATATGGAATTATGCTACAGTCAAATCAATGTGATCTAAATATTATATTAAACGTAGGGAGGAGAGAATATTTTTTGTTTCTACAAATGGTAGGATAGTTTTGATAAAGGAGAATAGCTTTTTACAAAGCGTATCAAAACCAAATAAAGGCATTCAATATTGACAATGAATTGACCCCCATCTCATATCCTTGGGTCTTGCCTGTGTGGAGATGTGTAACCCATTACGATGACAGTGCTAAAAAAATAAAAGAATGTACAATAGAACCTTAGATACTCTCCTTTCGATCATCGGTGCAGTTAAGGAAGACATTTAGCGATGATGTTTAACTTGAATAACTATTGTTAGTAAATCGGGGCCTTAAACTGTGATGTTGTGATTGATTGATCTTACTAACCTAATGAACATTTCATTCCACCGTGGGATTAATCCTTAGGGTGGGTATACTTGTAAACAAGATCACAACAATAACTTGTGACATGATATTGAATTTAATAAGAAAGTGAACAATAAAAGCAAAATAACGCCCAATAGCAATGTGACATTTACAAAGATTTACTAATAATAAATTACCAATTAAATATAAAATACGGGTCCCTTTTTCTCCCCCCCCCCATATGCTGTGTCATTGTTTTGGTTTAGCTTTTTACTAAAATAAATTAAGTGGTCCCTTAAACAAATCACACGGTCAAAAAAATAAAGGGTTATTTAGTCAGTGCACCCACCATGTGAATCCTTTTGGAAGTAGAATTCCTTTATTCCTTCTAGACAATGTTAAGATTTTTCTGAAATGTACCTGAGTTCCAAAGTATGTTCGCGGTAATAGGGGTCTAATGTTCACACGTATTATTAGAGTCATTCGGTGTTGATTACCTTTCATTCGCATTTACTGATTTAGTGACCTCCGACAAAAGAAAGTTATTGGTTCCTTTGGAGCTCAGTGCATGCTCTACTTCGGGGCTGTACATCCCGTCTCCCCCCCAAAAAAAGCCCCCATTGTTTGCTTATTCAAACATGACAGAAATTACGGATATAAGCCAAATCTATATTCAAAAGACTGACTTACATGAGTTCATAACCATTCTACGTAAACATCATCCCCCCTTATCCCAAAAAAAAAGAGACATTTCGTCACTTCACAGTAAGACAGAAAAAAAATGTATTTGTGCATAGCAACCATTCATTTTATGAAATGCTATCATATAAACTGAAGTCATTTGTGGCGCAGAAAAATAAAAACCTCTCCCATTCAAGGTAATTTTCATCATGCAAGTTAGACTTACTCGTGTCAAATGTCCGGCTAATCAGATCCAAAAATAGGATAAAATATTACCTTGAGGCTGTAATATGTAAATGCTTATAAAACAAGGAACCTTCCATACGCGATCGGCAGCAACGTATATCTTGCCGCAGGGAGGTCTCCAGACTTTTATGCATATAGGTAGAATTACGAATCTGGATTTATCTGTTGTTGTAATATCTGAAACTGTCAAGACGAGTTCTGGTTGTCAAGGTCATCTTTGAACTTAAAGTAATTGGAGAGTGAGCAATGCTTTTTTTTTACATGCAAGAATAAACTAAATAAAAAAAAAATGTTGCTAATTTCTATGTTGTTTCCATTAACACAATAGGCACAAACATCTACTATACATGAAATCATTTAAATTTGTCATTATCTATTCAGTTCTGAGTTATTGGTCTCAAATTACTTCACAATGACAGCGATTGCTTTTGTTCAAGCTCTTTGCACTATTGATCTATATATGCATTAACAAAATATGATTCATTTGTTACTGTGGTTATCATTCGCAAAGCAAAAGTGTTTATCTTTTTGAGTTTCTATGCAAATGTAGACATAAATTGAAAATTAAGTACAATGCTTTAAAACGAGTATCGCGTAAACTTAATATCTCTTAACATGTCAATAAAACAGTGATCTAGATCAGGCCCATATTATCTTTTGATAGAATAACTAAACCCAACTCGTTTCTTTTTTACTCTCTTTTACGTCCCCGTTCGTATAAATGTTTCGCGTACAGGAGCGTCGAATCCAGTTAATGTAATATTCCTAAGCTAATTTTATAACTTCCATATCAATTAAAGTCTACTGTCTAGCCGGATACAAGACGCTAATTTTCATTATGGGGATCAAACGAAGGATTTTTTTCTATGTTACTGATGGCTACAATTGTATGACAGAATAATATAACACGGAATGGGGGGGGGGTTATGAACTACGCATGATGACAAAGCCTAGACCAATTAAAAATAAAATAATACTGCGGAGCACTGTTAAGTTCGTTTTTTGTATAAATTTGGCATATAACCGTAAATCTGCAAACAAAAAGGGCGGGGTAGGGGGGGGGGGGGAGGTTGCATTTGGGGGGAGACGGGATGTACAGCCCCGAAGTAAAAAGGCATGTACTGAGGTCCAAAGGAACCAATAAGGTTCTCTTGTCGGAGATCACTAAATGGGTAAATGCGAGATCTACCTTTTTGTAATGAAGTTCTCAAAAATGTTCTTATTTTTTTTAAAAAGAAATTAAGCGTAGTACACTGTCATTGGTTCAAAAATCCCAAAAATTATTTGGTAACAATGCTAAGATTAGAAAAAAAAAAAAGTAGGCTGACTTTATATTTTACTGAGACCCCCCTTTTATATGTACAGAGTACAGTACGTTTGTGTTCATCAAAAGAAACAATGACAAGAGAGATAAGAAAAGTATACGTACAAAAAAAAAAGTGATTTGAAAAATGACTCGTTGCTTTCAATTGAAAACATCAAAAAAGTGCCATGTTGACAGGATGATTTTTTGCATAATGATGTAATCCTTAATAAATCGGAACTTCAAAGTTATAGGAAGGTTTTGTAGGTTTAAATGCGCGCGCCTTTTTTATCCATATTGGTTTAGGATTGGGGTACGAAGGAGCAATGATGTAAGATGACTAAAAAAAGGAGGGGTTAAAAGAAAGTGATCCACTAGCCTATAAGAATGTTAGTAAGAGAAATGATAAGCGCGCGAAAGTGTAGCCGACAAAGTGGCTGTCAAAAAGAAAGGGGGGGGAGGCTGCTAAGGGCGGAGAAAGTCGGAGTGTGTAAGATGAGCGAAACGTGGCAAACAAAGAGTGATACACCAATAAAAAGAGTTCGGTGTTACTGAATTCCTCGTGGCCGCCATAGCCATCGGATTTTTTTTGTAAGTGTTGGTTACATTTACAAGTAAAGCAAACAATAAGATAGGAAAAAAAAAAAAAAAAAAAAAAAAAAGTAAAGAGAACTCATTTCTCATGTAGACTTTTTTTTTTTTTTTTTACCTCATAAAAACGTAAACAGAAAAAAAAAATATCTAAATTTAAACACATTATTCAAAAATGGTAATTTTCTTGTTGTAGAATAGATAGAAATGACAAGTGTTGTAATCTCTGCACCGGTTATGATGGAACCCGAAAATAAATCAACATCGACATTTGCAACGACGGTGGTACCTTATTATGGAAGTCGGGAACCGAAACAATCCATCATTGAAACTGATCGTGTTATCTTTCAAATGATGGATGATATACAGATATCTCAATTACAACAAGGTATATATAAAAAAAAAGAAATCAAAGCTAACATAATCACCCCATTTTTTTTTTTTTTTTTTTTTTGCAATATATTAATTTCCAATTTGTACTTAGATTGGCAAGAAATAGTACAGCCCACAACAAGAAAAACTGGCATTTTTTGGAAATTTCGGCTTGTATTCAGTGCAATCATCATATTACTGCTTGTGGTTGGTACGTTTCTTTAATTTTTTTTTTAATGGTGTGGTATGACATTAAATTATTTCTTTTTATTCCCAATCATAGCAACCGTTGTCATTAGTGAATTAACCAAGGAAAGAACTTAGCGGAGTAGTGTAAAAATTAGAAAAAAAAAAAAAGTCGAATTAATTTATTATTGAAAAAAAAAATGAAATTTATATGTACTAAAAAATGTTGGGGTGAAAGAGAGAGAGAGAGAGGGGGAGTATTAATGAGTTAAAATAAAGGGTAAAGATGAATTTTTTTGTGTGTGTATATCAAACACACAACACTCTAATTAAGGGGGTGGGGGAGAAGGGATTAATTGATGTAATTCATGACAAATTATAAAAAAGAAAAAAGAAAAAAAGGCATATACGGGGATATTAGTTGAGTAATTATTTATAATTTTCTATTAATGACAGTTTTTCTTAAGGGTGTAGTTGTTGGTGGTGCAGGTGTAGTACTGCGTAATGCGGGTCGAATGGAAGGTCGAGCTGTGGTAGGTGTGATGGTTCTTTTGGATGTTAATCGACTGCTGGTGGTTGTTGATTTAGCAGAGGTAGCTGTGACAGTAGATTTAGCAGAAGCAGGTCTAGCAGCTGGTGTGGTTCTACCAGTGACAGATCGAGTGGGTGCTGCGGGTGTTATTCTTCCAGTAGCGGGTGTAATTCTTCCAGCAGCAGGGGTCATTCTTCCTGAAGGAGCAGGTCTACCTGCTGCAGGAGTGGCTCTACCACTGGTTTTCTTCAATTGAGCAATTTCCTGTGTGGCTTCTTCTAATTGACGTTGCACCGCATGGTTATGCTCGGCTTGATCTTTTTGCTGCACCTTGATGTCATGTAATTGATCAAGCACACGAGACATCATGGACTCCATATCAGCTCTTGCCTTGGATTCATGGCGTAAACGCGATTCAAGGGGTTGAACTTGATTCAAGACTTGCTCCATTTTTCGTTCGTAAGCTTGTCTCATATCCACTTCTTGTTCAAGTCTTTCGTTCAAGACCTTGTGTTGATGATCCATCAAGATGGTCATGTCCTCCATGGCCTTTTCAAAAGCAATACGCATGGCAGTCTCTTCGCCCAGACGTTGTTCAAGTTCATAACAACGGTCTTGTAATTGATTGTTATTTCTGCAGTGGATACTATCATTGATACGAGCAAGGCCAGCCAAGACACGATGTGATAGTTTGAGTGAGCTTTTGGGTTGATGCTTACGACCAAAGTAACCTCGCCACACAGATTGGATCTTGATGGCAGCAAAATGACGAGTCTTTTCCATGTCCAACAATTGTTCTTGTTCAGAGTCGGATAAAGGTAAAAAGACAGAGGCAGATTCGATAGGCATTTCTTTACATTGGTCGTCAAGATCGTTGTCATCGTAACCCTCATCTGTAATACTAATGTTGGAATATTGCATGATGGCAGGAGGTTGAGATTTACTAATCTTCATGATGATGACCTTTTGGTCTTCATACGGGTCGGATTGATGGTAAGGGTGTACACTGCGATGAACTATTTTACATGTTTAATACAAATGTTGATAGGTGTGACAAAATCTTATTAAATTACCTTTTTCATGAACGAATTGGTTGGATTGGTCAGGAAAGATAAATGAGTTTTCATCCCAGTGAATTCGATCTTGTTCTGGAATGTTTGATAAATGATGATGGGTTGATTGAGACAAGAAGGAAGAAGGAGACGAGTATTGAGATGATTTACGAATGATGACAGTGCCAGTAGAATCGTAGGACTCTTCACGTACATGTTTCATGAAGGACATTTGAGTAGGTAACTGTAAAGGAGAGAGTTGATTATCGGAGACGAATGTATTGTGATCATTGGTGAATGATTCAAAGTATCTGTCAAGACGATCGGAACTACTTCTGGCACTATTGTTCATTAACTGTTGGTAGTAATCTTCATCTTCATCATCTTGCTCGTAGATAATGTTGGAGTAGGCAGCTGTGGAAGTGGAAGTGGTAGTGAAGGAGCATTCATCAAAGTAACTAAATTCGTCGGTGGTGTCAACTTGTGCCTCGATTTCCATGATGCGAGATTTAGGCGGAAATTCGTACTTGAATTGTTCTGGAGCTAAATGTTGGGCGATTTCGATAATTTCTTCTTGCTAAATAAGGGAACACGAGGGTTAAATTACTATTCTGTTGTGCGACCAGCTATTTATATCATAAAAAGGTCCACGTTTTTTTTTTTTGTAATATATTACCTTAATTTGCTCTTGAGCCAATAAGCTTGTTGGATTACGGAGCATAATAGGCTCTTGATTAAAACAACTATCCGTCATTGTATAAAAAGAGTGTGTTAAAAGTGAATGGAATGGGTTGGTTTAATTTTTTTGGTGTTTATTGAATTTTTTGAGAGAAGACAAAGTCTTTTGTTGTTGATGTAGTTGAATTCGATATCAGATAAGAAGCGTGAGTGTAATAAAAACAAATAATATTGTAAAAGAAAAAAGAGAGAGAAAAAAGAGGGAAAAAAAGAGAAAACGAGATGATGATATTTATAGGAGTTCATACTATTTAATTTGGGGGGTGCGGAATAAAAAGGCTTTAAAAAGAATCGTCATCTTGTCGTACAATGAAATAGTGTAAATTCATGTGAATAACACGACCAATTTTGTTATTTTTTATCAGTAAGAAACAATGAATTCTTCCATATAAAACTTGTCAGCTCATAATTTGTCATTGGATATTTGTTTGTATTTAAAATCATCCTCTTGTTTACTTGTTCGCTCTTTACCCTTATTTGTAATATTCATTTATTATTTATGCAGGTAATTTGATCATCATTGCACACCCATCCTTTTTTTTATTATTATTTTTACCCGCTCTTTTTACAAGTATATCTCTATTCATCATCACACGGGCCTCATTTTTGTTGCACCACTTTATTTTCAGCCCCTCCGCCTCTTTTTCACCTTTTTTCCCAAGCCTTTGTCGGGAAAGCTGGTTGGTTAGAGGATCGCCTATCTAAAAATATAATAAACTCCTGTGTGTAGCAACCGTCCCCCAAATTCATTGTCATCATATCTTTGTGCTACAAAAAAAGTAGCCTTAGATCAAGTGATGCAGGTACAAAAAAGGCGTATTTCATAAATAAATAGACAACAACAACAAGCAACGCGGTTTTTCTTGTGTAATCTTTTTAAGGTTTTTTTTTTTATAAGGAGTGCTTAATTTTTCTTAATCATTCATTGTCCTCTATTGTTTTCAATAACAATCAATTTTTGGCTTAATAGAAAATATAGTTGGGGCAAAAAAAAAAAAAAAAGTTTACTATTATATACAAGATGTGGGTAAAAAGGGTATAATTTAGCTGGAACGACTGGTCATGCCTGCCATTAAACGTTGTTCAGTTGTAATAGGTTCATGCCATTGACCATGATAGACCAATGGCCGAGTCTCCATAATGGCAGCCACTGCAGACCTTTCTGCTTCAAACATATCCGGCGTGACACCTTCAAATTGATTATTGAAAGTATAGAAATTGGTTGCATATTCAAATCTTGTCAAATTAGGAAACAGTCGCAAGATCTCTACAAATCCTGGCGTAGATAAAGGGGTTGTTACATATTTGGTCACGAGTAAGTTTCGCAGGGAAGCACCAGGCTCGTCCATCCACACTTTAGTCTTTCGTTCATTGCAGGCATTTGCATAGGGGTGGTATTTACTTGTTTTCCGGGATTTCATTTCACGGTGATCTCTCAGCGAATTATAGAGCGCTAAATCGTGATTGGTGATACAGGCTAAATCGTGCACTTCCAGTGTCGTCAGTCGTTGGCATTTGGTCAGTAGCTCCCAAAAAGCTCGGTTCGAAATCGTGCCTGTGGGTGAGGCACCACGCAATTCACGACCATCTTCATTAATCAGACCAATCAGCTCCGACGCTTCCTTCGATTTAAGACTGCATAATGAAAGTGATTCCAGTAAGGGCCAATGTCTCGCCATCGTCATCAAGACCGCATCATTCATGCCAGCATGAAGACCACGGAAATGACGCATCTTGGGACTACCCGAGACAATAGCTTGTAACAGTCCGGAAGAATGCAGACCTTTATCTCCGTTATTGACATAATAAAAGGAGGTAAGTGAATGGGCGTAACGGGCAATCGTGCAAAAGAGTTCGGTCATTTCAAAATCAAGGTCACAATTCTGAATTTTGATGGTATAAAGAGTCGATTGAGCAATGTCGAGTAAGAGACTGAGCACATCGGAGAACTGATCGTGTAGTTCAAAACCATGTTTAAGGTATTCTTGACGTCGTCGGGCAGGTTGTAAAGAGCGTATCTGTGTGAACAAGAGGGGTCTAGACGGTGGCTGGTTTGAAAATTGAACGGGCACCACCGTATTTTGTATGAAATGCGAATAACATCCTTCAAATGTAATGGTACGGATGCGGGGTCGCATTCGAACTACATGTTGCATGGCCAGTAAAAGCTTTTTAAATTCGAGATCCTGAAAGACAACATGCTGGTATAAATAGGGGTCTGTACAGTTGTAATACCATTTACGAGACACTCTGGAGAGACAAAAAAAACAAAAAAAAAAGTTAATTATACATTGTATCAGTATTCTAAATTTCTATCCATTTACCTAGAAGCTCTTAATTTATCTGGTAAAGAAAGATGGCTTACGATGAGCTGTAAAATGGGATTGGGAAACATACAAATAACAAACAAAAAGAAAGGGGTAAAAAAAAAAATAACCTGAAAAAAAGAAAAATAGGTTTATTTATGGGAGCAGCCAATCTTGTTCAGGCACAAGGTCTAGGTTCAATCGGATTCGCTAGAAAACATGAGCCCATGTTTCATTTATTTTTCGGTTAAAATTGATTGCTGACTGCGCGGACATCAATGTTCCAATGTTTTCCATCAATGATCTACCTACTTTTTTAACCCCCCTTCACTATAAAACATAGCCACTCATTTTAGCACATCCCACTTTAAAAAGCTTAATACCAACATACATACACCCCCTCAATATAAAACTGTGTCAATGCTATTTCTTCCTTACATCAACATGTAAAATCCTTTTGTGTAACCATTTGTGTTACATGCATTGTCTTAGATGTCTCCTTGTCAATTTAACAAACAAAAAAAAAATATACATGTGTGGTGAGCTATATGCGTGTGTCTGCAAGAAAAAGAAAAAAAGAAAACGAGTTGTTTACTGTGTAATAATTGACTTTTATTATTGTTCAATCGTTCTTTCTTTCTAATGGATCGAAAAAAAAAACTTAAGGTCCAGCAGTAGGAGCAGGGTTCATTCTACGCTTGCCACCAATTTGGGCAGTGACGTTAACGAAACGACGGCTATAACAGACAATGTTAATAAAATAAAAAATAAAAAATGTCGAAATGTTTAATGAAATCATACTTGTAAACTTGTCTCTTCTTAGCACGACCAGTCAAAGCCTTCTTCTTTTCTTGCTTAGCGACCTTGGGACATTGAGACTTTACCTTACCGGCACGAGCAAGAGAACCATGAACTTTACCCTGAAGTCTTTCATTAGTATGGATGGATGGATGCCATATGTGTAAGGATTCATACCATTTTGAATAATGATTATCTTTAAAGAGAGGAGATTTCCCAATATCCCCTTGACGCTGGCTACTGGTAATTCCCGCCCACGCGCCCCGCTCATTGGAGAGAGATCTTTCTCTCCAGCTTTGTTCTTTTTTCGCACCTTGCAGAAGGTGCACCGGACTGAAGCCGGACCGGACCGTGACTTTTTGCAAATAATTCAAAGACAGACGGAATGGACTGGAAATACCTCTGGCAGCACACGAAACCTATTGATCCCTCTTTTAAATCGATAATATGGGTAAGATATACATCAATATGCATCCATCCATCACACCCTTATTAATCCATGCATTCTAGCTGTTGGAAAGAACAAGCGCCTTAGTAAAGGAAAGAAGGGTTTGAAGAAGAAGGTGTAAGTACTCTATTTGTAGACACGCATCAGTTTTATTGGAACATGAAGAGAGATAGAGAGAGAGAGAGAGAGAGTCAGACAAACGCACACCCGCACACCCGCACATATACATTCGGACACACTTACGCACATACACACATCACACACACATACACACACACACGCACGCATACAAAAAAATAGAAAGAGTGATTGAAAAAAATAAGACCAAGATAAAAAATAATTGGATTGAAACACGCATTGACATGAATGACCTTCCAAAAAAACTAGCAGCTCATCTCTCCATGTTCCTTTAAATTATGCCGTTATTAGCCAGTGTACACATAATTAACACCTCTTTGTTTTAGCGTTGACCCCTTCACCCGTAAGGATTGGTATGATATCAAGGCTCCTTCCATGTTCGATGTCCGTCAAGTCGGTAAGACTCTTGTCAACCGTACCCAAGGTCTCCGTAACGCCAACGACTCTCTCCTCGGTCGTGTTGTTGAGATGTCTCTTGGTGATTTGTCCAAGGATGAGTCTCGCTCTTTCCGTAAGATCCAATTGAAGGTTGACGAAATCCAAGGTAAGAACTGTCTCACCAACTTCTACCGTATGGATATGACCACCGACAAGCTCCGCTCTATGGTCAAGAAGTGGCAATCTTTGATTGAGGCCTTTGTTGATGTCAAGACAACCGATGGTTATCTTGTCCGTCTCTTTGCCGTCTCCTTCACTTCTCGTCGTCGTAACCAAATCAAGAAGACTACTTACGCTCAAGCCGGTCAAATCCGTCAAATCCGTAAGAAGATGTTCGAGATCATGACTGAAGAAGCTGTTGCCTGTGATCTTAAGGAACTCGTTGCCAAGGTCACCTCTTCTGCCTCTCAATCCGCTCAAGATGCTATCGCTGTCCGCATCGAGAAGGCCTGTCAAGGTATCTACCCTCTCCAAAACACCTACACTCGTAAGGTCAAGATCCTCAAGGCTCCCAAGTTCGATGTCTCTGCTCTTCTTGCCCTTCACGGTGGTGCCAACGCTGCTGGTGATGACACCGGTGCTAAGGCCTCCAAGGACTTTGTTGAACCCGCTGTTCAAGCCTCTGTTTAAATTTTTTTATCTTTTAAAAAAATAAACAAAACTTTTTATAATATACACACGCAATACATATGCCATTTTTTTGTTTTTGTTTAATAATACATGTGTTCTTTTTATTTATTTAATTTATTAATATATGTATAAACTCGCAACAAGTTAAGCACCCATCATAATCTTGAATTCCTCAAAACTGATTTGTCCATCACCATTAATATCTGCTTCCTTAATCATGGCATCTAATTCCTCTTCTGACAATGATTCGTTTAAAGAAGACATGACTTTACGAAGTTCCTCACGATCGATCAAACCGTTGCCATCGACATCAAACACCCTGCAAAGAAAATAAATAGGTTAGGGGTCTCTGTATGTATTCAAGGGGACGGGGCGCGGGGGTGTTTGCAACTCGGGGAACTTACTTGAAGGCTTCACGAAGGTCGTCACCTTCGTTACCGTTCTTCATGTTTTTAACGAGACCCAAAAATTCTGTGAAATCGATATTGCCATTTCCGTCGGCATCTACATCATTGACCATATCTTGTAATTCGGCATCACTGGGGTTAAGACCAAACTTGCGAAGAACAGTGCCTAATTCAACAGCAGTAATACTTCCATCACCATCGGTATCGAATAACTGGAAAGCTTCTCTATATTCAGCAATTTCGTCGGGTGTAAGTTGATCTGCCTTAATTAAAAATATGTCAATATTTATTTGTTTATATTTATGATTTTATTTTTATTTTTATTACCATGTTATTTGTATGTATATAATTAAATAAAGGGAGAAAGGGTTTAAAACATTTTAATTTTTTTCACACTATTACGTTTTTTTTTTTCCAACTCATGTGAGTTTAAAAACAAGGCAAAACGGAGGGGGGTGGTGGGGGGGTTTAGAAAGTTTTTTTGAATGTCCCATTTTTAGGCAGATCAAACTAAATCATTGGTTGTTCTAAATACAGTAATTTTTATGACGCTCTCATTTTTCTTTTGGTAAGAACTTTGTTAAATGATCCATGTGATTTAAACTATTTCCCACGAAAAAATATATAATACAAAAAATATGTTTACATTTCTTTTTCTTCTTCTTCTTTCAAGTAAACAAATAACTTAAAAAATATTACAGAAAATGTCTATTTCTAGTAAACAAGCTGTCGAATATGATAACACCTACGGTGCTCACAAGTAAAGTACCAAAGTTTTTTTTTTTTAATAAATAAAAGTCATAGTAGACTGATAGATTGTAGCTACCATCCTCTTCCTGTGGTATTTTCTGAAGCCAAGGGTATCTGGGTGTGGGATCCTGAGGGAAAGAAATACATGGATTTCTTATCTGCCTATTCAGCCGTCAATCAAGGTCATTGTCATCCCAAGATTGTCAAAGCCTTGTGTGATCAAGCACAAAAATTAACCTTGTCTTCCCGTGCCTTCTACAATGACGTCTATGGTCAATACACAAAGTACATGCATGACTTCTTTGGTTATGATATGGTCTTACCCATGAACACCGGTGCTGAGGCCGTAGAGACTGCCATCAAATTGGCCCGTCGTTGGGGTTATGATAAGAAGGGTATTCCAGAAAACGAAGCCATCGTGCTTGGCTGTGAAAACAATTTCCATGGACGTACAGTGGGTATCATCTCCATGTCCAGTGATCCTGAATCCTTTGTCGGTTTCGGCCCTTATTTACCTTTGGTCGGTCCTGTAGTTGGAAACACAACCATCCGTTACAACCATATTGAGGATTTGGAAGCTGTCCTGGAAAAGGTCGGTAAGAATGTGGCAGGATTCTTGGTAGAACCTATCCAAGGAGAGGCTGGGTAAGAAAAAATTTATGTACATATATAGTAGAAAAGAGATATTAAATATTACATCAAAGTATTGTGGTACCTGATGAAGGTTATTTAAAGAAATGTTACGAATTATGCAAGAAACACAATGTTTTGTTTATTGCTGACGAAATTCAAACGGGTCTTGGTCGTACTGGTAAGATGCTTTGTGTCGATCATGATGATGTTCGCCCTGATGTTGTACTCCTGGGAAAGGCTCTTTCAGGAGGTGTTTATCCGGTTTCTGCCGTCCTCGCCGATAAAGAGATCATGTTAACAATCAAACCTGGTAGTCATGGTTCAACCTATGGTGGTAACCCCATTGGTGCCGCTGTTGCTATGGCAGCTTTACAGGTTCTCAAGGATGAAAAGTTGGTAGAGAACGCTCAAGTCCTGGGAGAAAAGTTTAGAAAAGCATTAATTGATCTGAACAGTCCCCTTATCAAGACAGGTAAAATTTTTTAAAAAAAAAAATTGCTCAATATTTTTTTCTCACACTTATAATTCGTAGTTCGTGGCCGTGGTTTATTGAACGCGATTGTGATTGACGAATCAAAGTCTGAAAGAAGTGCCTGGGAACTTTGCTTGTTACTCAAATCAAGGGGATTATTAGCTAAACCTACTCATGTGAACATTATTCGTTTAGCTCCTCCTCTCTGTATTACCGAGGAAGAACTCATGGACGGCGTCGAAATTATCCGTAGTGCATTGGAAGATATCGTGACCATGAGTGCATCCGATATTCCCAACGAGCTTGGTGTTTAAAACAAATAATGTCTCACAAAAAAAAATGATAATAATAAAGGGTTTATTCTAATTCTTAACATCTTTCAAAGATCTTGTAAAGATCTGTTAAATTAGCGACTTGTGTGACATAAGGTTTTAATTTGATGGGAGCAGCAAAATGAGTCTTGAAGGCTGGAAAGACTAAATGCTGTACTTTCCACCGGTATTCGTCCTTATTTGATTTGTTCAGGGGAGCATCTAAACTATAAAACATGGCCAATTCTCGAGACAATGAGTCAAAGCAACCGATCTCAGTCTCCCAATCCACTTCTGTTCCTAATCTTAAAAATAAGAGCGGTAATTTATCCATGCATGGCACGTAATCTCGAATCACCATCGGTAATACGATAAGATTGCCTTCCTCTGTTATCTCCAATGAAAAGTATTCCTTCAGCATATCTCTTTTTGATATAATCAATTCTGAAATAGACTAAATAGCATACATTAACGTTACGTAATGTTTATAAATTAACCCCCCTTCCCCTTTTGTTTACCTCGGCAATGTCATCTGGACTTTTGATGTCATTCGGTAAATTTCCTTTTGCTTCCTCCAGCGTGATTGCAATCAAGATGAGTTCTTTAATCGACGTGGGATTAAGTTCTATTTTTCCCATATTCTGAAACTGTCCCATGATCACTTGATAAAATAACTCTTCACTGGCCACATTATAATTCACCATGTAAATATTTTGTTCATGTTGGATCAAGGCAAATGTATCATCTACACAACTAATAAATGTGTGATGATGGAACACATATGTCAACTCTATTAACAATTTTTTTTTTAAAAAAAATATGCATGTTCAGATCATGATGCAATGCTTTATAGTCTATTTTTATATACAATTTACCCTGATTTTCCTCTTTGGCAATGGCTTTACGTAATGTGTGTATGCTACCTAAATTCACATGCACCCTGCCCTCATCCACATCCACATCCATGTCATCATTTGATGGTTTTTTCAAAAATGCGTCCAATGTCGTTGCTGTACTATCCGTTCTAACATATCGATATTCTGCTACAGGCTTGTTTCCTACAGGTTTATTACCTGTCACCTGTTTATCCTCCTCATCTACAACTGAAAAAATAATTTTTTAGTCTTTTTTTCATGTGCATGTATGCGTATCTTTTTTTTAGGGTTACCTTGTTCTGAGGGGCCACTCGCCCCTGGAAGAGTGGTCTGCACATAAAAAGTTCTAGAATGATTGGCATCTTCCAAGGCAGTTTGAAAAGCATCGATTAGAGTGTTAATGATACGATCTTGGTCCAAGAAATGCACTTCATTTTTGGTCGGATGTACATTGACGTCAACGTTCTTGGGATCAATCTCGAGACTAAGGTAAATAAAAGGATGAGCATCTTTTGGCAATAAAGAAGCATATACAGTTTGAATAGCTCGTTTTATAGCTGAACTCTCCACCGCTCGATCTAGTAACACGTATGAGTTTTTTTTTTCTCTTTTTTTTTTTTTTTTTTTTTTTTGCGTATGTACATATCAAATCTAGGCACTTACGATTGATAAATAGTAAAAGAGTCATGGACTTCATATTGTAATTTGCGTTGGAGATAAGACCGTTTGCTTTAAAACCGAGGTCATCAAAGGATTTCTCAATGGGTAAAAGTTCAGAAGCAACAGCACCGTAAAGACGTCGTATAGTATCGATTCTGCTTGCATCCATAGATGTTTGAATATCAGAGGATTTTGCACCTTGCTATAGATGTATGAGCTATAATGTATTCAGATCTATGTATTCAACTTTTTTTTTACCTTGATACATGTAAAACTGATACCCGAATTATGCACAGCATAGCGTGTGACGATATCCAAGATACGGTTATATTCATTACTGGGAGATTTAAGAGCCTTTAATCTGGAAGGGGTATTGAAAAACAAGTCCTCGGCCGTGATTTGAGTACCATTGTTTCCGGCGCAAGGTTTAGGATCTGAGCTTTGGCCTGGTTTAGCAGGTACGAGCTTACCATCGGCATAAAGAGCACGGTACGCACATGGGGAAGAGTTTGTCTTCGTGGTAATGGTGACATGGGCAACGTGGGAGATACTGGCTAAAGCTTCACCACGGAAACCATGTGTGGCAATACTTGACAGGTCCGAAAAGGAAGCGAGTTTACTGGTGGTGAAACGTTCACAGACAATGTCCATGTCTTCTTTCTATTCGTAGAACCATTTTTTTTTTTAAAAAAAAAACCTTATTGCAAGAAGGGAGAAGAAAAAAACTTACTCGAATGCCATGACCATTGTCTTGAATTTGTAAAAGTTTAAGTCCTCCTTCTTTTACAAGTATTTCAATTCGTGTCGAGCCTGCGTCAATGGAGTTTTCCAGTAGTTCCTTGACTGCATTGGCAGGGCGTTGAATAACCTCCCCCGCTGCTATCCGATTAACAACAGTTTGGTTAAGCTTCTTGACACTCGGGATTGTCGACATTATTTTTATGGAAAAGAAGAAAATAAAGACACCGTCACATTGGCTCTTTTCCGTTTCATGCGGACCACCAAGCTTTTTTTCTAAATTATTTTTGTCATTTTTATTTTTTATTCGCTAGCTTATGTGAATTTTGTGTTTTTAGGCTCAAAGATTTTGGGAATAAGGGAGACGCGACGACGCGACCAAGTTTTGTTTACTGATGTGGGGTGTATGTAGCAATATAACGGTAAGTAAATAAAAAACCCTAAAAAAAAGCTCGTGCGTCAAACCTTTCTTTTCTTCTTCTATCACTAATAATGATGGATGATCAACTAGCACATTGGATTATCACACGTTGTGTAGAATTTACCAAAAGTTCTTCAACTTCATACGATCCACGAGTTCAGGTAACAACAATCCAGACACTGAATGGAATGTTATCATCTTGGTACCCAGATGATTTGCTAGAGGTTCTTTACCAATATGGTACATTGGACAATTTCTTCAATGATTTTATACCCTCACTAGAGCTAAATCATACACAACTGCTATGCCAGTACTCGTATCAGACAAGAGGACTACCCGTGGTAAAGCATGATGGATCAGCCATGTTTGTTATTACAAAAGATATTACTGAGTTTCTTCCTGTTCAACATGTATGCTGCGATTTAGATAAGGAGATTAGGGAAGTGACAACTGTAAATAAAAGCACACGCACACACATTGAACAAAAGACGCGTTATGTTTTGCTTAAAATTGATGACACCCTCTTTCTCCCCCCCTTTTTTTTAGAATATGGCAATGACAAACGAATCCTACGTACATCGCAATGAGATCCGAAGTAAACTCAATACTATGTTGAATAATAGCTGGTTTAATAGAGGATTGCAGGTATCAACATTTGGGTAAAGTTTTCATTATAAAATGAAAGTCATTTTTGTTAAACAAACAATAGATCCACAGCTACGGGGCTGGGTACGGACAATGCGGATCTTGATTTATGCATTTCTGGACCTTGCTTTCAACCCCTGGATGACCCTATCAAGCTGAAAAAAACAGAAGGATCCATTTACAATATGACATTTTTGGCCAGAAAATTACGCAAAATTGGCATGAGACAAGTGAAGCCCATTACAGCAGCCCATGTCCCCATCTGTAAATTTCGGGATCCTCGATTCAAAATCAACTGCGATATCAATACCAATAATCTCCACGGCATTGAAAATACAAACATGATTATTCAATATATGCACTTAGACACGCGTATACGACCCGTTTTGTTTGCTCTCAAGTTATTTATAGAAGCCAAAGAGATTAATAACAGTAAGTTTTTTCTATACATCGAAGGAAAGAAAGACTAAGTTTTTATGACAAAATAAGCGCGAAGAGGATTTTTGAATAGCTACGCGTTTATTCTAATAGCGTTGCATTATTTAATGTATGTACAAGAGCCACCTGTAATCCCTTGTCTTCAGAATTTATCGCTTAAATCATGTATCACTGGTACTTGCAACAACAACGAGAAAAGGACGATCCAAGGTCGTGATGTGCGTTATCATAGCTGTATACGTGTTGTAAATACCATGGCACCTCAGTTTGATAGTAAAACCGTGTCTCAAGATAATAATCCTACTCTCTGGTATGGGAAAAATACTAAAAATGTAGGCGACCTTATACTCGAATTATTTGCATGGATGTCGAACCCATTTAATTTAGTTAAGCCCATGTCATTGACAATTAATGGGCATGTGCATTTACCTTGGGGATGGAAGGGAAGTCAAGTGGTTTTTCCCGATCCCTTTGATCCTGACAGGAACATCGCGTAAGTATATAAGTATTTTTTTTAAAAAAAAGGACGTTTAAGAGTTTGAATAGTCTACTAATAAGTATGGTAGGCGATCCTGCACTTCAGCAGGAGTTGAAACAATCTCACAAGAATTTAAATTGGCGTGTGATACATTAAACAAAGGGCTGAAGTTTATGGACGTGTTGAAACCAAACAATTATGCCACATAGAAACCTAAAAAAAATTATTCCCATTGGTAGAGCCAGCATAACTAAAAAATAAATAAATAAGCTTTATGTATATTGAAATGACACTCACCGTCACAATGTTGTTCCTCTCTTTCATGCTAAAAAATATAAACCAGTTTGATGTTTTCCTTTCTTCCTGTTATTTTTTTCAAGTATGGATTTCCAGCAAGCAATCAAGGTTATCAAGGAGTGCCAAGTATTTGCGAACCAATGTTCGATGGCCAATGACCCTCATGTCAAAGTAGCAAGTATCAAGACGTTGGTTGATATGTTGTCAAGAAAATTGCCGGACGACCTGATCCAGATATTGACAGAATATGGCACACTGGATGGCTTTATCACCAATGCTAAATTAGAGCTCAATCACGACGATGTCCAGCTTATGTTTGATTGGGATTTCCAGGTCATGACCCAGACCTTGTATCAAGAAAAGCGGCTGCCAGCAATCAACCACGATGGCACTTCCTTGTTTGTCATTGATAAGCATCATGTCGGAGGTCTTGTCACTTCTGCTCCTCAGGTGTACCAGTCCGATTTGGAAAAAGAAATAATTCAATTAACAGAGGTAATGTTTCTTCTCTTTTCTGAATAAGACATTCTGTAGAATTATTAAACTCCTCTTAATTATTAATAGAGTTTGGCAATCACGCCTGAATCTTATGTCATTCGCGCCGAAATTCGAAAAAAGATCGGTACCATGTTAAACAAAGTTTGGCGTAACAAGGATCTACGTGTATCAACATTTGGGTAAGACTTTTTTTTTCACATGCAATATTGATAGATACGAACAACATAAAACTAATAAATAACTTTTTAAAAAAAATAGATCAACATCAACAGGACTGGCAACAGCCGATGCCGATATTGATCTCTGTATTTCAGGCCCAGTTCTCGGTTCGGACTATCATGGGGGAAGTCTGCAACGAGTTGCAGGATCCGTGTATAATATGAACTTTTTGGCCAGCAAGCTACGTGAAATTGGCATGGATCATGTCATAGCTATCAATGAAGCTACAGTACCTATCTGTAAATTCAGAGACCCCGAATTTAATTTGTATTGTGATATAAACACCAATAATTTGATGGGAATCGAAAATACAAATCTGATTATTCAATACATGCATCTCGATTCTCGTGTACGGCCTTTCCTGTTTGCTCTCAAGTTATTTATCAAAACCAAGGAGATTAACAACTGTAAGTAAATCATTGTCAGATTAAATAAGCTTTTTATTTCCTTAAAACTTACATTTATTTCAGCACAAAAGGGCTTTATGTGCAGCTACACGTTTATCCTTATGGGATTACATTTCCTGATGTTTGTACAAAACCCACCTGTAATACCTTGTCTCCAAGAACTGAGGAATGCAACTTGTACTTCTGCCGACTGTAATAGCCGACAAAGAAGAAGGGTAGCTGATCATTTAGTAGCTTATCACGACTGTGTAAGGGTTGTTAACACGGTGACAGACTTATACAATAGCAAAACCACAAGCCCCGAGACAAATCCCACCATCTGGTACGGTCGTAATTCAAAGAATGTAGGCGATCTTGTACTTGAACTTTTTACCTGGATGTCTCAAACCTCCAATCTACTGAAACCAATGTCCTTAGCAACCAGTGCTCGAGTAGGCCGCCTATCAGGGTGGAGAAAGCATGATGCCGTATTTCCGGATCCATTTGTTTCTACAAGAAACGTTGCGTAAGTTTAAGAATAAAGTGAAAACCATTTTGCTAAATCAGTAGATATAAAATATAGGGGATCCTGTACGGCGATTGGAGCCAAAGTAATTTGTCAAGAGTTCAGACAAGCTTGCAATAAGTTAAACCAAGGACTCACATTCAAGGACACGTTGAGTAAGAATGATCTTGTATACAGGCCTGTGGATCCAAAGTCCATGAATTATCGATTTGGTCATCGTAGTTAAAAGAGAGGGTTTAGGCATTGGTTGAATTAATAATCATGAGTGTCATAATAATAAAAAGTATTTCCATACTTCCTTTATATGATTTTTTTTCGGCGTTTATTAGTCGTTATATGTATGAAAAAAGGGGTTACTCATTATACCTGTTTTATATTGTTACTAAATAAACAATGAAATCAAAAATAAAAAGCCATCAGACTGCGGAGTGATTGTTTTTTTCCTTTTTTCAATTTTTAAATCATGGAGATAGAACGTACTTATTCATTACTCGAAAGTTTATTTGAGTATGCTTTCCAAAATTCTATTACTAAGCGCGGAAAAAGGTCAAATGCTAGTGTTGTATGTCTAGAAAAACTTGGTACACATTTACAGCTGACAACACCTGAAGAATATGCGTACATGAAAAAGTATTATGACTCTTTGCTGGATTTTTTGGACTCGAAGGAACAGAAAATCAAATGCACTAAATGGATTTATGAAATTATGACTACAAACATGTACAATTGTGACCCACGTCACTCGAGAAATGAATTCCTCTCTCTTAAATCATATCAGCCCTTCAACGCACTACTATTTATTTTGTACCAAAAGGATTTTACGGATATCACCACCTGTGGAGATCTTTCAGAGGATATTTTGATTTTCTATCGGACAAGATGTAGACAGGCAATTGATACGTATAATGCAAAAGTATCCATAAAAAACAGGGTGAATGAAATGATTCAAAAAAAATTTCCTCAGTTTAATATGTCTGTTGAAATTATTAGGTACGATAAATAATTTTTAGTTCTCAAACTTTCGTTATTAATGTGCCACAGATTGAGCAACAAAAATTTTCTCTCTGTTAGCCAAATGCTCACGCTAGGAATTGTCATTCATCGAATTCGTACAAACGATAGCAAGGATTACGCTGATTATGAAGCCCTTTTTGAACCACTTTATGACTTCGATTTTATGTCAGAATGTTTAGAAAATATCGGCATGGTTTGTCCAACCCACTGCCCAAAAAAACCAAACGACATATTATTTCGTGATAAAACATCTGGAATACGGTGTAGATCTGGTATTGATACTGGTATGCGGTTCTCACGAGAGAGGCTTATCGAAGCCTATTTGAAACTGGATGATAGAATTGATCCATTAATCACAGTCATTTTTTTCATAACAAAACGTCGAACTTCTCATTGTAAGTCGAATAATTGATGGAAAATTTAAATTATAGTTAATATTATTTCAAGGCAAATCTTTAAGCAGTTACGTTCAGGTCATTTTGATTTTGAACTACTTGATCAACGGACTGTATTACCCGGTTATTCCGTGCCTTCAAGATTTACCGGACAATGTATGTAACGTGGTCGATTGCTTTTACAACAAGTATACAGGGCCAGTTACGGCAATTCATCGTGAAGAAATAAGACAAGTGAGAGATCGATATCACACTTGTGTTGTTATCCAGAACGATGTCAGCTCAAATCCCGCATCAAATAAAACTGTTTGGATCAGCAAAAATAAGGATAGTCTCAAAACCCTGCTTTTAGGTTACTTTAACTATTACGCGAAAATTGAAAATATCAGCGATATTTCTATCGTCCGAGTCGATATATCCATCATCGATGCAGAAAAAAATGAGATCCAAGACCCTTTATCTCCTAGTAAAAGTATCTCGTAAGCATACTGTGACACCATCTTGACGCATTATGATTAACATGTTTTTTTCTAAAAAAAAGAATCGGATGTGACCAAATAGACTGGAAAAATTTAAGAAAGGTGTTTAAAGATGTCGCAAATTTGTTAGAGGGTGGAAAAAGTCTAGAACATGTATGTTACAGTAGTTAGTCGAATTTGTCAAATGGCGTTTTGTTTCATTAAGTAATAAATCTTAAAATTTTGCGCCACGCCCAGCACCTCTTTCTTTTTTTTCCCATCATGGACGCTAAAATTATTCAAAAGTTATTGATAGAGTCAATTCAGTACGCCAGCAATAATAGTATTGCTAAAAGCAACAAGTCTCCATATCCAACCTATGTTGTTGATCTGAAAGATCTTGATAGTCATCTGCAGCATACATTGCCTTCCGAATGTGACCTGATGAATACTCACTTCGTCACCTTATTAGAATTTTTGATGTCAGCCGACGCAAGAAAGCATATGAGTGACAGATGGGTCTATGAGATAATGACTACCAATCAATACAGCTGCCGTCGATCGAATAATCATCACCTTGCGTTAAAGTCATATCAACCTTACAACAATAATTTGTTTATTGTGAATTCTAAAAAACCAAAGGCAAGTGTTTTACAATCACTTTCAGACAACATTATGGCTCGTTATCAGGTAGATATTTATAGTATAACTTAAAAGAAAAAAAAAACTGGTATTTAATAAGTCAATACTAGGAAAACTATGTGGACAAACGGGAAATTTACGATATGAGGAAAAGGATTAGAGATAGAGTAAATGAAATAATCCAGGAAGCTTTCCCAAGCTTAGATATATCTGTCCAACTTATCAGGTAACGTTTTTTTTTTCAAAAAAAAATAAAAAATAGAGTGGGGTTACAAAGTTGTTGTTACATTTACTTACGAGCGTGCAGATTATCGCATGTGGATGTTGTGTTTGCTGATTCCTTACTAGATTTAGCTATCATTCCTGCTCGATTTTATAAACCAGACAAAGAAGAATTCGATAATCACAAACAACCTTATAAGGCCCTTAATGACTTTGAATATATCGGCGAATGTTTAAAGAAAATGGGTATGACAGATGTTGTATCTCAAACGCTGCATAAATTCGCAAAAAATCTTACATTTGTGCATCCCGAATATGGACAAAAGTGTACCCTTGGTGTTGAGAAGTACATGATTTTTGAAAGAGAAGAACTGTTTGAAGTTTATTTGCAGTTAGATCCAAGAATGAGACCACTGGTTACATCCATTTATTATTTTATCCGAAGCCATCAACTACATCCTCGTAAGTATAATCAGTCTAACACTAGATGATGAGATTGACCTTTTATTTTCTTTTCTTTACAAAGTCGACCGACAACATTTTTTGAGTGGTTACTCATATATGATTATGATCCTATATTATTTGTTGAACGGGCTGAGAACCCCTTTAATTCCCAACATACAGAGTTTACCAAATAACGAATGTAAAGTCGCTGATTGCTTTTACAATGCTTACAAAGGGCCCGCCAGTGCCGAATTTAAAAAAAGAATAAGGGAAGTTGAAGTACGATACCATACCTGTGTTTATATCAGACATGGCAATGATGAAACAGAGATGGAAGGAAAAACAATATGGAATAGTCACAACAAAACCGACTTGGGAACGCTTTTAATTGGTTTTTTGAATTATTATTCAATAGAGAAAAATTTCTGTGCTTGCATCTCCATTTCGCCAATTGGCAAAAGGGGTAGAGTTAAAGACCACTACTTTACTGTGACTATCCGAGACCCATTTTTACAAATACATAACATGGCGTAAATATGTTAATTATGTCATGTTTATGAGAGGCTAATTTTTTTTCTCATTTTATCCACAGGTGCGGGTGTAATGAAACCACGATGAAAGAGCTTACGCAAATCTTTGGTAATGCAGCAAATTTGTTGATTCAAGGAAAAACGCTGGATGAGATTTGCCAGAATCCTATAGCTGGCTGTTCTTGTCCTAACTGTATATAAATACGGTGCCCGATAAGAAAAGTCACATCTATGTGAGAAAAAAAAAAAGGTTACATTATAAGTCCAGACTTGTGTTAAGTTCGCACTTGCCTGTATTGGAACAAAATAAGGGGTTCATAATTATATAAGCACCAATTAAAAAAATTTGCCATCAAAAACGACTGATCTGGTTGTTCTTTATTATCTTTCTTTTCTTTAATCATAAAAATATGGACTTTAAAGTTACCGACAAATTGTTATCTCATTGTGTTGTGTACACAATCAACAACACTATCGCTGAGAGAGATAAAAGTAATAATAAAAGAAGTGCAGTTGTTACTCTCAAAACACTTGATGAAAATTTACAACAGGCTGTACCTACAGAATATGAAATTATGATGCACCAATACAGTACATTGCTCGAGTTTCTTTTATCAAAAAACCAAAGTAAAAAGTACAAAGAGTGGATTTATGAAGTCGTGACAATAAATCAGTATAATCAAGATTCACGTCGACTGAAAAACAGCTTAACGCGTTTGCAGACACACATTCCATTCAGCGAGCGCTTGTTTATCATTTACCAAAATGAGGCTCCAGAAGTGACCGATTGTGATGTAAAGCTTTTAACAAACTCTATACTTGCATACTACAAGGTAATATGTCACTATTTTTTAAGATACCAGAGATCAACAAGTTTGGCTATAGGAAGCTTATTTGGAATTAGATGAAATATACAAGACGAGAAGGGAAATCAGGAACAAGGTTAACATCGCAATTAAAAGAGCGTTTTTTGAGCTTGATGTTTCGGTTGAACTCGTTAGGTAATTAAGTATAAATATTCTGTCCTCGTCGTCTTAATTCTTTTGGAAACATAGGTCATCACATACCGAATTGGACTTTGCAGATGATTTTGTGAACATGGGAATTAGGTTTCCTCCCTATAATGGAACAGAGGCGGATGACTACGCTCAATACAGAAAAAAACATGAGCGGTTGTATAATAACTCTTACATATCTTGGTATTTAGAAAAAGTTGGTATGATTGATGTACATCCTGAAAACCAAAAATTTAGCAAGAGTTGCGTGTTTGTTGATCCTTCGGGTCTAACTTGTAAATTACTTGTTGATGACGGCATGTTATTTGAAAGAGAAGAGCTTTTCAAAGAGTACTTAAAGCTGGATGAAAGAATCAGGCCTTTAATACGTGCTATTTTCTACTTCGCAACTTGTCAAAAACTTAACAAATGTAAGTAATAGATAGAGATCAATATAACTAAATGCAAATTTAATAACTTAAAATGCTAAAGCTGCGCATGATGGATTTCTGACCAGCTATTCATATATTGTCATGATCCTTTATTTTTTGATGAAAAAATTAAATTATCCTGTTATTCCATGCATTCAAGATAACTCTATTACTTGTAATTTTCCTGAATGCCTCCATAAGAACAACGGAAAAACTATGACAAGGGTTTTTGCTAAAAAACTCAGATTCATTCAGGTTCGATATCATACATGTGTCTCGATCAAAAAGAAGGATGAATCCCATGAAATAGCAGAAGATAAAAAGACTATTTGGATAAGCGAAAATACTGATGATCTAGGGACTCTCCTAATCAAATTTTTTGACTTCTACTCAACAAGAAAGCATTTTTCACCAGTTTCTATTTCTAAAGCCTCTAACATTTCGGAAAGATCATTTTCAAACCAACCCGCCGAAATTCAAGATCCTTTTATTTCAATAGTTAATGTTGCGTAAGTACAATTTAGCTTTACTACTTAATCACCCAAGTTGCAGTTGCTGATAATATTCTAAGGGCTGGGTGTAAATCATATGCTTTAGATATCACGATTGACAAATTTATCCATGCCGCAAATTTGCTGAAGTCGGGACATAAGTTCCAGGACATATGTCAGATATAAAATACAGGAATCTTATTATCTCCATTTATTGGATGATAAAAAATAGCTTATTGAAATCACGTATATAAATAGTATTTATCGCACATCAAGCTTTCCGACCCCTTTCTCTTACTTTTTCCTGGAAATAAAAATTCTTACCAAAATGAATATTGACATTTCTTTCGAAGTTTTAGAAGAGATCATTCAGTTTGTTAGTGACAACAATATTGCCCAAACTGAGGAGAGTAAAAAAAATGCAGCAAAAGTTGTTCAATTTGTTCATATAGAAAGACACCTAAAGTTTAGTATGCCAACAGCATTTGAAATTTTGGAACGAAATTACAGTAACCTCTACTCCTTTCTTATGGAAAAGGGCCGACAAGTTGTCCGAGAAGAATGGAACAATCGGTTGAAGTATGAGGTGATGACGCTTCAAAGATACAAGAACGATAAAAGATTCAACACTGGCTACTTTACAGAATTGAAACGTGACCTCCATCAAGGAAGCAACTTATTTGTAATTTATCTGTTGGATAATTTAAAAAAGATACATGGACCGATAAAAGAATACTATTTGATCACCGAGTCTCTAAGTGACCAGATTGCCTTATGTTGTGAAGTAAAACATATAGTATCTACAGGTGTTTATGCAATTAAGTTGACTCCCCTTTTTTAATTTTTAGCAACATTTCTTACCTTTAAGATCTTATTTAATCCGAAACGATATCAGGGATAGAGTGAATGCTATGGTTCAAGAAGTGTTTTCTGGTACTCAAGCAACAGTTGAATTGATCGGGTAAAGTGATAAAACTGACTTTTTCATTTACATCGATGTCTGTGCTCTAATTTTTAAAAAAGATCCTCTCATACGCAGTTAGCTATGGCTGAAAGTGATGTCAATCTAGGTATTCGAATTCCAAAAAATATGGTCACCGCAGATGCATATTTATATAACTCTAGCAACTGGACAGAAAGTGTATATGATGTGCATTTCCTGGCCCAAAGTCTTAGAGAGATGGGTATGGTAGCTCCTTTCCCAATTCCGCTGGCAAAAATATGTAAATTCGTAGATCCTGCATCCAGATTAAATTGTGCAGTCGGTGTTGATACTGGTCTGGTGTTTGAAAGAGATCATCTTATTGCTGAATATCTAAAACTTGACAAACGAGTTAGGCCTTTGATTTCGGCTATATTGTATTTTACACGGTCTCAAAACATTAACAAGTGTAAATATCAGATTTTGAAAAAGGGTGTGATGATACTAATATTATAGTTAAGCTTTACGTATGGGACAATTAAGCACATATTCATATATCATTATGGTTCTGCATTTTCTTATGTGTAAGTTAGATAGACCCGTTATTCCAAGTCTCCAGGATCTTTACAGTGACTGTAGCTCTCCAGAATGTTTTTATAACCGAAACCACGGTCTTGTACCATCATTCTTTGACAACAAAATTGAAAATATTCAAGTCCGCTTTCATGATTGCGTTCGCGTAGAAAATAGAAAAACAAACGTTTACAGTACTTTTGACTCTGATGATACTGATGGTGATAACCATTATACTCCGTGGTATAGTGATAATAACGATAACCTAGGTTCATTGTTCATTGATTTTTTGGATTACTTTTCAGTCAAGAAAAACTTCAAAAGAATCTCAATTATCTGTGATGATGGCGATCTTGTAAATGCTGTCGAAAAAGATTGGAGACAATACTATGTGGGGATTCAAGATCCCTTTTTTACCAAGAAAAATATTGCGTTAGTAGTATCAATTGAATGTTTATTTATTTAAGCTAATGTTTAGGCTGGTTTAGACGTAATATCAAGTACCATGGATTGGATAATGTAGTGGAAATATTTTCTTCGGCGGCACATCTTTTGAGAAAAGGAGGTTCTTTCCAAGATATATGTGAAATGTGAAACATATTAACTTTCTGGACAAACAATTTTTAATAAAATTCTGTTGTGAAATAAAAATATATTCCAAACATAGTACGCGCACCCATTTCTGGCTTAAAAACAAAGACCACAAATCATCTGATTATTATTACACAATCTATCATCGTAACGTAAACTATCTTTTTCACATTCAGCCGTTAACTTTTACTCTCTATTAGAGTCTAATCATTAATATTTAAGCACATGTTATTTAATTATATCGACATTAGATTACTAACAAATGTTTTAGATATCCCGATTATATCTTATTTCCAGAATATGGGACATTTTGACACACCAAAAAATGAGCCTACTTTTTTTCAGTTGTACTTAATAGCGGACTTCTTGTATCCGGAGTACCACGCAACAAAAGCACTTAAGATAATCCTGTTTCTATCCAGTTTAATTAGATCAATTGACTCAAATATTGAAACAGGATAAAAACTTTTAAAGAAGTTTTATTTAGCAGATGTATCTATTTTTCTGGAGTTAATACATGCAAATTTAAAAAAACTATCGCTTTTATAATCAAAAACCATTAGTACTTTGGATCCCTCCCAAAAAGATTTTACACAATAGGAATACTCTTGGTTGCTTTTTCTGGTATTATAAAAGTCCAGAAATTCTCATTGCCAAAAATTATTATCATCCGGGAAGGTACCTAGAAAAGGAGCTCCCGATTTTCCGTTTTTATTTACTAGTCAATAACATATCGTAAGTATTCATGTTAAGTTATTATTAGCAATAATTAACCGGTTTTATAGATACAGTTGTAACAAAAAGGCCAGGAAAACTAATTTAGAAGTTTGATTCGGCATGGAAGGCTTTGACGAGCGGAAAAGGCCTTCAATATAAGTATTTATGGGAGTAAATTATGAATTTAAAGTTATTTTTGGGGTAATAACTATATCTTTTGTTCAAAATGCTACATACGGAATAAAGTGCGCACTCTTGCTACGATATTACCATTAATCACAAAATCGATAAATATTTCTATATCAATTTTAAATCTCAAGCAATAATAATTTTATTTTGTAAATCCTGCTTTTATCTTGTAACATAAGCTTATACATAATATTGAATATAGTTGTATCATATTTATTGCCAATAACTGGTTGAGATAGAACGGCCGAACATATCCAGTTTAAATAATTATATTCTCTTTTAATCTTGCTTTCTTTGTTTTCCTCCATAAAATATGAAAATAGAAATAGTTCAGAAGCTTTTAACGAATATAAACATTTACACAATCGAAAATAATGTTGCTGAATTTGATTTTGGTACGAAACAAGCAAGTGTGGTACTTCTTGAACATCTCGATAGTCATTTAAAAAAAATTGTACCTGAAGAGTATGAAGTTATGAAATCTCAAGAATCTACGTTATTGGACTTTTTGATTTCAGAAGAGGTGTATGAGAGCTCAAAGCGGTGGGTATACGAAGTCATGACTATCGCCCAATATGATAAAGACTTGCGCCGATTGAATAATAGTTTTTTGACTTTGAAGACACACGAAACATGTGATACTCAATTGATAATTATGTATCTGAAGAATCCAGTAGAATCACTCACAAAAGAAATGATAGACTGTTACAAGGTAAATCAACAAAAAGTGGTAATAAGACAGATTCTGACATATGATTAGAAAGTTTATCTTTCCAAAGAAGATGTGTACAAGAAGAAAAGAGCTATCAAAGAGAAAGTAAACACAGCTGTTCAGTCGGCATTTCCTCAATTGGATATATCTGTTCAAATGATTAGGTGATATAAAAAATTTAACGCTTGAATTTGACTTGCTAACAAGTACTATTTATCAATCTAGATCTTGTTATACTGAATTAGCTTTTCCTGAAGACATTTTGAACTTGGGTATCATAATTCCTAGCTGTTCTACCAAAGACGAAAAAAAATTCGACAAATTCAAAAAGCGCTATGATTGCTTGAATGATATGGACAACTTTATCGAGTGCTTGCAAAATATCGGAATGGTTGATATCGAACGTCGTGACCGTAAAGATGTTTTTTTATTTACAGACTCATTGTCCGGGTACAACTGTCAAATTGGAATTGATAATCGCATGCTTTATGAAAGAGAAAAGTTGATTGAAACATATCTTGAATTGGATGAAAGGATTAGACCGTTGATATGTGTCGTCTTTTATTTCTGCCGATCGCAATTAATCAAAAGAGGTAAAAAGTTCTTGTAAAAAAATCAAAAATCAAATGGAGCCGTCCCTATTAACTTTTAATTAGTGGAGGATAGAGATCCGTTTTTAGGCACTTATTCACTGACCATCTTGGTATTAAACTTTTTGATGAATGGGTTGGATAAACCAGTTATTCCCTGTCTTCAAGAGCTACCGAAAAACAGTACTTGTAACTTTAAGGATTGTTTGTACAACAAAAACAAACAGTTTGTAGCTACAACAAAATATGACAACATTATCAAGGAAATGCGGTTTTTATATCACACATGTGTAATAATTAAGAGCGGCAATGAAGATTTGAACACTGTATTGGAAAATAAAACTACATGGACTAGCCATAACAGTGATAATTTAGGAACGCTCTTGATTGCATTTTTTCGGTACTATGCTGATGTAAAAAACATAACAGGAGGAGTCTCTATTGCTCAAGCAGGCAGAACGTCTTACCGAAACTCCAGTATGTCTATTACTATTCAAGATCCGTTTTTGCCCATCAATAACATTTCGTAAGTATTCAGTCAAATAATTAACAACAATTAAAAACCCTTTTCTTAGATGCGGCTGTAAAAAAAAATATATGGAAATATCAATTGGAAAATTTGATTCCGCATGGAAGGCATTGTCAGACGGAGAAAACCTTATGTATATTTGTGGAGACAGATTGCTTGCCTATTAATATGTTTTACTGCTTTTACTTTTACACGTAAAGCCACATAATAAAATTCCCACTTTTACTACAATCGGATTATACACTTGTAAAGGCAATACAATAATATTTATCACTAACTTAACTGCCTTTAAACACAGTAACATATAGTCATTGTTCTTGTGGCGAGTCTAACAAGCAATTGAACCTTTTCGACGATATATGAAGTTAATATGGCTCATTTAATTCTGGAACCCCCGCTCCATAGAATTTTTTTTTATTGTTAATCTTTTCCATACCGAAGAACCTTAATCTGTTCTCATTGTAATGACTGTTTTTTTGCTGTACAATGAATTTTAATGTCTTGTATAAAAAGCGACTAATGCAAACGTTCTTTTAAATCACTGGATGAACGTTCATGCTTGTACTACCTACGTTAAGCGTTTGAATTCAATTACAACTTAGGTAAATAAATAATAGTTCGGTCGATAAAAGTATTTCTTTTGTTCAATCCAAAAGGATTATTATATTTGTCACTGTTGCTGCGTTGTGTTAAGATAATAAGGTAAGCAAGCTGTTTGATAAACACTAACACAGTCGTCTAGCAACAATATAGGATGTTCTACATGTATAAAAACAACAATTGGGTATTATAGTAGTATGGAATGTATGTTATCTTCAATTGAAAAGCCCTTATTTCCAATCACTGATACAATTTTGTAAAGTATGGCGAGGAGGAGGGGGGGGGGGAGGAGTTAGCAACTATTTGGATAGAATTAACGACAGGAATCTTGATCTATACGACAAGAAACATAATGGTTATAATTGAACGCCCTGAAGCTAAGTAATTCAACTTTTGAACCTGATTTTGTAATCAGTAGTCAATCTTATAACAATGAGCCACACTTACAGAATATCACTCACTTATATGTATATAAAAAAAGGTAATCCATTGTTTTTTACTCTTCGTTATTACTATGGGTGGTTGTTGCAGTTCAAGTGGAAGCTCTACATCAAGCGGCGTTTCTCAATCGGCTTCAAGTATTGCACGATATTGGAACGCTAGATAGTATTAGTACATGTGATTCAATATATATTTAACACAGCGGCGCACTAGGTGGTAAAAATGTACCACCGGTTGATTTTTTGAACTTCCAGACGTGAAATTGTACCACCGGTGGTAAAAATGTACCACCACGAACTTGCATTTTCTATTTTTTTTTTCCTTCATATTTTGAGAGATTATGCCAAAACCTGTTTGGGAGAGTTAAAAATCGAGGTATCTCAGAATTCTGTGATGATAAATTGCACCTGGGGTAAGCTTTCCCGTGATATCAAGATGAAATACATCATCATGTTGGAACGATTAGCCAAGAAAGGTAAAACAGACTTGGATAGATGCCAGAACTACTGGGGGGAGCAGAAAGGTTGTTGGCAAGTGTAGCTCACAACAGACTGGGAAAAAGGGTAATACAATGACTAAACAATCACACTTATTTATTATTATGTTTCTAATGCGTTTTCTGTAGAACGTGTCAACCCGGGAATCAGGATCTTTGTCGGATGACGAAGAGACTATTCCCTCTATTGCTGAACTAGAGGAAGAACGGAATAGTCCTCTGCACGGCGATGAGAATACTGGCGTAGAAGAGCTTGAACAGACTTTAGAAGATGACCGTATCCACCGCTCTAGAAGAAAAATAGCCAGAAGATAACTACTAAAAATTTCAAAGAATTCGCACTTTGAATAATCTAATGGATTAATAAACTTACTTTTTTTTTTTTTTTTTTTTTTTCTCTTTCTCTTTCTTTCTCTTCGTAAATTCTTATTTGCACAACCTAAGTTTTGTAATATATGATATGATTACAATCTCGCAGGTTGTAGAAAAGACTAAACAATAAGAAAAGGTAGTAATATAGCATATATAAATATTCATCCTATTCCTGGCTTATAAGTTTCGTAGAAAGTTTGTATATTCGCTTTGTGACATATGGTGAAGGCACTAGATAACATTACATCTTCATTACGTTTTTTAACTGTGTTGTATAGATTCAGAGCTTTTTCTGTGCTGATATTAAAGGCTTCAATATGTAGACAAGCTTCTTCCAGGCTGATGAAATGTTTTTTAGGCTATAGAAAATTTTTTTAGCCTGCATTTTTTTTTATTTTAGTCTGTATTTTCTAATTTTAGGGCGATTTATTTTTATTTTAGGCTACATTTTTTTATTTTATGTTGTATTTCTCAAGGAAGTCCAACTTTTTTCTTAGTCTTATATGCTGTTATACCTTATGATCCCTTGGCTCTTTATGATGTTTATTGAAAGACTTTTTCTTGCCGTTATATCTTGTTGATAGTAAGTTAATTAATATTTCCATTTAATTTTTTTCTGGTGATAATATGGATGCAAGTTCAGTAGCTTCGAAGTGAAAATACAAAATAAATACCAATAAAAACGTTTTCTATACCCCCATTTTTTCACAGTTTTTGTGTATTTATACGTAAATTTTTTTTCGATTATGTAATGCTTTAAAGTAATAAAAGTGCAACGGAATGAACAAAAAGACATTTTAAAGTGGTAAAAACAAACAACAGACGGAACAATATATCAATGTAAAGTGGTAAAAACATGCAACAGACGGAACAATACATCAGTTTAAAGTGGTAAAAAGATACAACTGTTGGAGTGTTTGAACCATTTAAAGTGGTATAATGATACCACTGGTGGATAAAACGCACCACCTCTGGTGGTATAAATTTGTTTTTTTTACCACCAGAGGTGGTGAAATCGTACCACCTGTACCACATCTGGGATAAAAAATCAAGGGTTTTTACCACCGCAGGTGGTCTAAGTTGGTACTTTTTTACCACCTTTTACCACCGAGTGCGCGGCTGTGTAATAAAAGGAGGACTTCTGTGACATTGTGAATATAATAAAGCGAAAAAATATTTGATATTTGAACACATATCTAAATTTAACGAAATACTTACCATTGAAAGGATCCACTAATTGTAATATCAATAAATACATCGTCTTTGGCGACAGTACCTATTATATTTAAATTTGCTCATTCTTATTCCATGTTTTTTGTCACAATAATGAGCACCCATTTATATGTATACAAGGTCGTTGGCAGAACAATTATCTTTAATTTCTCATCTGTGTATAATTTCAATGGGTGGTTTATGTTCTTGTATCTGTTGTGGTCTTAGCAGCTCTAACCAAAATGCGTCAAAATTTGAACGTGGGTTATTTGGAAAGCATGTGTGATGGTTACAAATATTAAAATTTGAATAAAAATTTCAACGAGATTGTCAATATTGCTTTAAAACGTAAAATCTACATTTTAGGAAAAGAAAAGCTCTCGTTGGTTTGTACCATCAGTCTCAAAGAAGAAGAGGCTGGTTTAAACAAAACCTGTTACGCAACAACAGCAACTATATGCTGATAATAAAGCATATCAATGGATGAAAGCCAGGTTACTATTATGATTTCCAATCTTCTTTGATATTCGGGTTTGGTCTATTTAGGTGAGTAATTTACAGCACAAATTTACTCATTGATCTTTTAACACGATGGCTCTAATTTTGTAAAAGCTTGTTTTTTTTGTACACACAAAGCAACCGCAACTATCAAGCTATTTACAGCCGATTGGCAACTACGAAAAAAACAAGGCTTATTGGTTACTAACGTCATTTTATGACAATTACAGTTGAGAATACAAAACAAAAACAAAAACTATCTGACACAAACAAAACAATAACAGTAATGATCAATTTGTAGTTGGTAATAAGCATAACATTTTTTTTTTTAATTTCTATTGTTTAGGGGTGTGTATAGTTGGGAGAAGGGTACTTAATTTTTTTGATATATAGAATGAGGAACAATTTTTTTTCTTTTTTTTTTCTTTTTATGTTTAACGATATTTCCTTTGCTTACGGATGTTGAGAAAAATCCCAAGGATTTAATAATAATCCCATCATGGATTCATTGGGAGAATCAGGTATGACTGGATCCATTGGGAAAGAAGGATCCAGCATCATATTTTGTTGGTGATATTGTTGTTGTTGTTGGGTGATTGGTATCATATAAGGTAACTGGGTATTGTTGCTCATTACAGGCGCTGAAAACCGGTTATTTTGAACCGCTATTGCATGCAAGTTACGAGGAGAAGGTGGTATAACCCCAGAAGATGGAGTCGATGTCGAAGACGGAGACGTATTCGCCATGATCACATTCGAAAGATCCGGCGGTGTAGAGTTCGTCAGTGTATGCCGGCGTAAATTGATATAAGGTCTCGCCGTACGTGTACGTTGCTGCGATGGCACCACAAATTCTCCCACTGAAGATGAACTCCGTAGTATTCCTGTCTTTCGCGATATTGACGTCGATCGTAGTGGCGTTGCTGGAAACGTCGGCGCCATTGTATTACCACCTCCCCCATTACTGTTCATCCCGCTATATTCGCCTCCAAACTGACTTGTAGTTGGCGAGGATGGTTGTGAATAGCTCGACATTCTTTGGCGCTGTTGTTGCTGTTGCTGTTGTTGTTGTTGCTGCTGCTGCTGTTGTTGTTGTTGTTGTTGTTGTTGTTGTTGTTGTTGTTGTTGTTGTTGTTGTTGTTGTTGTTGTTGTTGTTGTTGTTGTTGTTGTTGTTGTTGTTGTTGTTGTTGCTGCTGCTGCTGCTGCTGTTGTTGTTGTTGTTGTTGTTGTTGTTGTTGTTGTTGTTGTTGCTGTTGCTGTTGTTGTTGTTGTTGTTGTTGCTGCTGTTGCTGTTGCTGTTGTTGTTGTTGTTGCTGTTGCTGTTGCTGTGATTGGTGAAAATAAGGGGATTGTTGATACAATGAACCCAAAGCGGGGGCAGACAACCGGTTGCTGGCATAGGGTGACCTGTTTGTTGCAGGTCGCATACGATGATTGATAAGCTCAGGGACATAAGAGCTACTAGATTGCATAACATAATTAAGATCTGTGGTAGGAAATTGAAGTGAGGCTCTTGAATGCCTTTTTCGAACAGTGGGTGTTGGCAAACTTGGACTGTGGGGTGATTTGAGAGTAGGAATAACAGGCGAAGATCGAGTAGAAGACGTATTTGAAGGTGAAAGCATTGAATAATCAGGAGCTTTATCAACCCACATGGATGGTGGCACGTCTTGATGACTCGTTTCCAATTCGGTGACGGGTGATTTGGGTATCAGTATTTGTAACAGTGTCCATGTTCGATCATACATTTCGCCTGCCATATCGGAGGACTGGTACGAGTACATATTTCGAAGCGACCTTTGAATGGTGAGAGCAGCAGTAAGACAGTAAATGATCTGTTGATTGCCACGCGTGACAGGATAAAATGCATCTGAACCTTCCTTCTTTAAACTATGATCCACAATCTGAGTTATTGTTGAAGCCGATGAGAAACAGTGTGAAATGTACGTTGGTTCTTGGTACTCATCCGAGAGTGCATAAGGTCGATAGAGCAAAATGATGACTGAGTGATATATCAAGTGCACAAAATAAGAATGCACGCTACTCTCTTCTGTCATTTGGGGCAAACGCGCACCCAACTCCAATAAATCGTTTTCCAGGATCGAGAATTTCTCTTGCTCATCGGTCAATTCGTTGGCAGAGTCATGTCTCCAACGCATAAATTCAAGTACAGCCGCCTGCTTGTGTATCACCTTGGACAGCCAATGAAAATCCGAAACGGCTTTGGAATCATTATTTGATTCATCGGAAAGGACGTGCGGGTATTTGACCGTGCACTCTTCTTGACAAAACTGCAGCTGTAATCCTTGTTCAGTGCTAATGCGGGGCTTTATTTTTATTATTTCTGGAATTTGTTTTTAAACATTGTGGATCAAAAAATTTACCTCATTAAAACTTCATATATATAGAGAGCCCAAAACGTTCTTGCCCTCATTTCGTATTCAAGAGCACAGTTTGATCGCGTACTTGGTGTTGGTTCTTTCCAAAGGCCTAAATCACTCGACATCTTGACAGCCAGCTGTATAAAGAATTTTGTTCTCCAGAAGAAACCAGGTCTTTGAATGTGTTCATGATATTTTGCTAATAAAACGAGTGCTTGTACGGTAGATAATCGAGGGGCATCAGCATACGAATCAATTAGACTAAGTGCCTTTTTATAGTAGGGCCAGCCCGGGGGATCATTATTTTGAGCAGCCGATGAATTGATAAATCGTGAAGAGACAGCATAAATAGCATTTAGTAATAGAGTGGATAATTGAGGTTGGTTTAATGATGATTGCTGAATAAACGGTAAGGATGGATGTACATGATCCAGATAGGATTGGATTAAATCCATTCTGGGAGCGACCATAATAGTAGACATCATATGTGGCTGTGGTGGTTCAGTATGTAAATTTTGTATGTCCGTCTGTTGTTCGATACGATCTACGCGAGCAGGATAATCAGGTATATATAAAGCATGTCCAATTGTTGTGACATCAAGTTGTGTATTTATTTCAATCATGGGATCTATCAGGTTAAGCATGAGTTTTTGCTGTCAAGATATGTAAAGATTAAGCTGTACCTTTTGTTTCCCAATCGTTATTTAATTGTGTTGTTTTTATATCATCTAAAGAGAGTTCAAGCACTTGTAGTACGTTATCGATAGTCTTTAATCTGCTTTCAAATGGTTCTAAATATTGTTTGGGTGGGCCTCTTTTTGGTGTGACATTTGAAAAGATACATTCTGTAGAAGACTTTTGACATCTTGCACAAGGCTGAGCTCCATCGCAACGTACCTACAAAATAAAAAAAAAATAAAAATCTGAGTTTAATATAATTGTGTGCTCAGTGAAACTTGGCGAGTTGATACAAGCAGTATTGTTTAAATATGCAACCCAACCTTTTTTTTAAGGTACCTTTCTTTTTCGACATTCGTCACATGCCCGACTCACTTTGTTTCGCTTGATTCCACTGTTAGAAGATAGTCGGTTCTTACGTTCCGGTAATTCTGGTGTGGGTGGTGATGAGTCGTCCATTCTGGCATTGTTTTTAGGCTCTCTCGTCTCTAATTCCTTTATATTTTTTCCCTCTTGTATTTTTTCTTGAATATTATTGGACTGTGTTTTGGGCTTTATTTTTTGTTGTATGTAAATAATAAAAGGGTTAGGGTTTAAATAATTAAATAATAATAGAGACAAAGAGCAAAAAAAAAAAAAAATGTTTTTTTTTCGCCTTTTTTTGTCTCCTACCTTTGTAAGAAAAAAAAAGACTGTTTCAGGCTGAGTTTAATTTCCTGTTGAACAACGTTGCCCCCGTCCTATTGTTCACTGTTATAAGGTTGAGGACAATTGGATGGGGTTAATCATTCAAATAGAAAGTCTTGATGTGACTTGCCTGCTCATTGACGTAGGCAAACATTTTGGTTATCCACCAACTGGGGATCCCTCTCCTTTTACAAAGTCAGTTGAAAACTTTTGGCACAAAAAAATTACGTGACTGATTTTGGCAAGAACTTTTTCCATCCCGCTAGTTATAGACCTCTCCTGTCGATGCAAAAGCCCTTTGTAATACCATCGAGAGGGCCCGGGCGTTAAATTCTTCATCTAAACCTAATCTCCTCCCCAGCTGCTATGTTGTAAACAGAACAAATATCTTACTACCAAATCACAAATCAGCCCTGAAAAAAAATTAAAAGCCCATTACTGCTCAAAGCAAAGATCATTTTGTTGCCTGGCAATGATGTAACTATCGCGTTGCGTGACATGTTGAAATGATCGACATTGTACCTTTTTTTTTAAAAAAAAAATGTAACCACGTGTATAAATTTAAAACAATTTCTATCTTTTATTTCGTAATCTCATACAGGTGCCATGCCTGTCATTCTTTTAACAAGCCTGACCTTATATGGACGTGGCAAAAGGTTTATACCGATGTTCTGCACATGGTCGATATCTGGCATCCCATCTGAACTTGGTTCCACAGAACAATGAGCAAAGATTCGAATAAACGCCGAAAAAACCTCCACTTCTGCCATATGGATAGCTGGACAAACACGTCTATTTAAGAAAAGAAAAAGTTGAGCTATCTCATGATTTATCTTTGTCCTTCTTATGCCTAACCTTCCCCAGCCAAAAACAAAATGATCTCTTTCTTCAAGTTTACCATTAGCCGCTGCTTGCATTGTTTTGGTATGGTTTAGGAATCTCTCTGGCTTGAAAATGTCCGGATCTGAATACATGCCGGTGTTTTTATGCATACTTTCCATATTTGAAATAACTGTGGCATCTTTTGGGATAGTATATCCATCTACAATCACTTTACATAGACTTGTCAATAATTTATGAGTAAATAGAATGATTTTTACTTACCATCTTTCTTCACGGCGTGAGGGATGCCAAAGGACGTGGTAGGCTTGAACCTCATACATTCCTTAATAACAGATATACTATACGGCATCTGAGCTCTGTCTTTGAATTGAGGAAGTCTACCGTTTTCTTCCATAAATTTGCCAATCTCTGCTGTTACCTGTTTTTGGGCCTGAGGATAATTACACATGATAGCTATATTCCACGATAAAGTAACAGCGATTGTATCAGTTCCTCCTCCAATCAAATCAACTAAAATATCGAGTCAGTAAAGAATTGTGATTTTCACAGTTATTATATATCAGTTTTACACATTAAAACGTTCATTTCCTCCTCTGAAAAAGTGTATCCGTTTTCTTTTAGCGAATTGACTATATTGGGTTTGTCACTCTTTTTTGCTTCCTGAATAAACCTTTTGACTGCAGGATTGACTTGCTGAGTAATGAAATTTTTCATCTTGCCTTGTATGCCAGTTAAGCGATCCATGAAAGAAAGTGCAGGTAAGAAATTTGGCAAGTCGTTTTGCAGCCCAGCAAATCCCAGACTCTTATTGATCAACTGAATCAATGTAATGAACTCAGGATCTTGAACGGATCGAAATGCTCGACCAAAGCAGGCGGAAAAAATTACGTTCAATGAATAAAGTTCCAAATGCTTCAGTGGATTTACCTCTCCTTCCTTTTCCGTAATCGCTTCTAGTTGTGTAATTAAGTCTTGGCCCTGTTGCTGAATCATGTCGGTATATCTTTCGATTTGTCTGGGCGCCATAACAGAAACAACTGGATTTTTTTATTTTAGTTCATATTTTACCTAGTTTGTTTTAACAGTTTACCTGCTGATCTGACTTCTTTCCATCCTGCGCCTGGTTGAGAAAAACCAATACCCCTGTCAAAATTACCTATATCAGTTTCTCTCTCCTTTCTACACTCAAAAAACGTATTACTTTACTTTCCTTGCGCGCTATAATAATAATAGGCATAGGTAGAATGCGGTCTATAAGAAGTTTCTACACCATGCGTCACAAATATCTTATGCGCTAGTATAGGATCATCCACTGAAATCCATGTTTGAGCCCCCATATACATTTTTATAATAGGTCCATACTTTTCATGCCATTTCGATATGGTTTCTGAAGGCAAGCTTCCCAGTGAAAGAAGGTGACCGATGTACGGAAAGGCTGAATCCGGTACAGGAATATCACTCTTCTTTTCCGATGTCATACGCGTATAAAACACGCACAAAAGTACGACTGTAGCAATGGAAAAGCACTTCGTCTCTTGCGTGACTGAGTGGACCACTTTTAACATTTTGTATTTTGAGAGAGAGCGAAAAGAAAAAGAAAGATAAATTATTTGCGCTCTTCTTGGGTAGCAAAATATATTATGCACTCCTATTCTGCTTTTTCGATTCACAAAATACAATAATATCATTGGCTAATGAAATAAAGCACGTTATCGTGTAGCTGGGAAAGCTTATTGGTATCTCAAGATCATTTCTATAATGCGACACGAACATTTATCAAGTAAACACTAAAAAAAAAAAAAAAAAAAAAAAAAAAAAAAAAAAAAAAAAAAAAAAAAAAAGCTGGTAAAAAACCTGATACTACACAGCAGATCGAAAAAAAATGAACGACAAGGCTTCAGATGTTTGTGACACAAACGACTTCTATATTGGTTGACATAAAGTCAAAAAGCTAAGCCGTAAAGACAGATCAAAGTATCAGCATACCCTCAAATCGGGATTAAATTAAGGTATCTATGGTGTCACCACTAGTTTATTATAATTAAATAAAAGTGGAAGGGTTTCCTCACAGATGAGGGTAAGCAAGGTACTTTACAGATGCATTACTTGCTTTATTTTCTACCTCCCCTGAAGACTGCATACATCGAGTGAGTTGCATATTTCTCTAGAATCTTGATTATAAATTCATATGTCAGCCGGAAAAATATGTAACCGAACTTTCAAAAACGTTCACACATTTGAAAGCATCTTTGTGCTGACACATTAATTTGTTTCCCAGTCCCCACCCCCGGAACTCGAAAAAACTCAACTGGTTTAGAAATAAAGCTGCATCTATATTTTTTCTTCTTTTTTTTCTTATCCATAAAGAACTATTTTATCACATAACGAAATGGTAGAGACTAAAACGAACACAATGAAGTATGAATTTGATTCTGTCAAGGAGGCACTCGAAGACTTTGGTAAGTTAACAAGGAAGAAAGAAGAAAGAAGAGGGGTCACTAATGAGGAGAGTGTAATGTAGCTGCCAACAAGTTTGTCATCGTCATGGATAATGAAGATCGCGAGAACGAGGGTGATTTGATTATTGCTGCAGAAAAAATTACCACAAAGCAAATGGCATTTTTGATTCGTTACTCCAGGTTTGTTTCTTTTCCATATTTATCTTACGATGACTAATACCTTCTCTTTTTTTTTTTTTAACAAACAAAGTGGATATATATGCGCTCCTACCACAGGCGAACGTTTAGATGAATTACAGTTGCCATTGATGGTGGAAAGAAATACAGAGTTAATGAGAACAGCATATACCGTATCTTGTGATTATGCTCATGGCACCACCACAGGTATCTCAGCTCACGATCGTGCCTTGACCTGTCGTAAATTGGCCGATCCCACAAGTAGGCCAGAGGATTTCATGCGTCCCGGTCACATCTTGCCTCTTCGCTCCGTGCCTAACGGAACCTTCGAACGTTTTGGTCATACTGAAGCTGGTGTCGATCTTTGCAAGTTAGCCGGTGTCGCTCCTGTTGCATGTATTGGTGAGATCATTAAAGAGGATGATGATGAAGGTGATATGGCAAGACGGGATGACTGTTTCGCTTTTGCAAAGAAGCACAATATCAAAATGATTACCATCCAAGATATCATTGCCTATAGAAAGTTAACCACTGCATAGACTACCCTAAAAAAAACAAATTCCCTTTAATATGTACATACACTTTTTTTTTATGATAAAAAATTGGGATTTATTTATTGAACTCAAATGGTTAAAAATTCATATATATTACTGTCTTCCGTCTTGGATTAACAACAGCTGGATTTCGAAGTGGTGACTCAACATCAATGTCTTTCTGCAAATGACTGATGTCCAAGCATGGCGCCATGTCACACCTTCCTCTTTTAGGAAGACTCATTTTCATTTAAACATTGAAACACAACACCGCCTAATTATTTTTTAATTGGCCAATTCGCGCTCGATTGGTTTGGGATTCTTTCACTTGTCTATTGCTTAATTGACTGTGCATTTTGAAAGATATTACTGTATACTGAAATAATTGCAGCCCCAAATTAATAAAAAGACAATAAAGAATGAATCTATAAAGTAAAAGTATCTATATGTTTGGATGATGGATGTAAAAAGCATGTAGCTATCTGTATATTCATTCAGCTAACCAATATGGTGTTTACTGTGCCTTTCTAGCTACGTTTCTTGATTGCTTTTACCTAAATATGTTACATGTACGCTTATTAAAAAAAGATCTCGTATGATTTATCCAGTAGTTATTCTCTCGCATTCTAGTGCGATTGTTTCTTTAGTCTCTGGCGTTATTATTAAGTTAGCAGCACAAATATATTTCACGGTGCATGCAATGCTAAAAGTATAAGCCATAACGGTGGCATTGTTTGACAATATAAAGAAAAAGCCCATTTACACATACACTAGTTTCAGATGCATCCATATTTAGGTATATCCTCGTTCTGTATTGATACCAATGCATACGATATTGAAAAATTACAGTCGCTACCAATAGGTTTTTTTTTTTTTTTTTTTTTTTTTTTGCAAAGATTTGAAATTATATGTAAGACTAGTATACCCTAGTTTATGTATTCTAAAAAAATAATGCGTGATTCTTTTGCTCCATATAAGCTTTCCTTTTCAATGAGTGCTTTGCTACTTCTACATCGGTTTTGATGTCTGTAATCAAGGAAGCTTTAAAGAAAACAATATAAATACAAAAGAGATAATGATGATATAAATGCAAATTTCCTTACCAAGTGAAGGATAGTTCTGTTCCGGTCTTATAAACCCTAATACTAATACACGAATAGGCGCATCATAGAAATCCTCGGGAAATTCATGAATTATATGGACTTCCTATTTTTTAATGAATAAAAAATAAAGCTTAATTTTTTTAAAATAATCACTTACTGCTGATCTCTTTTCATTCTGGAAATAAGGATTCCAACCCAAACTCATCACCATGGGGTATACTTGACTTTTACTTTCGCCAATCTGTGTCCAGCCATAATAGACGCCAGTCTCAAGCCCGGAAACAAGAGCACTAATCGCCTCATCGGACAAGTTTGCTTTAATAATGTCAGTTCCTTTTCGGGTGGGATTTATATAAAATTACCAGTAGGAATGCCTAGTTGCTTTGAGCCTCTGCCATAGCCTTTAACAACAGTTCCTTGCAAAGAAAAGGGAAAAGGCTTTGTGGGGGTCTCGGGTCCAACCAAAAGTGGACGATCAGGGTTAATGTCAATTTTATTCATTTGAAACTGAAACTGGGTAAAAGAGAGAAAAGAGGAGAATTAAAAATTAATGATGCTGCAAAGCTTTTGACCAATTTGATATTCTCTGTAAAGTTGCTTTGTCGTCATTATAATATGATTGTCTCTCCCTTTCTGACTTTAATCTAAGCCTCTCTATTTTCTTGCGATGATAATCACATATATCCTCATCATCCTCATCATCATGTTCAGTGGGTAATTGTCGGCATACGGCACTAAGAGGAATAAAAGAAGTATCCCATATAATCTTTCGTGTTTGATCTACAAAATCTTCCAATACTTCTGCTTTTTGTTTCCATGCATTTCCATCTTGTATATCTTTTGCTACTAAGTCTGTCTGAATACCCTGGTTTAAATACTCTTTCTCCATCGCATTTAATTCTTCAATATCACATCGTGTTTGGCTAAACTCCAATTCTGCTTTTGCAAATTGTGTCTCTAATTTCTAGTAACAAAAACTAATTAAGTCTTCTCCTTACTATTGACTCATATTAATAGCTTCCATTTATACCGTGATTTTGTCATCAAATTCTTGTGTTATATTTTTACATCGTTCGTCCACCCTTTCCAATAAACTTTGTTCCACTAAATTAGTTTCTGGATATTCAAGCGGTCTATAAGGTGCAATAGTGCGATTATGAATCGCAAGTACTTGTTCTGTAAGCGGCATAATTGGTTTTTTTCTCACAGGCTCGGATAAAAATGACTTGGCCTTTTGGCTCTCATTAGCGGAAGACCTACCATTCCTCGAAACTATTTCAAAGAATTAATCTACAATCATGTCTTCTCTTTTTTCTTTTTTCTTTTTTTTACTTGCGGCAACTGATCTAGTTCTGCTATGAGCTGTAGGTACATGCTCTATGGAAGAAAACGAGGAATCTAGCTCGGAATCAAAGTTTGGGTGATTTACACTGGCATTTCTTTTGGTATATTTCAGGTATCTGTAATCAGTCGAATCCACAGACATGGGAAATTAAGGAACAAAGAAAGTCTCAGTTGAAAAAAAAAACAATTTATGCAGCCCTTTTGATAATATTGGCAGAAAAAGTCACGCTTGCCAGGTTGGAAACCCTTATTGGGTAATCATCGTCAACAGGGAAGTTGATACAAGTCCATATTCACGATGTTCCAAGATTCTCTACATACTAAGATCCTCAATAATCACCTTAAAATAGTGCAGTGAACAGTCAGAGGTTTCAAACTAACGTAACCGAATTATCGCTTTTTTCAAATATGTGGTTTTTGGGCGGCCTAGAGCTATCCTTTAATCAATTTATGTAATCGATTGACAGTTTTTGACGTGAACAAGTTCTTGATTATCAATAGTTTTTTGCTGTAAAAAAAAAAACTTTCCATTTAAGCCTTTTTCTTTCAGGCAGGTAATATTACTACTATCAGAGCCGTTAACGCACGCCCGCCGGAATCTCATTTATGGGACCTCCACGTCCCTCTCTTGACTCTCGTAGCTAAGACATCGATACTTTGATGTGAGCTCGTCTGTATCTTGTAAGAGCTGATGCTGATAGTATCTGGATTTTATAGACACCAAAAATCTAAATGGGAGAAAAGTGGACGATCAGTTTTTTTTTTGCGGGTTTACAAGATCCCAACAAGCGTTCTTATTTTTTCAAATTACGTTTTATGAATTAATAAACTTAATCTTTCTTGACTTATTGATTGAAACACAATTTTCCTTATAAGGCCGAATTGAAAAGTACTTGTTAATTGAGGAGGAGGGGATATATATCCAATATTTATTATACAACTAGAAGGGGGGTGAATAAAATGGTACAAATAATAATTTTAAAGGGACATCAGATTGTTTGGTATGGGAGCAGGGACCGATTCTTTTCTTCTTGGGGGAACCCAAGTTCCTCGTGTCCAGCTAGACTTGACACTCTTGTCTTTCTTTTCTTTCAGACCAGTGGTATATTTAGAGCCTTTGACAGAAGCATGACCTAACTTGATATCATTAGCTTTGTGGAGAAGCTTGATTGTTTCATCACGAAAACAAAGCAACTCACTGAAAAAATTTTCAGTGGTACCGGTAAAGCTTAAACGACCAAAAAGTTAACCGGCCGGTAATGGTCTAAGCTTACACCGTTACCGGCGGTAGAGGTTCAAAAAAATTAAACCGTTGCCGGCGGTAGAATCAAGAAGGCTTCCTGATTGCAGCAATCCTAATTACGGTACCGATTGACTCTTTAAAATTATCAATAAAGGTACCGTCATTCTGAACAGCCTACAGATGTATTTGTTCTGTGTGAGTAAATGGGAAATGTCTAGACCTCTCTATATTTTTTTTAAACGTATTTTTTTATACCACTTACAGAGATCCTGGCCAAGACCAGCAGGCCAGTATCAGCCCAGCCATTTACAGTGTAGCACCTGTTATTCACAGGCTGTGAGTTCGAAAAACTCAAGAACCCTGCCTAGGATGTCGCCATCCTATAGCAAAGACTAGCCGCAGCCGCAATAGATCTTTTTCGATTTAGCGTCTTTTGAAAGAAACCGAAGTGTCATTACTAACTAACCTTTTTACATTATCAGTAAATTTCATAAGATAGAAGAAATATGTTAAAGGAAAAGAAAAGAAGAAGAATAAAGTGTATGAACCAGCTTTATTTATAGGCTGATAAACAAGAGCTTATGTCAGAATGATTTAATTGCTTGTTTCATCTTTCGTGATGTCTGGGTCTTTACCCAAAATAGAAACACTTGCAAAAACCTCCCAAGCAAGTCAGAACTTGGTGGTTATCTATGTTGAGGATATTATAGATATAATAATAAAGTCAATTGTCATATCACATTAAGGATGGATAATAAATATAAAAGTTAATCATGAATCACACATTACCCACACTTGTTCTCATCCTACCGTTGAAGTCTGTACACAGGGCACAACCCTGTGGTGAGTACATATTTATTCTGCAAAAAGTAATGCAATCGAATGGGCCTGGACTATAGAATATTAATAGATCCTGAGCACAAATATTACTCTTGTCATTTGATGTTATAACTGTAGATCCCTCTGACTAATATTTATATACTCAGTATGGAAGGGCTAAATTTAAAAGACATGTTGATTATTTACTATAACCAGATTACTACATCATGATCCAATAAGGCGCTTAATATTCTCCCTGGAACTATCAAGTTCTTCATATGAATATCCATAATTTTTTTCTCATAGACCATCATACGTTTTTAATTAATTTATTTTTTCGTCCATAATAAAGTGGTATCCAAGTTCTAACAGCATCAATTTTGGTTTTACTTTAATTTTGTTCTCCATGCAAAACACTGCTAATAAAGTATGATGTTTATATAATAAATTGACTTTTTTTTTTTAATACACATTTACTCGGAAATGTCTAGAACTCCGTATTTTTCGCAAACGTATTTTTTAGAATCATGTGATGGTCTACACATAAGTCTTTACCTCGATTGACATGTCATATCGTCTAAACTTAGGATCATTGATTTTTGTTTTCCATAAAATCTGCTTCACTGTCATTACAGGCTACTACTGGAACGCAGATAGACAATTACCAAGTTTTGATTTGCTTGGGGAGTTTTTTTTTTTTTTTTTTTTTTTTTTGCATATGTTTCTATTTTAAGTAAAGACCCAGACATTATGAGAGATGAAACAAGCAATTAAATCATCCTGACATAAGCTTGTTTATCAGCCTATAAATAAAGCTGGTTCACACACTTTCTTCCTCCCTTTTTTCTTTTCCTTTAACATACTTCTATCGAATGAAAGTAACCCATATTGTAAAAAGGTTAGTTAGTAATGACACTTCGGTTTCTTTCAAAAGACGCTAAAATGAAACAAGTTATTATTGCGGTATTGCGGCTGCGGCTAGTCTTTGCTATAGGAGGGCGACCTCCTAGGGCAGAGAGTTCATGAGTTCTGGAACTCACAAACCGTGAATGGCTGTGAGTACACTGTAGATGGCTGTGAATTTACTGGCTTGCTGGTCTTCCGGCCAGAATTCCTGTAAGTGGTATAAAAAAAATACGTTTGAAAAAAATACGGAGGTCTTGACATTTCCGTATTTCAGTGCCTCAACAAAATTGTTTCCTTTATTTGGTAAGAAAATGATAGAATGGTATTTCTGCTCAAGCGTTAATGATTATATTTATATATATTTTTTTGTATAGGTGTGAAAAAGGCTCCCCATCAAATAAACAATTGATGCTTTGTCTCTCCGAAACCCAGCGTAAACTCCTGGATGGTATTGGGTTTAGCCCCAAGGACAAAGGTGAGCGTATAATGATGGAGTGCTCAGGGTATGTATGATAAAAATTCCGATACATAGATATCACACAAAGTCGGCGGTACTGTACTAACGCCTTTTCCTACTTACTCACACTTGTGTATACAGGGAAGAAGCTGGAAACCATACCGAAGAAGATACCCTGAAGTTGATGGAATACACTAGCAACTGTTTGAAGAACGAAATACATCAATACCAATATGCATCTTGGACAACATTTGGACGAAGACGCATATTTGCCATACAATGTATTGGGAATAAATTGACATTGCTATCAACCAGTCGTATGGGAATTGGAAAATGGTGCTTTGTGGAGATACGGTCTGCAATTGTACCAAGAGACTGGGAAGACCGATACTATTTGAATCGTGTCATGGAATTGTTAATGAAATTAAAGGTAAGGTTATAATCAAGTCAAATTTATTGGAATCAAATAGAAATTGCTGACAATATACATTATATACGGTGATGACATTTTAGGAAATGCTTCTTGAACAAGAAGAAGTAATTATGGTTTTGAAGCAACAACTATCAGGACAGTCTCCTGTAGATATCAAGGATACAATCAAAGCGGTCATGTCGGGCCGGTACCACTGTTCATCCAGAGGTGGAATCGATGGACCAAGCCGGCAAGAAGATTTAGGTCAACCATACCCAAAAGGTTAAAGCGAGTGAAGAAGGATGCTGCATGAGAGCATCGGTGTTCAAATTGTATTTTTATATTTTTAGTTTCACAGAGTATTAATAAAGATTATCTTTTTCTCTCATAAAAATAATATTGGCCACGCCCCACAGCTGCGTCGCAAAGACTCAATCGCCAAACACTAAGACAATTGACAGTCAGTTGATCAGTCCAAGCAATAAAGAAATTGTAGCCATATTCTATTGATCCAAAATAGAATTGTTATTCTTTTTTGTAAATCATTGTCATTATCATAGTATAGTTTTACCCCTTTTTACAATATCACCAATACCAATAAATGCTTCATTCTAGTTAATCTTTGTTTTTTTGTGTGTGTCTATCTTCACTGCCCCCATTCCAATAACAAGGTCGTCAACTACGCCTGCCATTTTCGTCGATTTGGATTGGATAACGGCATCTAGGAACATCCCACAATGTGCTCTTACACTAATTTGGCTCCTTTTCTAGTCGGATGCTAACTGAGATGGTCCAGTTGACAATGTACATTATACCCATAGTTTTTATACCTGGCACCACAAATTCATCATTATCTCCACGACCCCATCTAGATTATTATTATTTACCCTTATTTTGCGGACTGTCTTTAGAAAACACCAGTGTAGAATAGCTGTAGTAGTTAGTCTCTCCTCTTAGTTGTATTTCGAATATTAAGCGCCTTATTGGATCATGATGTAACAACCTGGTGATAGTAAATAATCAACATGTCTTTAAATTTAGCCCTTCCATACTGAGTATACAAATATTAGTCAGAGGTATCAACAGTTATAATATCAAATGACAAGAGTAATATTTGTGCTCAGGATCTATTAATATTCCATAGTCCAGGCCCATTCGATTGTATTACTTTTTGCAGAATAAATATTTACTCGCCACAGGGTTGTGCCCTGTGTACAGACTTCAACGGTAGGATGAGAACCAGCGGGGGTGATGTGTGATTCATGATTAACTTTTATATTTATTATCCATCCTTAATGTGATGTGACAATTAACTTTATTATTATGTCTATGATATCCTCAACAGTCGCTTCAAAATCATAGTTACTTCTTCTTGTTCAAGCAGCATTTCCTAAAATGTCATCACCGTATATAATGTATATTGTCAGCAATTTCTATTTGATTCCAATAGCTTTGACTTGATTATAACCTTACCTTTAATTTCATCAACAATTCCATGACACGATTCAAGTAGTATCGGTCTTCCCAGTCCCTTGGTACAATTGCAGACCGTATCTCCACAAAGCACCATTTTCCAATTCCCATACGACTGGTTGATAGTAATGTCAGTTTATTCCCAATACATTGTATGGCAAATATGCATCTTCGTCCAAATGTTGTCCAAGATGCATATTGGTATTGATGTATTTCGTTCTTTAAACAGTTGCTAGTGTATTCCATTAATTTTAGGGTATCTTCTTCGGTGTGATTTCCGTCTTCTTCCCTGTATACACAAGTGTGAGTAAGTAGGAAAAGCCGTTAGTACAGTACCGCCGACTTTGTGTGATATCTATGTATCGGAATTTTTATCATACATACCCTGAGCACTCCATCATTACACGCTCAACTTTGTCCTTGGAGCTAAACCCAATACCATCTAGGAGTTTACGTTGGCTTTCAGAGAGACAAAGCATCAATTGTTTATTTGACGGGGAGCCTTTTTCACACCTATACAAAAAAATATATATATATATAAATATAATCATTAACGCTTGAGCAGAAATACCATTCTATCATTTTCTTACCAAATAAAGGAAACAATTTTGTTGAGGCACTGAAATACGGAAATGTCAAGACCTCCGTATTTTTTTCAAACGTATTTTTTTTATACCACTTACAGGAATTCTGGCCGGAAGACCAGCAAGCCAGTAAATTCACAGCCATCTACAGTGCAATCGCAGCCATTCACGGTTTGTGAGTTCCAAAACTCATGAACTCTCTGCCCTAGGAGGTCGCCCTCCTATAGCAAAGACTAGCCGCAGCCGCAATACCGCAATAATAACTTGTTTCATTTTAGCGTCTTTTGAAAGAAACCGAAGTGTCATTACTAACTAACCTTTTTACAATATGGGTTACTTTCATTCGATAGAAGTATGTTAAAGGAAAAGAAAAAAGGGAGGAAGAAAGTGTGTGAACCAGCTTTATTTATAGGCTGATAAACAAGCTTATGTCAGGTTGATTTAATTGCTTGTTTCATCTCTCATAATGTCTGGGTCTTTACCTAAAATAGAAACATATGCAAAAAAAAAAAAAAAAAAAAAAAAAAAAAAAAAAAAAAAAAAAAAAAATTCCCCAAGCAAATCAAAACTTGGTAGTTGTATATCTGCGTTCCGGTAGTAGCCTTTAATGACAGTGAAGCATATTTTATGGAAAACAAAAATCAATGGTCCTAAGTTTAGACGATATGACATGTCAATCGAGGTAAAGACTTATGTGTAGACCATCACATGATTCTAAAAAATACGTTTGCGAAAAATACGGAGTTCTAGACATTTCCGAGTAAATGTGTATTAAAAAAAAAAAGTCAATTTATTATATAAACATCATACTTTATTAGCAGTGTTTTGCATGGAGAACAAAATTAAAGTAAAACCAAAATTGATGCTGTTAGAACTTGGATACCACTTTATTATGGACGAAAAAATAAATTAATTAAAAACGTATGATGGTCTATGAGAAAAAAATTATGGATATTCATATGAAGAACTTGATAGTTCCAGGGAGAATATTAAGCGCCTTATTGGATCATGATGTAGTAATCTGGTTATAGTAAATAATCAACATGTCTTTTAAATTTAGCCCTTCCATACTGAGTATATAAATATTAGTCAGAGGGATCTACAGTTATAACATCAAATGACAAGAGTAATATTTGTGCTCAGGATCTATTAATATTCCATAGTCCAGGCCCATTCGATTGTATTACTTTTTGCAGAATAAATATTTACTCGCCACAGGGTTGTGCCCTGTGTACAGACTTCAACGGTAGGATGAGAACCAGCGGGGGTGATGTGTGATTCATGATTAACTTTTATATTTATTATCCATCCTTAATGTGATGTGACAATTAACTTTATTATTATGTCTATGATATCCTCAACATAGACAACCACCAAGTTCTGACTTGCTTGGTAGGTTTTTGCAAGTGTTTCTATTTTGGGTAAAGACCCAGACATTATGAAAGATGAAACAAGCAATTAAATCATTCTGACATAAGCTCTTGTTTATCAGCCTATAAATAAAGCTGGTTCACACACTTTATTCTTCTTCTTTTCTTTTCCTTTAACATATTTCTTCTATCTTATGAAATTTACTGATAATGTAAAAAGGTTAGTTAGTAATGACACTTCGTTTTCTTTCAAAAGACGCTAAATCGAAAAAGATATATTGCGGCTGCGGCTAGTCTTTGCTATAGGATGGCGACATCCTAGGCAGGGCTCTTGAGTTCTTCGAACTCACAGCCTGTGAATAACAGGTGTTACACCGTAAATGGCTGGGCTCATACTGGCCTGCTGGTCTTGGCCAGGATCTCTGTAAGTGGTATAAAAAAATAAGGAGGTCTAGACATTTCCCATTTACTCACAGAACAAACACATCTGTAGGTTGTTGAGAAAGACGGGGGTTTTGTTGATGGTTCTGAAGAGTCACTAGGTACTATCATCAAGAATGCTGCCATCCGTAAGCATCCAATATATCACCCTCTGGACACCAATGAACGATCGATCGTATGGTATGTACTTGTATATTAAAGAGTTTTTTTTTTTTTTTTTTTTTTTTTTTTTTTTTTTTTTTTTTTTTTTTTTTAATCTAATATATTTGAAAACAGCCTCGGTCTAAATTCCATCATTGATCTGTCAGCTCAATATCCGGAACGTCAAACGACGTTATTCAATAAGAAGCAATGGGAAGACATTTCCAATGAATGCCCTTTATACACGTTGAATGATACTTTGTATCGCGGTGTTGACGAAGCTGCAAACTATGTCTTCAATCTGTATAATTCAAAGAAGCACAGCCAATTAGAGTCCAATCACACCTATTTACAGTGTAATCCTGCTATTTACAGTGTAGTCAGAGCCATGTACAGTCTGATCACTGCTATTTACGACTTAAAACAAGCCTGGCACGCTTAAAGCACTGAGGCGATCCAATTAGAATGCGCCCCTGGTATTTACAGTGCAGTCCACAACAAGAAACTGGAATTTCATGTACCAGCAAGTCATCACTTTGAAAGGCCAATTTAACGCAGAATTGAATGATTCCTTTCGTGATATCGATTTCTGTCTATATTTTTACGAATCACTTCTAATGCTTCAAAAACACCACGGATACCTTTTCACTGAAGACATTGATACTTCCGAATGGGATATGATCGTCAAGTTCTGGGGCCCTGTCATGGAAAGGCTTTTCACTGGTACTGGTCTGAGATTAAAATGGGGTGATACGATCCTTACGATAAATGATGTGACCGCGATGGCAAGCGTGATCTTTTGAACTTGGCAGCTACAATGAATAATACGACGGGCAACGTAATTGAAGGATTAGAAAATTTGTAAGTCAATTCTTTTTCTTCGATAAATTAGTGTCTTGCTAAATAATATTCTCTTCTATTAATCTAGGTTAACGAAATTGCCACACCTTCCTATCTTAGATACGTCAAAAATTGGTGAAGTAGAGTTGAAATCTACGTATTTTGACGTGTTCCTATCTGAGATTATTGCGGATCAAGATTTGCACAGGCATATCGATCTTAATACTTGTGAAGGACTTCGTCGACATATTCTTTCTTAGCAGCAGACTGCGTCTATCAACCATTCCCAACTTCAACCAGGAACCGACTTGAAGAACTTATTAGACAAATGGATTTGGACAATAAAACCGGCGTCGTTAAGTTTCCGTTAGGTTTCTGTAGTAAATTGAATGTTGTAGTTCCAATTTTCAACTTGGTAGAATGCTCTTCCAGCGCTTGAATTATAGTGATCCAGCCATACTTGCTTTCCTTTTCTGGATAAGATGAAAGATGAATTGATGTTGCGAGTCTTCGTTCAAAGTGTGAATCGGTACTCTTTAAACGACCATACGGCTCGACGCAGTTTAGAAGAATAGCGGAGGACCGTTCCATCAAAATCGCCCCTGCAAAAAGTTGAGAAACGGCATATCTGTACTGCGGGAAAATTAGCCAGTCTCAATATTGTTGACATCAAGTGCTCTTTCACTCCCAGGATCAAGAAAAGCGTATCTTACTGGCCAGTATTGGAGATTGGGAACCAGTTATGTTGTCGTCCCAGGACGGAAAAAACTATCATTTCACTACCTCTGCAGAAAACATACAAGATGTTCTTGTCGACCAGCCTGTTGGGCAGTGGACGCGTCCTCCAAAAGCTAAAAGTGCAATAGGGGAATGGGTAGTCACAGATGGAAATGTCTTGCTCCACCATTTCATCACGACCAGCCCCTTCTATAAATCCATCTCAAGTCATAAATATACAGAACTTTCAAAGCAAATGTGAAAATATCAACAAAGACTGTCTGATTTTCCCACAGTACAGATATGCGGTTTCTCAACTTTTTGCAGGGGCAATTTTGATGGGACGGTCCTCCGCTATTCTTCTAAACTGCGTCGAGCTGTATGGTCGTTTAAAGAGCACCGATTCACACTTTAAACGAAGACTCGCAACATCAATTCATCTTTCATCTTATCCAGAAAAGGAAACCAAGTATGGCTGGATCACTATAATTCAAGCGCTGGAAGATCATTCTACCAAGTTGAAAATTGGAACTACAACATTCAATTTACTACAGAAACTTAACGGAAACTTAACGACACCGGTTTTATCGTCCAAATCCATTTGTCTTATAAGTTCTTCAAGTCGGTTCCTGGTTGGAGTTAAGAATGGTTGATACGCAGTCTGCTGCTAAGAAAGAATATGTCGACGAAATCCTTCACAAGTGTTAAAATCGATATGCCTGTGCAAATCTTGATCTGCAATAATCTTAGACAGGAACACGTCAAAATAGGTGGATTGCAGCTCTAATTCACCAATTTTTGACGTATCTTAGATAGGAGGGCGTGGCAATTTCGTTAACCTAGATTAATAGAAGAGGATATGATTTAGCAAGACACTAATTTATCGAAGAAAAAGAATTGGTTTACAAAACCAGAAAGGTTGGCTCATCATTAAAACTCAGGAGAGTTGTGCAATATAAAAGGATCAATTATTTCATAGCAGCAGAGTTCTTCTAGTATATTTTTACTTCGAATAAAGATATATTTTTATCTCATTATTTTTCAAATGTATTATTTTTGTCAAATACCACAATTTGAGAATCTTAACAATCTTGTAGACTAGATGATATAACAGCATGGCAAATGCTGACAAATTACGTATTTTAAGAACTTAAATAATGAAGAAAAGTGGAAACTGCCTATTGGAACGGTTGAGGGAGATGTACTTTATATATTCAGTAAAAGATAAGCTTTGGATTAAACATCCTTCTCTAAATGATATCCTCAGCACTTACACATTCTTTTATTATGTCCAAACTAAGCTAGCGGATACACAGCATTTCGAAAGCCCAATAAAAATGATCAATAGCTTCAAAATGAAAGGTGGGTATCTAATTATTTCTTTTTATTCTGTTTTATCTATTTTCTAAATAACTCACATCACAGGGTGTACTGTTGATAACTTGTGTTATCAAATGCAGATTTAGCAATGGATTTTCATCTTTCAACAGTATTTCAGCAAGTAGCTGTATATAGCTATAGTGTAATTTTATATTTCATGTAGAGAGTGATCATATACGATGTTCATAGGGAGAGAATACGACTCAGGATATATAAATCTTAGTTCAACTGATTTTTAAACTAACTTTTTTCGCGTCAAACAACAAGTAAGCCTTTTAAAATAAATATTCTTCTACATTGATTTTATTGTGTTTATAGGTTTTAAAGTCTTGCTATGCCATCATTGTCAAATTTCCAATTGGCTTTTCCTCCATGAATTAAAGGGCGAATATAATTTTGATAACCTTCTGCAACCACAGATTGATTAAGAGGCTCTTTTTCGGCCATAGCAGTCATTTTTTCATACACATCGCCTTCATTTTCACCCAAAGCAGAATTTAATAGATAATCGGGGAAACCGAACGCATCAACAAGTGCTACAACATCAGGTCGAATCGATTTCAAAACGCTAATAAAGTGCTGTTTGATCATTAAAGCTTGTGCGGGTACAATATACCCTGATGTCAAAAAATCAGATGTTTCCTGCTCCAACGTAGAGAGACAAAATAAAATAGCAACTCGCTGAAGTGCTTGACATAAGGTCGCATCCACTGGTTTGTTGTTGTTGAAAACAGCTGCTAAAAAGTTTGATACCATGACCAATTGACAATGTGCACGAGAGATTCTATATATCTCCACTAACATATCGTTCCAACTTGTTTGTTCGATGTCAATAGCATAAACCGCCTTTTCAATTAGAAAAGCAGCACGGAATTTGAAGGCCGATAGTAAAGCTTCGGGATTGCTTAAGTCTGCAACGGTTGTAAAATGTGATTTTGCCTGAGGATTTGCGAGATACTCTGAAATATATTCAATGGAGAAAGTAGCATTCTTATCCTTGGTTTTCCCAGATTGTACCGATCTCATGGTCTTAAGAAGGTATCTGGCAGTTTGCTGGGTAAGAAGGTAGTTATCACCTTCCCACTATAAACATTATGTCAGATTAGTAAAATCATGTGTACAATAGCTTATGTGTCAACATACGGTCGCTTTGGGAAGATAGTCCTGATAAAATTGACCAAGACCCGAAAAAAGAGAGTAACCATGACCACCACATGCACGTCTACAGTCTTCAATAGCACTCACAGCCAAAGTAGTCGTTAAACTTTTGAGACCTGACGAAGAAGCGTGGAGATCAGCCAGGTAAGAGAAGTCTCCCTCCGACATTTTTTGTTGATTTTCGTGATACATGCGGTGCATTTCTTGGCCAGTGAAATGGCAGGCGTATGCCTGTGCTATAATTGGAAAAAGCCTGTATTGCTGCATAGTATAATCCAGTACCGGGGTTTCAACTACTTTAATGGTACCATCTGGACCTGTAAGTTTTTTGGGATTGGCAGCATCTGAACCTTGGCTACGAACAGCCGAATAGCGTATGGCAACAGTAGCAGCTCTTGCAAGTACAACCCGGGATTCTTATAAAGTGGTCTTAATTCAAGGCTGACATTTCAATACAGTACTTTTAATAACTTACCAAGCACAATATTAGCGCGCACGTATACCATTGTTCCATAAGCCAATTTAGAGTTGGGAGGAGTGATGTATTCACCCGTAATTTTATCCACACTTGAATAACGAGCCAACAGAGCAACATGTGGCACATGCATATGGTCGAAAAGAATAAACCCATTATCAACTGTATTGAAGCCAAACTTGGGTCCTATATCCCCCACAACAACACCTGCTAATGGTTCATGGTTTTCTAAGTTTCTAATTTGCACGACAAAAGGATGAGGACCATAATCTTTGCCACGGGTTATGAGACGAGCCATGACAATAGCATGGTTTGCGGCAACTCCTAAACCACCAATCCACCATTTTGAAGACGTCAAAGTGGGCGAATTAATAATAAATGTCTGCGTTTCTAGATGATAAGTAGCGGTGGTTTCTAATCCTCGGACGTTGGATCCGTGTCCAAGCTAAAATTAACAGATAAATACACACAATTATGCACCCTCTTTTATTTTAAACATACCTCTGTTTGCGCATAACAGCCGATGATTTCGTGTTTCAAAGCAGGCTCAAGATACAACTTTTTTTGCTCCTCGGTACCTTGATTTGCTATAGTTGGCATAAACATACTACGGTGAAGGCGAAACTGTAAAAATGTCGGTAAATTCTTCTTAAATTATAAAACAAGTAGGAAAAACTTACTGCACTGGGTTCGTCAAAAAGGTATTCGGCCATTCCAACTTCTTCCTCATTCCATTTGTGAATTCTATTGTTATTTTTTTTTTAGTTCTTTTTTTCTTTGTGCCCTTAGGTATTAGAGAAGTTATACCTTGCAAGTTCAACCAGTCGCTTTGCAGCAGCCAGGGATTTCTGAAACCGGATATCTCGTCCGTTATAGTAGCGATGGGATTTATCAGATAAAAGAGGGTCGGCTAAAAGTATCTGGAGGATGCGTTCTCTGATTTCCAAATAATCGTTGCCATATATGTACTTTTTTAGGCTGTCAGAATTAAAAGTAGCTTTATCACGCTCTTGTTGCAACAAAGCTTTGCCTTGAGGCTCAATTGGTTTAAGGTGCTTAGGAAATTGAACTGCCATGATATATTTAAATTGGGATATAAAGCAAAAGCAGAAAAGGAAAAGAAAATAAATAAATACGAGAATTAGATTTAAATAAACTCACAGGATTTGTATATTTTCCCCACATTTTGAATTGATTACTGTTGTGAATTAGCTCGGTAGCACTTTTACCCAGGAAACCTTAATATGGTATACATCACCGACATAATTCCTATTACCGCAAATCGGGTTCGCCTTGGGAGGTGCAAATTAGCTTAGCTTAGCTAGGCTCCAATCATTACACTAACAGATTAATGTGAGCTCCTATGACAGAGTGACAGGTCCATGGTTTGTGTTGGGATCTTATTTCTGACTATATTAAAACATTATCTCAAATTAAAAAGCAAATCTCAAAACCCATTTTCGTGACAGATTATCGATAGGTTACCCTCCGTACCATCCCTTTGGCACATACTGCTATAATATCAATGCTTCTTAAATGGAAGAGGAAAAAGTCGCATTTAACCTTTAACCCACATTCTACATGGAAAACTGCCCCAAATAATTTCACCCAACAAACTTTAATTTTAATTTTTCGTGTAAGTTACTGTTAAAACATTAGGCTTTTCATAGTCATCCAAGTATCTTAACTTGGCACTCTAAATGATAAAACAAAAAAAATTATTGAGTAAGTGGATCCATATTTATAATCTCCCTTTTTTTTTTACCTGGGCTCTCTTCTTTCGAACAACCATCTTACTTCTGATAGGGCAGTATACCGCCTTCTCTCCACTGTCGTCATCGTGGATGGAAATCAGTAAGTGCTTGGAGCCAGATCCAGCATCGTTTTTATAATCGTAATCACGAACAGCATTATACGTTAATGGCTAGATAAGAGATCAATAAGTCATTTCACAAAAAAAAATCACATATAATAACACGTACGTCTTCTGACAATCCTTCCATGGGGTTCTCCTTCTGGCGTACCAGTCTCTTTGTGCTCTCATTATCTGGCAAGAACCAGACAAGGTATGTGTCCTCAGGATCATGAGGATTCACCATGGGTCTTAAAATACCACGATCTGTAGCATCCAACTCGGAGAGGCGAGTGCGTTTCGAAGCATTTGATCCCATCGCCTTTCTTTTTGCGAGTCTACTTTCGTCGGCTGGCTCTGCACTGAACTGTCCAATAGTGTATATATTTTCCCAACATTCCATATCTGGTAACAATGGAATAATTTTTTTTGCCCTTGATTTTGTCTGAGGATGTTGTAAATTGGAAGGTAAAGGCTTGAATGTATTTTCCACACCCGCCAACTGATCCTCGAGAGTAGAATAATTACGCTTCTTTGCAGAAGCTGCAGACATTGCAAATTTACTTTCAACACCTTCTTTTCTGTTGGATACACCACGAGTTTCTTGTGCGATGTATTCGGATCTACGAAGCCAAGTGACGTTTGGCTTTCGTGTATACATTCCACTAGTATCTGGCCCTTCTCTGGGTGCTGTCAGCAATATTTTATCCTCTTCTGCTACTTCTTCAATTGGTCTAGATACTATGCGTCTTACAGTTAGTCTCTTAATGTGTTTCGTCACCTTGAAAGGATAGCTTTATTCTCACCTTCTTCAGGATTGGTCTCGATAGCATCCAAATAATCAACAAGTGCTTTATCGAAAGGGATCGAAGCACTTTGATCCATAATCAACGAGTAAGGTGTTTGTTCAACTAAGCTGGTTGATTCGTATGGGACGTGACGTTCGACGAGTGAAGGAATTGTAAGCATTTTAGGCGCAAACGGTACTGGAGGTAAAACATTGCGATATCTTACACGACAAATGTAATCAGAGCGGAATTTACTATTTTCCGCAACAAAGAATGAGTATACTGCTGTGGTGAATCAATAAATCAAGCCTACATTACCTTTTTGACGACATAATGAAACAGAGTTATAAAAGATGAACAAATATAAAACACGGGGGAATAGAGAAGCCTGAGGTGAAAACAGCAAAATAAACGTCACATACATCATCACGAACCACAAACTGCATCCCAACTCAGCGTGTTTCCTTATTCGCTTTTTTTCTTTTTCCCAAAAGTTGATTTAAAAATTAGAAATGTCATCATCTAAAGTAGATCCCCGTAGAGAAGAACGTATTGTACCCTTTCATCTTCCTCCAAAGGGTGAGGAAGAGGAAGACTATAACCACATTTTAGCTACTTTTGTTGGTGAGTTTCCCTATAAAAAGTATTCGATATAACACTGTTTAACCTTTATAACAGCAATGGGTAGTATTATGACAAGAGTATGTTCTTTTTTTTTTTCAAACAATTATTAACAAATAGATACTTATACACAATTTGATAGAACCGCTTTAAAATGCTTCCCTGGGTTGCCGCTTACTTCGGTTTTGTTGCAACATTGAACACTAGAAAAACTTTAAAGTCAAAGGACTCTATGGGCGGCAGTGGTGCTTTGTAAGTGTCTGATATTAATGAACTTCGCTTTTATTAATCTTGTTAATTAGCCTTGCTATCATCGCTCTCTTCACCTATTATCTCAATTTGTATCTCGTGCATAAAAAATCATTGGAGGCTATTGCCGCTGGTGATTCATTTATTTCTGATCCTGTCTTTAATTAATCCGTACCAGCGTGTAACAATAAACAACGCTTATAAAATCATTTGGCTTATCCTCGTAGGTAATTACACGTATATGGAGTGAATTTTAGGCATCAAGCGAAAGAGAATTTAAATATAGTTAAACATGATGTATCTTTAATAATGATATAATTATGGGAGGGAAAGGTTGATAGGATTTAGGATCTCTTCTCGACATACACTTTCATACCATTTTTCATGGGTAAAGTTAAAGAAAGTTCATATGTGACTTCTTGTCCAGGGACCAACTTGAATTTGTAACGCTTCATCAACATGGCCACACAAACCAGAGCTTCAAGCGTTGCCAAGTTTTGTCCTACCGAATTATAAAATCAATTAATTTTTTTTTCTTTTTTTACAATCATGAAAGAAAAAAATAAAATGCATACCAAGGCAGACACGAGGACCAGCATGGAAAGCCGTCCATTTTCCAGCTGACTCACGTCGCAATGTTCCTGTTTCATCGATCCATCTTTCAGGGTAAAACTCCTTTGCGTTTTCTCCCCAAATTTTGGTGCTTCTTCCTTGGGAATAAGGAGACCAGGATACATAGGTACCGGCTTTAACGACTGTTCCGTCGGGCCAAACATCATCTTCAAGAGCATACTTCTGATTACCTGGCACAGAGGGATAAAGACGGAGGGTCTCATAAAATCTGTAAAAGATGTTAGATTTTAATGACATGCGAGCCAAGTACTTTGATCTTACACTGCATGGAGATAAGGCAATCCGCTAATGATTTCATATAAAGCAGGCGAGTCTCTTTCATCATCTTCGGAAATTTTACCCTTTAATTCTTCCAATATTTTCTCTTCGATACGAGGCTGCAATGCCAAATTGTAAAACAACCAGGAAAGAGCTTGAGCAGTGGTATCACGGCCAGCAATGATGAAATTTAAAACAGTATCACGAAGTTCGATATCATTTAGTTTTTCTCCATTTTCATTAGTTGCATCCATAAAACGAGAGAGCAAATCTTTTTGTATATTTTCGCCATTGGCGATTTCCTGACGACGTTTTAAAATCACTTCATCAGCAAAAGAGTCAACAATATGAAGATGGTCCTTTGTTGATACTTTCCATGGCAAAAAGAGTCCAAGCGCTTCATGGAAGGGTGTAGTAGGATTAATGAGACGCGCTGCACCCAAACGTTGCAAATAATCGAAAGATTCGGCAAAGGGAACCTTTTCTTTCTTGAGAAGTGAGTCTAACTGTGTGCCAAACCCGAGCCTGACATGAATGTTAATTGATAATATACATAATAACAAAGTCATGTAAACTTACAATACAAATGAGTCTAAGGTAAACTTGAACATCAATTCGTGAAAATCAACAACAGAGCCTTCGTTGGCTGCTTTATCCAAGATGCGATCAGACATTACAAGCATTTCCTTGACAAAAACACTTATTATAGCATAATTAGTTATCGTTGCGTTAGTAATATTGTCTACATGACTCACCTTGTAAACTCATCTCTAAAGTTTTTAACATTGAAGATGTGACTTGCTGCCTTTCTCTGATATCTCCAGACTTCACCATTGGCGTTGAAAATACCATTACCAAGAAGCTCTTGAAGGGCACTTTTGAATGTAGGGCCTTTAAGATAATTCTTAAAGTTGACTGCATTGTTCTATGTTAGTGTATACAATAAGATTTTTTGACTTGATCAGCCTTACCCCTTAAAAGGTAGTCGACATTTTGGGGGTCGATGGTCAAGATAGTAGTAGGATTACCCGCAACAGGATTGGTCCTGAAGTTTAAAAAAAGATTAACGTTTACATATCCAGGGTACATCATTTAATTTATTTACATTGTAAGAGTATCCAGTGATTCGAACGTATCCAATTGATAATCATGCAAACGGTGAACGTTACTTACTAGTCCAGTAAGGTTTCCGAGGATAGGGTATCCTTTTGTGTGAGGGATACCTTTGACGTGCTCATAGAACAATGGACGATCATGATATTTTACAGTAAGAATAGCAACAGCAGCAGAGATAGCTGCCCCGGCAATGCCAATATTTTGAATGGTCGAATTATTGCTCAAAGACATAGTTAAAAGAACATAAGAAATTGGAAGAAATTTTTCCTTCTTTTTATATCAATATCGTGTCATTGAAACCCAGTGCAGCTGTACCACTCATATTCACTAATTAGGGCAAAAAACCATTATCTGCTTTTTGCACGACATGAAATTCGAAATGACTGTAAACCTCTTTAAAAAGCAATCGTCTATGCATTTATGCAACAAATGAGTCAAAATATGTTGAGCATGTGTTACCACTTCCCACGTAAAATATCTTCAGATGTTTAATTAAACGGCCAGTGGGAAGATATATGCTGTTTCATGTTTCTTTCATATTCGCTGGCACTATCAGTTAAGAAAAAAAAAATAAAGGGTGAGCCCAGACAGATCATGATTCCATAACCCTCATCGTTTTTATGTGACACTATAGACGGATCAGTTTATTTACGAAACAATTGAAATGGTCAAATTAAAAAATGATATGGATATATACTTACTTGATGAAAACCGGCATACTGATTATAAAAAATCTTGTATTTTAATGAAACCTCTTGGGCAAGAAAGTAAAAATATCTTATGCTCGTTTATGATGCTTGCATGCACGGTAAAATGAAATATTATACGTAATGTGGGAATGCATTGTTTGTCTGGGATGGGATATTGCTTTGGAAAAGTTTATCAGGCGCAAGCCACCCGTCTGCATTTACTTTTTTTGCCAATATTTTTCAACTAAAATTATCTTTTTATTGTGTGCACACATATTGTAATATTTTTCAACTGTATATTTAAAATGGGAAAAGTACAAAAGAAAAGTGAGTATACACTGACCAGTTAATGAGGGCAAATGTTAAACTCTGGTTTTTTTTTTTTTTTTTTTTAGCTGACGATGAAAAGAAGAGAGTCTCTAAATTTGCTAACGCTGAGCTCGATGATCCCAAGAATGGTAAATATATTTTTTGATAAAGCATTATTAACCCGGCTAACTCTTCTGTCAGCCAAGGAGCGTATCGAACAGGAACTTCAATTATTGCATGTGCGTAAGCAAACTATCACAACAAAAAAGACTCTTACAGTACACAAAGTAAAGAAGGGAACAACAAAGAAAGCTGTCAGCGCAATGAAGCAAAAGAAGATCGCTAGAGCATTAATGGTTGCCGACAAGGAAGAAAAGAGACTGGAAACAGCTGCATCCAGAGCTGAAAAGCGTAAAATGGGAAAGAACCTTTGGGAATAAACAAAAAAAAATATGTGTGTGGATTTTATTCATAAAATATATTTATGATCCAAGACCTCTGCCCTTTTTACGAATAATTGCTTCAATAGGCGCAATAATACCTTCACTTTTAGAACCCAATGCTTCACCTTGTTTCCATCTAATAATAATAAATGTTAATACAAGCAACGCCTTTTCGTTTTGTTTTAATTTACCCCATGGCAGCAAGCATACGATGTCCAACATTTGTCTCTCCTATAGGAGCAGCACCATAGGCAACGACAGTTCCATGCGATGGTCCAGCCGGGAATTGACTATCACCACGCTTATCCTTGGGAGCAGTAGAGGGTGGTTTACGGCCATTGTCATTGTTATCATTATTCTTCTTTTTCATGTTGATGTACTTCTTTTTTCCCTTAAGTGGGGTACCCTTTGATCTGTTTTTACCGATAATTCTATTCTGTTCATCCATATTGGTTTGTATGTCTGTTAAGAATCGGCTGATATAACGACGATCTTTGGGTATATATGTTGTTGTGGTTTTTGTAACAATGGTACATCTGGAGCCACCTCCCCCGCTACTTTTAGATTTGAGATTATATGCTGCTGCTAGCACATGTAATTGTCTTCTGACATTGGTTGTCATTGGGGAAAATTGGAAACTAGTGATAGTATCATCCTGAATGAAATCACGGATACGGCTAAAAAAATAGTGTTAGCTTTTCGGGTTATCCCACTACAAAATACTTAACTTACTCGTCAATTCTGGCCATTTGATTTGTGAAGTCTTCATCCTTTTCCTCTTTTGCTTTTCCTTTATTATTCTTCTTATTCTCCCTTTTGTGTGCTTTAGCTTCGTCCTTCTTTTTTGACGTTCTTCTTTTCGCTGTTGCTTTTCATACCATCTACGCACACCAGGACGCAGTCCGGGGGGCACATCTGCTAAAGCTGCCTTCAATGTTTGCCCAAAGATCTCTGGATCAACGACAATGTCATCTACCCTTGTCTTATGGCTATATTTCTTTCTGCCATTTTGTTCAATTTTGTTGCGCTCTCTCAAAATTGAGGCAGTTTCTTCTTCAAAATCGCTTAGTGTCTTTTCTGCGGGTTCCTTATCTAAAGTGGCATAATCATATATCTCTTCCTCGCCCGAAGACATCAATGCCAAATTACCCTCTTGCATAGCAGACCAAGCTAAAATATCATTTAAATCCTCGCCTTCCTCAAGCTCATAATGTTCCATAAAATCATTCATTACTGCCATATCTTCTTTGAGCAGTATATCATCCTCGTCATCGGAAAGATCCTCGTAAAAGAGTTCGATTTCATCATCATCTGTTTCTTCACTCAAGTATTCTTCATCGTCCGATTCATCACTTGAAACGCCTTCTTCGTCGTTGCTCTCTTCTTCTTCTTTAGATTGTCGAGAATTTGAGAGCTCAGTTTCCTTAAGAGTGCTTGATGAGTTTACATTTGGTTTCTGGGAAGCCATGAGTTGCTTGGAAACTGTTTGTTGTGTAAGTTCCTGAGATTGCTTATTGTCCTCAGATTTCTTGGGAGCAATAGCTTCAGGTTTCTTAGAATCCTCAGGTTCAGTCTGAGAGCAGACAACACTGGGGGATGCAGACCGACTAGTTGTATTACTAAGTCCCAACATACTTAACAACTCCTGAGTAGCCAACTCTTTCTCGACGTCTTGAACCTTGATGAAATCATCTATGGTCAATTGGGAGAACGATTCTTCAACTGCTTGTTGCTCAATGGAAGGAGCCTCTTCATCAACGACTTTTTTGATGATAACTTTTTCGTTAGCTAGAGGGATTTTTGATTTAGTTTTACAGCCAAGCATAATTTGATCAGTGATTAAATACCTGATGAAGAGGACTTAGTAAATAAGACTGTCTTGTAGTACTTGGATTTGCCCTTGGCAAAACGTTCTGTGTTTGAATCCTTTGCTGCGGCAGAAGATGACATTCCTAAACCAGCACGATCCATAGCGTCATCGTAATGATCGTCATAATTCGAGCCGAATGAGGGACGACTTTCTTTAACAAAACCAAGGTTTCCGTCCTTTGGTTTGGTTTGAGGTTTCTGCTTAACTTGTTCTATAAAGTGATTGTGTTAATTGGGGGATAAATAGTTTGGCTTTTCCTTCCCATGTAGATTTACTTTTGGAACTTGTCTCAGCTCCAGAATCAGTTTCATCGCTGCTGAACTGACCATAGACTCTAAAGTCATCACTGTCATCCACATTGGATCTAGGTTTGTAGACATAACCGACGGCAGAAGGTATCAATTCTCTGTTGCGGCCTCTTCCTCCACCTCCAATACTTCCACGGCCTCTTCCTCGTGCGGCTCCTCTTCCGCCACCTCTTCCACCACCTCTACCACTTCCTCTTTTTCCACGGTTTGGCATTTCTTGATAAATTTAAAATAGGGAACTTTTTCTTTATCTGGATAATAAAGTATTGATGACGAAAGAAAAAAGAAAAATCAAAAAGACGCTTTCTTGATAAGATTCCTTTTTTAAACGCAAATGAACTCCGGCATTTATAGTGCCAAATTTTTTTGGCTCATTCCTACCGCATCAGAATATTTTTACTAAAAAGGACGTTAGATGAGTATCTTATCCCAAGAAGAGAATGAACAGAATTCTAACACACAATGTGAATACATAATTGTATGTTCCGTTGATTACCACTCGTGCCCTGAGAGTAATTGTTATCTCATTCTAAAAACCTGTTTGTTAAAATATATCATTTACCCATACAATAAAAAACAACAATCATGCAGCTCATGCATAAACATATGATTAAAAGACCATGAAATATTCAAGATGTATACAAAAGTCAAGTATGATAAAAACCACAAACGTAAAGAATATACATAAGATCACTTTAATAGTTCTTCAAACTGTGTGAATTGAAGTAGAAGACACTGCTGCAAATACACCAGGGCTTCGCCTATTTTTTTATGTGTGACAAACAAACATGCCTTATTATAGTCGTAAAAGAAAAAGCTGCAAGAAGAGCTCTTTTCCTTGCTAAACTTATGTCTCTTCAGATCGCCTTTCGTAATATTTTTGACCTTTACATAAAAAAGGCTGTTCCCCGGCTTATGCAAGGAAATAAATCAATCACCATCAGTACAGCTGTTGTGTTATTTATAATGTATCTTTTCAAAGAAAAAATGATGAAGCCACCAAAGAATCTGCGCCATATTCCGTACATAGGATATTTTAGTATCTTTAGAACGGTTATTACTGGTGAATCGTTTTGGGATCGCACGTACAGAGTAATTGTACCATTTGTCGATACTTTAAAAACCAACGGGATTTACTTGGTAAGTCAACACAAAAAAAGAATTCTGCTCATGGATCTCATAAGTCTATCATTTAAAATACTATTAGGAATACGGAAGACATGGATGGGAATTATTTGTATGTAATTCAGATGATATCAGGCGGGTTTTTTTGGACCAAGGTAATAAAATCATGTAATAATACAACCTCGCTAATAAAAAATTCGTGTAAAAGACCTCTTCCCAAAGTTTTCAATTAGGGAAGGACTCCAAGATACTCTTTTCATGAAGTTTATAAATGGAGAGAATATGATCTTAGCCCACACAGAAGCCTGGAAATCTCAAAGAAAAGTAATTAGTCCCGCCTTTCGACGTTCTATGCCCACCAAAGTGTTTGGTAATTGTATGCAGGAAATGTTTGAGGCGATGGATCAAATGGGTCCGACAATTGACGTTTCAAACTTGATGAGAAAGTATACTTTAGATGTCATAGGAAAGGCTGGATTTGGTAACAACTTGGCTTTATAAAAAACTTCTTTCACTCATACGGAATTTTAGGATTCGACTTCAATGCTATCCGTGACCCAAATAGTGAATGGGTCAAAACCTATGAAGGTATTAGTAAAGCCATGGAAGATCCGCTGTTCTTTATATTTCCCATATTGGATAAAGATCTACTATGGATGTTCCCTAAACGCATACAAGCCCATAAAGAAATGGACCGTTTCTTGAAAATGCTAGACGGTATAATTCTGAATAAAAGAGAGGCACTGGAGAAAGAAAAGCTTGAGAATAAAGAAGAGAATGAAAAAGATTTATTGACCCTGATGATCGAAAGCGAAAATCGAGGTGAAGGAAATTTGTCTAATTCAGAATTAAAAAGTAATTTATGCGCGTTCTTTATTGCTGGCCATGATTCTACAGCAAGTGCCCTTTCTTATGCAATCCATTACTTGGCAAAATATCCGGTAATTCTGGGAAAACGTCTGATGCAAAAAAAAACATTAACTTATTAATCTCCCACTTATATATTTGTAGAATATTCAAGAGAAAGCACGAGAAGAAGTCATTAGGATTTTGGGGGATGAGCCAGTCGATGTTATCCCAACTATCGCGGAAACAAAACAGATGACTTACATCCACCAAGTTATGAAGGAGGTAAATAGTATTGCAATTTTTACAATTGCTGGCGGAAATTTTAACAAGTTATTCAGACACTACGAATTAACAACCCTGTTCCATTGGTTGTTCCTCGCGTTGCGGCTAAAGATACTGAGCTGTCTGGGTTATTTATCCCCAAAGGTACATTTATCAATCCTGCGCTTTATACTGTGCACCATCGCGAAAAATACTGGAACAACAGTGAAGAATTTGACCCAGACAGATTTTCGCCTGGTAACGAAGAGAATGGAGAGAATTGGTTACCATTTGGATATGGTGCGAGACAGTGCATCGGCATAAACTTTAGTTTAAGTGAACAACGTGTTCTTCTATCTATGCTTTGTAAGTCTATTCGGGGTTACTTTTATATTTTTTCTCACAAGATGTTACACTTTATAGTACGAAAATTCACTTGGACCACACCAGCAAACTCTATTCACAAAGACCAGGTAGTTCCTCAAGGGCTAGTGGTGATTGGTATTCATAAACTGGATATCAGCTTTGAAAAGAGATATTAATGTTACACTAGCAGTTATAAAACGACAGTATGAAAGAAGGCCATTGGCATCTGTCTAACTCAAAAAAAAAAAAAAAAAAAAAAAAAACGTTCATAATACAAGTGGCTTGTGAGCCCCAGGATACACAGCGGTTTTTTATTTTTTTTTTCATGTGAAATTGAAATACAAATAACCAATTTCATTCCCACCTTTTTTTTATTTATTTATTTCTTCTTCCCATAATGTCTGAAAAGCGCCTGCAACAACCCGAAGCATTAAATCCTTTAGCTATTGCTAAACTGTTGGGCCCTTCCAACCCTAAGCTTGATCATTTGATCAGATTTTTAAACTCTGTTCGAGGAACGGATAAAGTATTGATGGTAAAGTGATTAAAAAGGACGATAAAAAGTGTGGGGTATGTAATTGATTATTTGAGCTAGTTTATTCAATATTGGTCTAAAGTGATTATTTGGTTCCTTCAACGCCGTTCCCCCGCAGTAAAGACAGCTAGTTCAGCCATTTCACTCATTCAACGTATCCAAAACTTTTCAGGACCTGTTAGCGATTTCAGAATTTTATTGCGTTACTATGGTTTATTACCCATGGTTCAATACATGAATTATATCGAATATAACCAACCCGCCAGCAAACTCTCCTTGACGATCGAACGTCTCCAAAACTGGTCAAACATCATTTATTATCCATTGGAACATATTTATTGGTTGGGTGCTCATCAAGTCATCCCTATCAGTGAGGAAAAGACAAATAAGATTGGTATGTGGAGTTGTCGTTTCTGGGCAGCATATGTTATTTTGGAATATGGCCGTTTAGGAGAACAATATAGAAACTTGAAGAAGAGAGAAACAGGATTATTAAAGCGTATCAAGGCTGGAGATATTGAAACTGATGAGGATCCTGAAGCTGAGATGGCATCTATCAAGGCTGAAAGAACAAGTATGATTGTGAATACTTGTATTAACACTGGGTAAAAAAAAAAAAAACTTTAGATTTATTCTTTGTCATGAGCTAAACATCTATTTTTCAATCCCAGCTATTTACCATTGACAATTCATTGGTCACTTGAAAGATCAAGTTTCCCTGATGTTTTGGTTGGAGTATTTGGTGGTTTTGCCTCAGTGTTCCAAATTTATTCAGCATGGAATGCAGCTGCTTAATAAACACTATATATACGCATACAGTGCATGTTGCATTTTTTGAAAATAAAATGGAACATTCAACCAGTAAAATTAAACTAAGGCTTGAAGTGGAAACAAATGTATCAATCGTAGTTACACAACAACTTTTACAAGTGACATTTGTTTGATTTTTTTGGTCGAAGTCTATCTGCATGTCTTGAAATTTAAAAGTCTAGAGTACACGAGTATATGAAAGACGAATGCAACATCTTTTTAAACGATGTCACATTTCCTTTCATTATTTCGTAACGATGAAAACAATTTAGAAGAGAGATTGCAGTGGGTGCAAAACTGGATCAATTTTACAAAATATTGTGCATTTATCAACAAGTTCAACACGAGCCGCAATAGATCTCAATTGTAAAGAACACCAAAACTGTCTACCATACTAATCTAAAATAGAAAAAAAAAGGGGGAGGGGTCATCAAGTAGTCAAAACTCCACATAATTTAGATATCTAAATTTGCTTTTCCCCGCCTTTCAGCCTATGTTTTAACACCTTTGAGACCCAGACTAATTGTCTGTATTGTTCTCTTAATATTGATGCTGGTGTCTTTTTTATTGATGCTGGCGTTTTTTTTTTATTGATGCTGGCATGCTGGTTTTTTTTTTCAGATTATAATATGAACGAACATTGTAGAATAGCAAATGAGTGACAACCGGGTCGAAGAGATTGTTGAAGAAATGGACATTGATGAGGTTCCTGCTTTTACGTATGGCAAACTGCTGCTTTTAGCTGATGATACTTTTTATCAAAAACTAAAAAGTGAATAAATTTATTTACAATTTGAGGGGAATAATTATAGAATACATGTGTGTAATACAGGAAAGTAAAACTTTGATGGCGAGGACGGTAAAATGGATTTCCGCGGTTCCTGTCTACTGATTTCTCCGTAATTGCCTTGATTACTTTTGCATATAAGGCGGGTTTAAATGATTCTTCGAAACGGAATGCATTGCTAGTATAACGTAATTTATAAATGACGTCTACAACATGGTACAATCTGTCAAGATAGGGTATAAGTTGAGGTAATTCATCCAGGGAAAGGGGAAAACGAATGCAATCTAATTCTGTAACCATTAAAATATCTTTCATAGCCTCGCTGACGTTGAATTGAATGTTCGTACCAACGGCCATAATTTGATATATATGTTTTCTGTTGAAATTAATAGTGCCAGACTTTGAAAATGTGCATAATCTGTGAAGATCGACATTAATTTTGCTATGGTTTTTGGAATGCTTGATTGGCTTTACTTCGATATATCCAATCGCCATCAGATCATTCTCAACGACTCCATCCGGACGGTTTTTGTTTGGATCTGCGTCTACATCCAAAAAGCAATTCGTGTTCAACTACTTGAATATTAGCTGATCTTGATCACAGTCGAACAATTTTTGAAACCAGGGTTGCAGGTATCTTGTGCAAAGTTCGAATTATTTGATTTCTTTCTTTTGGTTTGTGAGGGGAAGCAAATCAACCACCGATTTGACACATTGTAACAACCTAATGATGATTTGATCTGTGTTGTCGATAGTCAGTGCTACTATTTTGCTTTCTGCTTGAATCCTTGACATGGTACCACGGCTCAGATCATTGGTAATATTTATTAAAGTCATCATGGTATCGATTGGAAATTTTTGATTCATTTGATTGAAATTAAAGGTATTATACATATTTTGGCGTATTGTCTCTAAAGGAAATGTCTAGACCTCCGTATTTTTTTTCAAACGTATTTTTTTCATACCACATACAGGAACTCCGGCCAAGACCAGCAAGCCAGTATGATTACAACTATTTACAGTGCAATCACAGCCATTCACGGTTCTTGAGTTTCAAAAACTCAAGAACTCTGCCTAGGAGGTCGCCCTCCTATAGCAAAGACTAGCCACAGCCGCAATATCACAATATATCTTTTTCAATTTAGCTTCTTTTCAAAAAAAAAAGAGTCATTACTAACTAACCTTTTTATGTGATCGGTTACTTTCATACGATAAAATAAATATGTTAAGGGAAAAGAAAAGGAGAAGAATAAAGTGTGTGAACAAGCTTTATTTATAGATGAACAAGCTTATGTCAGGATGATTTCATTTGTCTATTTTATCATCCATAATGTTTGAGCCCTAATCTAAGATAGAATGTCTGCAAAAAGCCACTTGCAGATATTGATCGTTTCAATTACGCTTGATATTGTGAAATTAAAAGGATGTTGCGACGTCATGTATATTATCTCTAAATAAAAGGGGCATCACATGAATAATTGAGAGAGAATTACAAGTTCATTTATCTTCCAGAGCTTAATTATTTTAAACAATTCTGGAGTAATATAAAAAATTGAGGACTGTGACAACTTAAGGCAACGTATAAAAATACCCAGAGAGTTTGTAAAAGCCCTAGGTTTACGTGCATACATTCAGAATTCAATGAATGTTTTCCGAAATGCTCAAATAAATCAAAAGCGACTTTCGTTTTCTGCTATGCCCTGTCGCGCTTACCTAAATCGCTAAATTTGGTGTGACATCATTCATTTCTTTGAAGCTTTTTGCCTGTCTTTTAAAAAATAAATGTTTGAAAAAACCGACTGATTCCAAGGCCTGGCAAAGTTAAAGCAGAGAAAAAATTCACCTGAAAAATTTAAATAACCTTTTTTTGCTCCCCCACCCCCACCCCCCCTCGTTTATCTGACAGAATAGTAACAGCTATTTAAAAAGTTGTCACAAGGGGAAAAAAATAATATAAATAACAACTTTGCTGTGTTATTGTTTTCAACTGTATTATACGACTTACATTCAGCCACTGGTTTTTATAGATGCGTCCTGCTCTGTCCTTTTCATCGAGAAGAGCGAAACCTTCAAACTGCTTATTAAAACAATGCGAAATTGAAAGAAATAAACGATCCTTTTTGACATGTGCAACAAAAACAACACCCACCACAGCTAAAAGACCCCAGTTACCGGCACTGTGGTTTTTAGTAACAAGGTCCAGCTCATCACAGGCCTCATTAAAACAAGTCAAGAATACCGAGAATGCTACCAAAAAATTTCATCCACGTTCAATGAACAAGGAGACGAATCTCGACAGCCTACTCCTTTTCTTATCCACTTGCTCACTTACACCCAAAGAAATATTCAAATCACTCAGAACCGCACTTTATAATACCACTCAATATGATTCCAAAAAAGCATGGTTGATTTACCAAAGTATGGTTCACTATCAAGTAGACAAATACTTAAAACCCAACAATTATGGATTTCTGTTGTGCGTATTAAAATATGGCGATTCAGTTCCGCAGATGTTGACCGTATTAGAGAACATGAAAAGTCACCCTGGCGAAGATTCTTTTCCTTCAGCCTACCACCTATCTCAAGTACTTTTTGCGATGAGTCGATACGGCCTTGTACAGGAAGCCTGTGATATTGTCAGATTAACAACGGCGAAAGCGGATAGTTCTGGTAACATCGACTCGTACCCAACAGCGAATCATTATCACTCTTTGGTGATTGCGCTCAAGAACAGCAAGTCGATAGATTCAAAATCAATAGAATCAGTGTCAAAATTAATGGTAGATGGTATGGAAAAAAGAGATATATTACTCCATAACTCAACCCTTTCGACCATGCTCAGCCTGTTCTCGTCACAACAACAATCCAAGCTACAGTTCTTAAAGGCAATGGATCTTGTCAACAGTAAAAATCAACATACACAAAAATCGCATCCTTACAATGAGTATATTTACACCTCGCTTATATCGGGATTCGCACGGCAAGGAGACAGTGAGAGCGCTAAACGACTGTTCGATGAAATGAAGAAACATAAAATACCACCAAATCAAGTAACGTTTGCTGCATTGATGGAAGCATACAGTAAGGCAGGCGACTTTACGTCGGCAATTCGATTATTGACAGATCACCAAAGAAGATATCGCAAATTATCTAATCATATGGTCACATCGCTTCTGGTGAATGCGATCCGACATAACAATTTGACAGTAGCTGAAAATACCGCCAAATTTGTTGCCTGTAAAAAAATGAAGATAAAGGATATGGATAATATGACAAGGACGGCTTTAATCTGGCTTAAAACAAAGCAAAATGTGGATGACGCTAGAAAGAAGTTCGATGAACTGTATGAATTGGATAAGGATCTAGTTAATCATATCATGACAAACCATTTAGTGATTGGGTATGGGCTGAAAAATGACAAGGAAAACGTGATCAAGAGTTATAATTTAAATCGAAAGATGCGTCCAGCCACTACAGCAGAACAAATGAGATCAAACCACCATTTAACAAACGCGATGTTCCATTGTCGTGATGTACCTGCAGCTCTAGGTGTGTTTGCTTCCATGCGAAGTCAAGATATACCTGACGATGTGACATTGGCCATGGTGATCCAAGGTTTAATTCTGAATAACGAAAACAATCTGGCCTGGAGATTATTCAAGACTTTACAATCGGATGGCATCGAACCGAATTTACACGCATATACGAGTGTTCTCAAATTACTCGGACATCGTGATGTGGATATCAAAAAGAAACAAAATGATGTTGGAGTAGATTCTGATCTGGCTTTATCAGCCGGAATCCGATCACCTAGCTTGGACTATTTACATTCAACAGTACCAAGCACGACTGAAGCCCTAAGCTTATTCCGTCGTATGACTGGCTTTCAACAGCCCAATGTCTATACTTATACCACTCTCATTTCATGCTTTGCAAAATACAATATCTCTCGTGCCATCAGTATATTCGACCATATGTGTGCAACAGGAGTAAGCCCGACCGTAGAAACATATACGTCTATCTTACAAGGTTGCGCAATATTCAGAAATAGTCAAATGGCACTTAGTGTGTTTAACCATATGTGTGAAAGTCGCATAGAACCTAATGCTGTGACTTGGAGATACCTGTTGAAGTCTTTATTAAGGTCTCGTATCGATAAATCCCAAATTGATAAAATAGCTGAAATGGCAAAGAAAGCTTTAGACAAAAAAGTAGATTAATTACACATTAGAATCCCCTTTTAAAATAATAAAATTACACTTGTACATTAGATATTTAAAAATAAAATACACACATCTTTTTTTTTTTTTCGCGTTCTCGCAGTGACAGTCTAAAATTCTATTGTTTTTGAATAATTGGAAACCAAGGATGATATTTGAAATTAGCTTCAATATTCTTTACGCCAGCATTCTTGATGTACAATAATCCAATTTTAATAGCTACGGATGTACGCACCAAATTTTTTATGTCCTTCAAAAAAAAAGTTTTAGAACATGCATATGTTAATCTCATTCTGCATCTATACCTCTGTAAATCGATCATGACACATTTCTGTATTAGTTTCTTCGGCCGACATACTCAATACGTGTTCCAGCACCTTCTTTGTTTGTTCCAAATCTTTAGTGATAATCTCCTTCATTCTGTCCACATCAAAATCGTCAATCTCGACAGTTTCCAAGAACAATTCATAAGATGGATGAGGTGGTGAGATGAGCGGAATAAATGATTTAAAACGGTGCAAGTATCGAGTTTCCTCATTATCAAACACAAGTTTGCGTTGACCCCACTGTCCTGTGTTTTTAGCGCACAATAGGATTTTTAATACAGCTTCTGATAAGCTCTTTTTGCCGTGGTTTAATAACTGGTTTGTGCGAACATAGTTATACAAGTCGGCTGATTTAGATGATTGATCAATGTATGTGGATATTCTTTCCAGCAAATAAGCACGGCTCCCCAGTACACATTGTGTATACCTAAAAAACAAGGGTGAATACGTCTAAACTAGAACCAGTAGTTGAGGTATCTTACCAGTAAATCATGACATATTCATGAGATCCGTACAAATCCAGCTCAAACCCTAAGTACAGAATGTTTTCAATCATGGTCAATTTGATATTGTATGCCCAGGAGGAGAAGTAATAAGGTGTTGATAAGGGATCCCCCTCTTCGTCCGTTTGTAACATGTGAAACACTTCATCCACACCTGCAGCCTCTTCTTGTAAAATTTCCCACTCTGAAACAACTTTACAAAGCATTCTTCTTTGACGCGATCTATTGTGGCAATTGATTTTAAAGAATTCTACAAACACCTACAGGATACATATTAGACCGAATTATCCTTACACTCTATATTTCTGTTGATGGTTACCATTGAAATCCTGTCTAAATAAGCTTTCAGTGTTTCATGAGCGTTCAAGAGTTCCTTCCCGTCGATATTGTCTGGGTACAGTTGGTTCGAAGAAAGCCACCATGCAGGAGGTCTGACTATTTCTTCTACTGAGGCTAGGATTAACCTGGGGACAGGCAACGTTCCAAATACACGTTGATTATGGAAGAAGAGTGTCTATTAAAAGAGTTCCTGTCAATACGGTTAGATACATATCGGAAGTATGCCTCACTCACATTCAATTTCGATCTTGAAAATGCATCGGGATAAGGTTGAGTCGAGCCAAAACTAGCGAAATTATTCTGATAGAAAAAAAAAAAGAAAAGTTTAGATATTAACCAGTATATCATTATTATTATTTCCAATTTTTACCATCAGAGAAGTAACAGATGGATAGTCTACCACATTACAGATACGTTCGAGTCGTCCGATGAGTAACTTGAATTCAGTAAACGATTTCTCTTCAGACACAAGCTCCACGGGTCGAGGTGGGGTTTGTGAGGTTAGTTTTCGATTGATGTTGGAATCGAATGCATCCGGGACGTCTTTACCCAATGACAAATCCACGCTATCTAACAGACGCATAACTCTAGACAATTCTTTTTTCGCTTGCGGTAAATGTGACCCTTCATTTTGAGATAAAAAGACTAGTGACAAAAGAAAGGATTTACGGATCTCCATTCTGTTTAAAATCTCCTTTACAACGTGTGTTTGTTTCTCTAGGTTGTCACGATTAAAAAATTAATACCTTTTAGAATGTAATTTACATACTATTTGCTCACCAGAAAGGCTTGTATTTAATACATGGTTTAGTAACATGATGGAGGAGTCGATATCATTGAAAATAGCCACATCTGGATTTTGCTCATTGAACGATAGTCCAAACAGATTCGTAGTGAAATCCTCTTCCTAAATAGAGGGGGGACAGAGGAGGAGTACAAATGAGTACGAAAAATCAAAAAGGCATGACCATTTCTCTTGTTACTGTACCTCAAACACATTACCCTGGGTCATCTCAGTCCATATGTAATGACAACACTTCACAGTAGCCAGTACATATGTCTTTAGTACTCCATAAATAATACTTTCAAAATCGGAGGTGAGTGTGGGCATGGGTAGTCCATTCAAGGTCTGGATATGGTGGAAGTAGATACATGTGTATACAGTCTGGGATAAAGAGTGGCCTGATATCCAAGCCATTTCTCTCGTCAATAATCTATCCATTATACCCAACGTTTCTTCCCCTGTCAACTTTTCCAATATGTCGAATTTGTTGGGCTTTTCTTCTATCAACATCCCTGTGTCCATTCTTGGATCCATAATTTCAATAGCGCTCATGGCGTCAAACAATGTAAATGATTGCAAATGAACGAGTTGTCCAACACCAAAGTCTTTTTAAGGCAAATGAGTATATCAACAAAAAGAAAGAAGGGCATTGAGGTCAATGGTTTACCTTGGGTTGCCTCATCTAAAAAAGAAGTGATGTCCTTCCATTGTGGCAGAAGGTATTCTTGTTCCTCTTCGGTAGTTGGTATGTTAATATTTAACTCGGTAAAAGCGTCTACTTGCTCTTTTCTTTTAGAACGTGTGAAGAAAAGCTGAATTTCTCGAAAGTTTACCTTGTAAATCTCCAAGTGGTTGCTGCATTCCTGGAGGCCGAGAAAATATGGTGTAATTGAAACAAAAACCCGCGAACCCGCCACTCGTAGCTTCCTTTTGAGGTGGCTGAGTTTGTTCTTTGTGTATTATTTTCCCTCTCCCCCAAAAGGGAGCGTATCCTAACCAAAATGCTTTGACGCTTGCTGGATACATAGGTAAGACAAGTCTAAAATGTTCAAAGTTTACCCCTCAATGTTTGCCACTAAAAAGCGCATATAATGTGTTCTACTTAATAAAGTTCCGTCGTTTAAAACTTCAAATTTGTCTTTTTCGTTGTCCCTTGAAACGCCTGCATATTGACAATGCGTTATTTTATGGTTTTTAATGGTTAGATTGAGATGCTAGCATTAACAAAAGCATAGACATTACCTGATAATGCTCAAGCGTTTGGTTTATTCTTATAATTGGTTATAATAATACCATTAATAGATCGTTCTTTTCATACTCTTCCTTCATCTAACTATCCGCAACGTCGAATGTAAAGTTTATTATGCAATCGTGTGAATTAATACTTTAAAAGAGCCTAGTTTTATTAACCTTTAAAGCTTAGGATATTATACGTATTTATGTGGATCATTGTGATATTCATTAGATGACCCCTAAAACCCAGCATATTGCTTTTGATAGCATCTGAAGACTTTTAAACGAAGTCGTACTTTAGAAGTATGCATAGAGTACTACTTTTTAAGCGAGGGGACCTTATAAAAATTCACAGTGTTGAAATTTCCAAACCATACATGCCCAAAACAAATGAGGATTATCAGGTGACAAAGGACTATATTAGAATACAAATTCATGGAGAGTTTTGATTTCTGTCATTGATGGGTTTTTTTTTTTTCATAGTCACGCCGTGCTGAAAAGCGCAACAATTAAACAGAATCTCAAAAATTTCTGTTTCTTTCTCCCCAACACCAAACTTTTAACATGGATAACGTACTCGAAAAGCAAAGAAGGTTCGACCTCCCCAGACATCACAACTCAATTCTTTCTATTTTAAAAAAAAAAACCTTACTGCTAATAATAACACAATATTGTTCTATCACTTAGTGCTCACGAAGACATTGAGCGCCTTGAGCAAGCCATTGTAGATCAGTATATGGATGATGCCAAAACCCACCGTGAAAAGCTTTACAATGAGCATGTGGTAGACAAGTTTTTGACACGTATTGCTGAGAAAAGCGAATATCTTTACGAACTTTACGAAGACAAAGACGGGTAAGTTTTCATATCTACGCGATCTTATTTATCCTCGTTTCATCCAAATGCCCTTTTTAATATATAGTCTTCGTCAATCTGAAATGGAAGCTCTGTCTGGATCTTCAGAGTTTAGTGAATTTTATGAACGTCTCAAGGTTATTAAGGAACATCATCGCAAATACCCTAATGAAGCTGTAGTTCCACCAGAGATGGAATTCATTTACCTTTCTCAAAAGAAGGACGAAAGCGATTATGAAGGTAAGGCTTCAACGAAATAAAAAAAAAAAAAAAGCAGGGAAAAGATAATCTTATTTTTATAACAGAGTTGGAAAAGTTATTCTCGGGTGAAGAAAGTACCGGTAGATACCTTGATTTAAACACACTCCACACCATGTACATCAATTTAAAGGGTGTCAAAAAGTTGGACTACCTTCAATACTTGAGCGAATTTGATGATTTTGTCACCGTATATCCTAAAGCTATCAAAACAACCGAGGACTACAAAACTTATTTAAACGAACTATTTCAGTATCTCCATAGCTTTTTCCGTCGAGCAAAGCCTCTTTATGACATCGCTGCGTTGGAAGAAGAAGCTCTTTTGGAATTCAACGATGAGTGGGAACAAGGAAAGGTTGCTGGTTGGGAGGATGTCGATAGCACAAATCACGATTTATTTTGTCCTGCTTGTCAAAAACAATTCTCGAAGCAAACTGTCTTCGATGCACATCTTTCGGCGAAAAAACACATCAAGGCACAAAAGAAATTAGACGAGCAAGGCAGCGATTCTTCAGCAGCCGTCGGAACGGTAGATAATGTGGTTGGTGTAAAAGACGATAAGAGAAAGGCGATTGCCTGGAAAGAGCGTTTAGTCTCCAAATACGCTGAAGCACTGGCTGATTTCAGAGAAGAAAGTAAATCGAATGTTGAAAGAAAGCAAGCATTAACAGATAAGGAGCGTACTGTAAGTATCTATTTGACTAAACCAAAAAAAAAAACAGTCTATTCACATCCAATTTTTATTTTGCTTCTAGTTGGAGCAAGAACAAGAAAAGGTGGAATATGTAGACCAAGACTCTGACGAAGACGATGACGAAAAGATTTATAATCCCCTTAAATTACCACTTGGTTGGGATGGTAAGCCTATTCCATACTGGCTGTACAAGTTACATGGTCTTGGTGTTGAATACCCTTGTGAGATCTGCGGTAATTATGTCTATATGGGCAGAAAGGCTTTTGATAAGCATTTCCAAGAATGGAGACACGCACAAGGTATGCGTTCTTTGGGTATCCCCAATACTCGTCAATTCCATGAAATCACAAAAATTGACGATGTCCTTGCCTGTAAGTTTATTTTCGTATGCGATACTATTATGCTTGATATTAACTTTTTTTTAAAAAAATATATATAAACAGTATATCAAAAGCAAAGAAAGGAAGGTAGTAGTGCAGAAGCTAAGGCAGATATTGTTGAGGAATATGAGGACGCGGAAGGAAACGTGTACAACAAAAAGACTTATGAAGATCTTAAGAGACAGGGTATCCTTTAGAATAGACTATTTACAATAACCGAATAAAAAATAACTAGTAAAGGAATGCCTTGGGATAACAGCTTGTTTATTACTTGCATTGTTAGAAGTGGGATACATAAATAACGCAAAGCCATGTATTTTTTTCCTTTGTTCAAATCCGAATAAGAACCACTTTGTTTGTTTCTCCCAGCCATTGAGTTTTCAGGGAGTTCCTTTATTGCATTGACGTGACGTTGGACGACCTGTCCTGCTGCCACACGGTTGACAACAGTTTGATTTAGTTTCTTGACCTTGTTGTTGAAAAAGAGGAAAACTAGTGGGCTGGTTAAAGCCTATCGGTCTTTCCTGCGACAGTGTCTACACCTACCTCTTTTTGTAAATGTTTAAACGTATTTTTTAGAAATACGTGATCCATTCTTTTCTTACGTATTTTGGAACCAACAAAGACGGCTTACTACTCCATATTCTGGCCCGCCGTTGTTGGTATTGTAATATACAGGATATGCATAAAAAGAAAACAAAGAGAAGAAGGGAAGGAAAAAGTGTTTGAATGGGTTTTATTTGTAAACTGATAAAAAAGGTCTCGTATACGTCAGGATGATTCAATTGTTGATATTATCAGACATTCCCCAATGAAGTAGGAAATTTAAAAATGGGTATTTACAGTGCAAAATCCCTCTATTTTCAGTTTTTGTGGCTGTTTCATAAAAGGGGATGCCATTAGATAAAAGCAATAGGGAATTTTAAAATTGGACCAAGTATTAAAAACGCCCTAAAAAACGAATCAAAAGGTATAACACCTTTTAACAATGGACTCTAAAATCGGAGATTATGACGCCGTCAGGAAGGATATCATTGAAGCTATCCCTGCAGAAAGATACGATAAAGGCACTTTTGGTCCATCGATGTAAAAAGAGAAGCTTCTAATCAAACAGAAAAAAAAAAGCGGCCTAAAATCTTTCTTTTTCTCTAGGATCCGCCTTGCCTGGCATTCCTGCGCAACTTACAACAGACACCAAAATAACGGCGGTAGTCAAGGCGGAACAATGCGATTTGAAGAACAATATTCTGACACCGCTAACAAAGGACTGGAGAACGGTAGAAATGCTTTGCAGCCTGTTCATGATAAGCATCCTTGGTTGACATATGCAGATCTTTACACGTAGGTAAACCACCCATAGCCTATTTTTTTTTTTTTTAAGAAAAAATAACCGTTTTCTTTTTATATAGTCTAGGAGGTTGTGTCGCTGTCGAACAAATGGGTGGCCCCCATATCCCTTGGTCTGGCGGTAGATTTGATACAGACGATATAGAAGATATCCCACCTCGCAACCGCTTACCAGATGGCCATCTAAATAAAGGCCATATCATTGATGTGTTTTTAGACAGATTAGGCTTCACTGTGCAAGAGACGGTTGCTCTTATTGGTGCTCATGCTGTAGGTGAATGCCATAAAAGCCATCAAGGATTTGACGGCCCGTGGACACATAATCAGACAGAGTTTACAAACAATTTCTACAAGATGCTTCTAGAGCGTACCTGGAAAGAGAAAGTATGGGATGGACCCAGGCAGTTTGAAGACGAAGAAACGCATTCATTGATGATGCTGCCTACAGATATGGCCTTTCTTAAAGAACCATTCAGACCCTACGTCGAGCTTTATGCTGAAGATCAAGACAGGTTTTTTGAGGATTTTAAAAATGCATTTGTCAAACTCATATCGTTGGGAACATCACGTAAACGGGGAGAAAAAAATAAACTTTTGGTAGAGTGTTGCGGTAGATAAGAGACCCCACACACATTCATCCCGGTGGAGATGATAGATAAATAAATTACTGCTTTTAATTATACTACCATTTAGTCTAAATATTACGCAACCACATACGAATATGAGGAGTTCCATCCTCGTCAAAGATTTCATCGCCTTCTTCAATAACAAATCCAAGCTTGGCGTAAAATCCACGTCTAGGGTATTGTGAATGTAAAACAATACTATGGAAACCATTGTCCTTGCAGTGCTGAATAAAGCTTTTGACAAGCTTTTGGCCAATGTGAAGTCCGCGAGCAGAACTGAGCACAGCCAAACGACCTAATTTGGCAACGTGTTGTGGCTGAGGGATCAAACGAATGGTGCCGACAGGAACATGCTTTCTAATCGAGCCATCTTCATTTGTCTCGTCACAATATGCAGCCCAGTGCTCAGAGACATCATCATAACTAATTTTTTTTTTTTTTTTTTTTTTTTTTTTTTTACAATTTATGAATTACAGGGTTCAACACGGAGTTCTCTGTACCCCCCCCCTTTTTTTCCCTTTTTACCTGTCTAATTCACTTTCCATCGAATATTTCTGTTCATCTACAAACACGGCGATACGAACTTTTAAAGCATCCTTTCTTTCTGTTGGCGTAATGAGCTGTTCGACCGAGACGTTAGAGAACTTAGACATTTATTTAATTTAATTTTTAAATAAAAAAAGGGAAAAAAAGGAAAACTGTGATTTATATTTTTGGCTCAGGCAACATGTCTGGGGTGACAAGTCACAGAGAAAAATTAGTTACCGGCTCACCCGGAGATCCTTGCATAGCTAATCTGGCTTGCATGAGATTATTTGATAAGTTAAACCTTTAACAGATTATGTTAGTAAAAAGTATATTCAATCATAGAGTTTTGGCTATTTACTTATTTGGATTATTTACACCACGGCGGAAAGGTGGGAGAGTAAGACCATCTTCTGAAACTAATGCTGAGAATCCTATCAGAGCAATGTTTAACGCACCATTTTGGTCTCGATTTGACGTGGTTGACTTGTTATGCATGCGTCTCGGACAGTCTTTGTTAACGCAAACTACTGCACCTTTTAATCTTTTTATGGTATCCCCTCTTCTAACTACTTGCTTAGTAGTGGTTTCAAAACACGAAGTGCAAGTAACAGTTGATTTATATTCGTCAACAACCATAAACTTGTCCTTTTCTGTTTTTTGAAGCTCTGTAATTACTGGTTTTAAGCTTCTCCTAGTATGACCCTTCATAAACGTAGTAATGCCGGACCAGTTTCCCAGAAATGACCATACGACATTGTTATTTCCCTTTCCTACTGATGTAACAAGTCTTTTTCTGTGGTGGCTAAAAAATACTTGATAGAATTTTTTTGTACGTATTTTTCTAGTGAGCCTTTTATTTTCCAGATATGAAACATCAGCTTGTATTTTCTGGTTTTCTCTCCTATGTCGTTCTTGTCTACGTATTTTTTTCAAGCGTATTTTTTTCAAGCGTATTTTTTTTATACCACTTACAGGAATTCTGGCCAGAAAACCAGCAGGCCAGTATGATCACAGCTATTTACAGCGCAATCACAGCCATTCACTGTTCTTGAGTTCCAAAAACTCAAGAACCCTGCCTAGGAGGTCGCCCTCCTATAGCAAAGACTAGCCGCAGCCGCAGCCGCAATATCACAATATATCTTTTTCAATTTAGCTTCTTTTCAAAGAAACAAGAGTCATTACTAACTAACCTTTTTATGTGATCGGTTACTTTCATACGATAAAATAAGTATGTTAAGGGAAAAGAAAAGAAGAAGAATAAAGTGTGTGGACCAGCTTTATTTATAAATAAACAAGCTTATGTCAGGATGATTTCATTTGTCTATTTTATCATCCATAATGTTTGAGCCCTTACCTAAGATAGAAATGTCTACAAAAACCTCCCAAGCAAGTCAGAGCTTGGTAATAGTCTATCTGCGTTCCAGTAGTAGCTTGTAATGACAGTGAAGCAGAGTTTTGGGAAAAAAGAAATCGATCAGCCCATGAAGTTTAGATGATATGACACGCGTGATTCTAAAAAATACATTTATTTATTCGAAAAAATACGGAGTTCTAGACATTTCCAATTTGAAGAGATAAAAAACACAAATCGAAACTAAGGTTGGAAAAAATACCAATTTTCGTAGACCACCCTACGATAGAAAGGACTTCGAAAAAAAGTCTATTCTATACTTTTTTTTTTTTGTATAAATCCTAATTTTATTTAAGATTCAATGAAAGTCACATGTCATAATGAGAGGTATGCATTGATGTAGTAAGGGATGAATTAAAATGCGAAGAAAAACAAAAGGTAAATTAAGAAAATTAAGTGATAAGAAAATTGGCTGAGTTCACGTTGTGCTGGTTGATATAGGTGTGAGCGATACCAATGATAGTACAGACAACCTGATCCGGGATAAAAGGTGTGGAATCAAAAATAAAACTCCAGTTGTGTTTCCAAATGCCTTCAAGGATAGAGCCAAAAAGAAAAATTGGGGTGGTTTGAAGATGGAAAATTTTGCGACTGGGAAAGTTGAATGTGTATATACTGGATAGGACCTCAGACGGTTTAAGTAAATATAAGGCAGGTGATTGCGGATATAGATATGTGAAGGATCGTTTCCAAATCTGCCAAACACGCTGACAAGAGACAAACATATCCTCGGGGTAATGAGAGCTTGCAGAGCATAACGGGCAGAGAGGAGAGTCTACTAGCGGTGGGAGATATCTATGCATGGTGAGGGTCGTATTAACCTTATTATGCAGAATTTGAAACCAGACGTTTTTAGTACGGATGTTCAACCGACTACGCCAAAAAGCTTTGCAAGTAGAACCGGTGTAACGACTGACAGACGTAACTCGGTGAGGAGTGCGGTGCACCATTTCCTCCCGGAAGGACTTGGTTGAAATTTGATTGATTAATATAGTGTTTCGAAAAAAGTCAGTCAATGGTTCAGTTTTAATCGACCCGAACAAGTGATCGTTGGATGTCAATAGTCGCAGAGCAAACGGATACAGTTGGGCTAAATCAAGCAGAAGACTTTGATGAAAGCGAGATCCGAGAATGGGATATTATCCTTGAAATAAAGTAAAATGTGACATAACAGGTTTTTGTGACTAGGCAAAAAATTTATTGGATGAAGGAATATTTATCTGATTTAAACGTATTATATCGCGGAGGGATGATGACGAGATTGGGAGAGTATAGGAATTAAAGAATATTTTGGACTACGCAGAAGCGCGCACCAGAGACGATAACAGAGGCAAACAGAAGGGGTAATTGGGGACAGGACAGAACTTTCGCCAGGAATCGATCTCACATCTTGACTTTAGAAGTCAAGGGTTCTAACCACTTTGCTAGAGGGCCGAAGCCCAAGTTCACAAAAATGATCAAATGAAGTTCAAATAAATGACTAATTAGTTTTCAACTTCCGACCAATGTTTTCAAATGGCAGCGGAAGCATTGTATAAAGCTATAATTGAACAATGCTTGCAGCTTTATAACCCTTTTCTATCACATTGCAGATAAAAGATTTACTTGTCAAGGTTGAAATGAAGTATAAATAAGCATTTTTTTTTCTTTTTGTTGTTGCTGCTGTTGTTGTTGACGTAGCAGTTTAGCAAAGGACTATTGTTGAAGTAATAGGGCTATATATGCACCTTTACTCATTTTATGTATATTGGCCTTGGGATATGTTCATTTAAAGTAATTAACAATAATGCATTTGATTAAGGGCACCTATATTGAAATTCCCGTACTGTTACATTTGTGTGCGCAATACACTGTACACCTCCCATTGAGCATCACACATAGAATCAATACTTTCTGCCACTTAAAGTGTCTCAATCTTTTTCGATCATGTGAAGTACTTTGATACAATAAGCATCATGTTGATGTACGCCACGCATTATTTGAATAAGCCCAATTTTGGGACTGCCCTCCCAAACCAGGCGGAGCTGTGAGCTAGCTGTTACTAAAAATAAACATCTAGTCCCAAAAAAAAAAGAAAAAAAGCTGTACCTCTTTTTCTTTTTCTTTTTTTTTCTCTTATCGCTTGTTGTTGTGTCTGAATATACAAAATGGCTGGTTCAGAGTTGCCTTTCCCAAATAATGCGAGAGCAGAAAACGCAACTATATTCGGTGGGTCTCGGTTTGGCCGAAAGAAGAGAACGATTTTCGTGCTATTGCTGGTGGCGGTGTTCTTTGTCTTATGGTTCAACTCGGATTTAGATCGCTTGAGCAACACGGTGGTTGATAGTGGGTCAGCACAGAGTCCAAAGACCACAACGGTGGCTCCTTCTGTTGTTATTGAAGATGATGAGGCCGATTTAGATGAACAACCAGAACCAGCACCTGCGGTAGTAACAGAAAAGGCACCTGCAAAGGCAGTGGAAGACCAGAAGAAGAAGACAAAACCAAGCACACTACCTATCCTCCCCGATGAGTCTACACCACAGCACTTCAAATATCTCATGATTATCGCTTCTAGAGCAAGTAATTTAAGTCGCCGTCAATTAATTCGTAAGACTTATTTTGGCATGGAGGATAATTTGGAACCATGTATGAAAAAGGATAAGGGCTTCAATTACATGTTCTGGGTGTATGGCGAAAAGCCCATGTCAAAGACCCCTGAACGTCGCTTATACGAAACTGAAAAAATTGAATGGAACGATTTGGAGAAGGTAGATCAATCTGCTTACAGTCAAGATGAAGTCTTAAAATGGGTAAAGTATTTATATATATATTTTAAAACTCGTCGACTTTTTGGATCTAATTACAGAAAATAACTAGGCCGAAACTACTTTAAAAGAAAGAGGTGTTACCTATGATTATCTTGTTATCCAAGATGCTTATTCTCTTATTCAACTCAACTATATCCAGCAAACGATTCAATCCGAAGTAGGTCAATTCCCTACCGGTAAACTCGCTACTGATCTTGCTTGGGTCTCTCCTGGTAATAAAAACGCCCTTGTAGCCGGTTCAACTGCTGTCCAGAAGCTGTTGGAGAACGAATCTGAGTACAAGGATGTTATCACCGAAGGCGAAAATACGTTGATGGCCAACTTTTATGAATTCCATCGTTCTGTTTCGGTTCAACTTAACTTTGTCACCGCCAAAAAGGAACTGAGTCGTCTTCAAGCATTGAAAGAAAACTCGCCATTCTTTATCTCTGAAACCAACCGCTTTGCTACTTGGAAAAATCATGTGGAATCCATTGCTGATTTGACCATTGCAGTTTCCAACATCTATCAAGATTCCGATTTTGCCGCTGTCGCCCATACGCTTAATCTTGGTGGCTCCTCTGTGTGTAAACCTCTGGAAAAAGCCAGCATTGCTGTTGTCACCAGCTCATTTATCTACGACAACTGTATGGAACCTTCAGCATCTCTCGCCGCCGATAATAAGCGTAGTTATGCTCTTAAGCACAATTATGCTTTTGTTGCTCGTTCCGGTGAGTTTGCTCAGCAACAACTTCGTGAAGAAAAGAGAAGACCTGTTTGGGGTAAGATTGACGTTGTCCAAAAGGTGCTCCCCAAATATGATTGGTTGTTTTGGATGGATATGGATGCTGTGATTATGAACCCTGAACAAACTGTACAGACACTTCTTGATGAATTCAGAAACAGTTTCCCCGAAGGTCCTCGTGCTTTTGAAAAGACGATTGATTTGGTTATTTCTAAGCCAACAAAGGACAAGATGATCAATGCCGGTGTCTTCTTTATGCGTAACACCGAATGGGCACAGAAGTTCCTCAACACCTTGCAAGAGTCTACCTATTGGTATAATAAGGGTCCCTCTTATGAACAGGGAGCCATGTGGGATTTAATTCAAGAGCCCGGCTACAAGGAACATGTCCTCTTACTTGAAAACGACGATCATACATTCAATACTTTCCCCAAACTTTATGTTCCTGGAGATTTTATTGTGCATTTTGCTCCTGATAAATGTCCCAATTCTGCTGTCTTGGGTGGATTAAAGGCTGCTCGACAAATTCAACAAGGTCAAACTGTTACTTCTTTCCAGGAAGATTAAGTTGCTTTGGAAAAAAAAATGACCTTCACCCTTTTGTAATTACTTGAATACATATATAAATAAAAAAGCTTTTTGAAACAAACAAATAAAATAAAAAGTGTGGCTGATTTGTGCGTCCCCCAAAAAGAAGTATAAATAGCTCTCCTGGCCACTGTTGCACGGACTCGTTCTGCCAAGCTTTCTAACTTTCTGGAATAAGCAGGTTGAAACCTTGATCTCACTTTCTTGGGAAGTTTGAGATAGTTCCTGCTGGACAGCAGTTATGTTGGCATGTCCTTTGATAAGACGTTTGTCTTTTCTGGGTTACTCAAATATGTAGATAAATTTCATATGGCAGCAGCACCTGTTAAATTGTAACCCGTGTATGTAGTTTAAATCACAAATGTATCATGTAGGCTAATGCAGCCACATCCAGTCTTACCAACAATGCGAACACCTTGTATAGGAGGCTTCTTGGTTCAAAATAAATAAAAAAGCAATTCTATATTCAACTGAAAGAATGGTGCTTCATTTATTAATGCAATTAATATAAATGTTCAAGAACCCAGACGAACACCTGTACCAGGGAAGCTGGGAGAAGCGGAACTCGATCTTTGGTTTGGGCTTGGCGTATTTACTACAGAGGGTGCGCTAAAGATTGGCAAGTAAACGCCACTTGAATCCACCGACACAAAGTTGGGTGATCTTGTCAAGAAGCTCAACCATGCTTTTCCTTCATAACGCGTCATTGTCTCGTCAGACGGAACAACATACTTTGAATACTTTTCATCCACGACTAATGTCTTAATTATTAGTACCTTTCTCTCTCTCTCTCTCTCTCTATCTCTTTGGCGTTACTCACAAACAAAGGCAATTAACGCCGAGGTGAAATTCAAAATAAAAGATAAACCAGGTGCTAAAAACACAAAAAAGATCAATACAATCACTGGCCAAGCCTTGTTAGGAATACGAATCGATCCAGCAATCCTAAAAAAAAATCATTCGTGTCAAACAGTGTTTATCATCTTGTTTAAATAAAAAATGCCTTACATTCTATCCGATTCACCTTCTTCCTTCAGGTAATTTACAACAACTAGGCCCACGACCCATCCTGCCATACCAAAGTATCCTGCAGTACCGTTGAATTCGGATTGTGGGGTATATGTCGTCAACACTTGGATAATGGCTATATAGACAAGTGCTGGTACAATTGTAAATAAAGTCAAGAGTACCCATCCTAGTCGAAGGGTGCCTAGCTTCTTCTCAGCCTTGAATATCTCGGGTAACAACCAAAAGGTTGTAATGATCATCTCAAGGAGTGATTTTGAGGAAATGGGGTACAACACAAGTCTTTGAACTATAGAAGAGTACTTATATTTAGACGCTGCTTTAATTACCATTGTTAGTATATGCCTTACTTTGCCATCGGTCAATGACGAGATGCGCATCCAGATAGGTCCAGTATAAAAAGCTAAAGAATGACGAGACAAAGAGATCCACAAGATAAAGTGCAGTGGGGACAACCAGTGCAAACTTGGTCAGTGGTGGTAGTGTTGTCAGCACTTGTTTGACGTGGTCGATAAATACGCTAGTCGCGTTACTGCTATTCGTATTATTATTATTTGTGCTCATCCTCTTTTTTTGTGTGTGGAAGAGAAGAAAAAGGAAGATCCGAAATATAAATTTTTGTTGATTTGACTCAAACAACCCTTTATTTTTTCGCTGCAATAAATATTATGATTTTCCTTCCCATAAACATCAGTCATAGACACATCTTTTTTTTTTTTGCCAGCTAAATTGTTGCATTATCGATCTAATGGAAACCCAGGTATCCAAGACAAGTGGTCAAGGTATAATTATAAAACTAACTCACGTGTTGAAAAGAAGTAGGAGTTAAATAAATTCTTTAAATAGAACCCATTTCTTTTTTTTATTATTTTAGTTTTTTTTAAACCCTTTGAATTTTCTTTATACTCTATATGCCCAACTTGATAAAGTCAGCAAAAGTATCGACTATACGAAGAGGAGCCACCAAAATCAATAAAAGAGGCTCCAGTAGACACGTCAGCTCTGATGTCGTGTACGACTTTGCTTTACGTTGTGCTATAAGAGCTAATCTCGAACAAGCAGAAAAAAAAAAGCCAGCATCTGGAATCTCGCCAACGTCTTCCTTGAACAGCAACAGCAACAACAACAACAAAAAGAAGGAAGACAGACACTCTTCTCTTCACCATAGTTTCTCTAGTTTGACAGACATATTTTCGGACGGTAAACAAACCGACAAATTAACTCGAGAAATTGTGAAGGGCCTGATGAAGCGCTTAGAGGATGTTTATAAAGAAAGGGATACTTCAAAGCCTGAATATCTGGATACCAGGTTTAGAACCGTATGTAAAACGGTAAAGAAGAATCTAAGTGAACATCGCTATAGGCCGACGGGAACCATCAATGACACGGTCATCATGTTTCTAAAATCAAGTGAAGCCCATTTAAAGAACGATAAAGAGGATCCTGCTTTATGGTACGCGGATTTACAAAAGTTCATTGCCAGGTTTGCAGAAATGGTAATACAGACTATCCAACAAGATGCCCCTTCAGCTGCCACGCCGGAGTTATTAGAAAAACTTTCCGGTTTTTGTACTCCCCACAATAATACCCAAAAAAGGTCAATACAGGCTGAAAAAAGATCTTCTTCGTCGTCCTCGAGTAGTACAATCATTGATAGCCTCGAAGATTTTCCAATGGTACTCACAATCAAAAAATTGTTTCGTGTCGATGACGATGAGCATCGTAAGAAACTCTTAGAGCTTGTTCCAATCTGTACTGAATCCGTTAGTAGTCTTTTTTTAAAAAAAACACTTACAAATTATTCACTCATATTTAATTTTTTTTTTTTTTAGGCTTTGTTAAATGACTTTAAAAAGTGCATCAATCAAGTTCACACCAATGGTAAAAAAGAGGATTTTTCAACTTTACAAGCGTACGAAAACTGGCAAAAGACAGAACTGAAGCAGTTGACAGAACTAATGAAATCCATGATGCTGATGAATCCCAACCTAAGCATTGCCACATCAAGTGAAGTAGACGTTGGCAACACCAATTTGCTAGCAAGACAGCAAAGCACCGATTCCTATCATTCCATATCGAGCCAGAACAGCAATAGTAGCATCGTAAGTAGTATACATCCCCTTCACACGCGCGCGAGCGCTAGTTTTAAGAAATTATGCTGAACTAATGTAATAACGTGCATAGGAGCAAACGACATCCTTTGCATTTATACCCTCCGACCCCAAAAATTGTTTCCGTTTCCTGATGAATATGTGCCTTGATCATGACACTGAAAACATTGCAGCCGTACCCGAATCAGAGAGAGCCAAAACAAGTGTCCTGACACAACAATCCGATGAACTCTTGAGAGAATGTTGGAAAACATGGCGATTATCTTCTCCCTTCAGGGCCATCCTTTATCTCACTCTGGTAAAGTCGAAGTTCGACAAACATGATCTTGAAATTGACGATCTGGATGAAGCCATGAGATCCATAGACAGAGTGTCAAAAGAGAATGATGTTTCATCATGGGCCATTGTTGATGTAAAATATGCAATCAATCACCCGTCATTCTTTTTATATCTAACGTCTTTTTTCTTTTCTTTTTTCTGTATGTTAGCGGGATAATTTAGTGCGCGCTTTGGAAGGAATAAATAATTCTCTTTTACATGAATTAGCCGACGGGTTATCCAAGTATTGGAAAATCAGGTAAAGGTCTTATGCATCCATTCTAGTTAGCTCCCATTAAGACTCTTTTTTTTTTTTTTTTTTAGTCCTGGTTGGGTTCAAGATATTATTGATTTATTGGACAAAGTCTATACCAACCCTGCTTACTTGGAAGCTCATCCCGATCCAAAAGCTGACTTTGCACTTGTCGAAGAAATAATCAAGGTACATTTGCCATATAAAAAAAAATTCACCCTCGTATCCCATAATGTTAAAAACACAGAATCGTCGTTAGGGTGCAGCGGTAGAGCGATGGGGGAAAATTGAAAAAAAATCCAGGAATCCCGAAGAGGACGATTTGTTCAATTTGATTACCATGGCTGATAATCTAAGCAAGGAACTCACTGTGGTGGCGAAACAAAAGTTTTTCGAGCCCATCATGGATGTCCTGTTTATTCCCAGCATTGTCATGGCCAGACAAATGCCGTACTTTGCCTTGGAAATGGAAAACTGGTCCTACTCTCCCGAATCAAAAACTTGTCCTGTCGATATCGCTTTTGAACTATATTCTAAAGTATTGAATCTGGAAAAATTGTACGATGAATATGGACCTGAGTAAGTTTTTCTTTAAACCATTGACGGACAGTCATGGATTACTGATTGTGGTTAAACATAGGAATAAGATAAGTTTATTCAAAGTTGAATCTTGGTTCTTGCCCCATGTCAAACGTTGGCTTATTAAAACTAGTGCGTCGACCATGGAATGGGTTGATAATGCTGTTACACAGGATCAGGTACCCTTTTTTTTCATCTTTCTTTTTTTTTTTTTTTTTTTTTTTTTTTTTTTTTTTTTACTAACAAACTACAACAAAAAAAAGTTCCAACGCATTAGCGATATCATCCTACATTCTTCGTCTATCATTGACTTGTTTTCCATGTTTAATCAAGCCGTTGACTTTGTATCTGATTTGGAGTGGCCGAATAATATTCAACATTGCTTATTTGAAACTTTCCTGTCTAAAATTATTGGCGAGGGAATTCAACATTACTGTTACACGCTAGAAGACTTGGTGAAGAAGGATATCTTATACGATCTTGCAAGTAGCGAAACTTCAGCTGAGACACCTTCATCATCCCTCATGGATAAAGCAAGATTTCAGATCATGGGCGGTAGAGGCTTGAGTAAGGAAGAAGGTGTACCTGAAGATTTATCGCCAGAGGTATAAAAACAAAAATCAAAAAATCAAAAAGTTGTGAATACTTATATCATATCAGCTTTGTGTAAAATTAAATGATATAGAAGCCGCCCGAAAAAAACTAGACCGACTCTATCAAATGATGAATGTGGACGAAATCGCGCAATTCATGAGAGAAAACGTGACACCCCAAAACACGTACAAGTCAGTGCAGAACAATTATCTGTATACCATTAAAGTCGTGCGGGCAGAAAATTTACAGCCTCTCGATAAAAACGGCCTCAGTGATCCCTATGTCGTATTTGAAATCGATGGCAAACCTATCACCAAAACAAGAACTATGTATGAGACCTTGAACCCGCGATGGGATCAAGAATTTGATATTTGGCTTAGCGACGAAAGAACCGTGGATGTACTGGCCGTTGTAAACGACGAAGATGTCATCACGGCGGACGAAGAGTGTGGCGTCGTCTGGTTCAAACTCGCACCCGAATATTTCAATGATTTTCAAACCCATGAGTTGGTGCTGGATCTTTCTCCTCAGGGCACCCTTGTACTTCGCGTCAGTATGGAAGGGGAAAAAAATGATATTCAATTTTGGTTCGGCAAAGCGTTCCGTACATTGAAGCGTTCCGAAAATGATATGGCTGGAATAATTGTTGGCAAGGTATGTATATGCAAAAAAAAAAAAAAAAAAAAAAATTATCACGACGTAACTTTCTAATCATGATTTTAACAAATACAAAAAAAAAGATGGGCTGTTATATCCATCAATGCCTTTCTCGTGAAGTCATAGACAAGCTTTTAGGTAGAGACGAGGTTGGATTTTTTGCAGCGTTTAGTCGAGCAACGAGTAAACAAGTCGAGCCTGACTTGCAAGACTGTGAAAACGCTATTGCGCCCCTAATTGAATTCCTCGAAAGTAATCTCAGGATTTTGAACGATAACCTATCAGAAACAAACATGCATACTGTAGTCCTGACCATTTGGAGGGAAATCTTGCGAACTTTAGATAACGTTTTATTGCCTCCTTTATCCGAACAACTGGCAGAAATCAAACCATTAGATATGTATGAACTCCATGTCGTCTTTAAATGGTTAGAGGTATAAAAAAAATCTTCACTCCTATTTAAAAAAATTCTAATTTTTATTTTTGATCCGTTACCTATTTTATAAAGTTACTCAAAATTTTATTCAATGGCGGAGAGGATGGTGATGCTATACCCTTAGAAAATCTAGAAGACGAAATATACCACTCATTGCTTGCTACCAATGCTGCCTACAACCTGGAAACAGACCAATTGATAGAAGAATACAAGCTATCCCATCATAAATCTCGCAGTGTTAAACTGACCGGGAAGCAGGCCGATCGTAGTAAAACAATCTATCATTCTAAAAATACCATTCGTCACGGCAAACGTCAAAGCTTCATCAAGAAGGACGATCATCGTCGATCCAGTATTAACACACCCACCAGTGATTCTATATTGCGCATGCTGCGTATGCGACAAGGTCGACATGTGGTGGAATTTTTGAAACAAGAATTTGAAAAACGTAATAGTCCCCCCGAAGCCATACCATCGGCCCTCGATCACCAACCATTGCCGGAAAGCCCAACTTCGTTAACCGATAAGAAGAAAAAAAATCGTTTATCAAAACACTCAATACCAGAACAAGGAATCACTTTGACAGATTAGAATAAATAAATCTCTTTTGATGCAATCATTTTAAATACATAGAACAAAAAAAAAAAGAATATATACCATATCCTTTTTTCCCTTACATTGAAGCTACACACACTATCTACATTCAAAAAAATTACAAAAGATAAAGCCCAACGGGGGGGTCGAACCCCCAACCTTGAGATTAAGAGTCTCACGCTCTACCGATTGAGCTAGCTAGGCTTGGTGACACCAAAACCACTATATAAAATACGGCCCTGCAAAAAAACATGTAAAAAGTCACGTGATTGTCACGTGAAACGTTGCTGATTGGCCTTGTTTCCGTCAGTATTTGCTTTTTCATGCAAATGTTTTGAACACAAAAAAACTTAAAATTACATTTTATGCAGTCAGGCTTATGGCAATGAGATAAAAGGGCTAATAATTTATTAACATAAATCTATGATATTTATAATAGTGTGTCACATGTTTACGTAGCATGACATATGAGGTGGAATTTCGACGCGACCATCTTTTTTTTTTTTTTTACCCTTGTCTCACTCCTCTAAATGGCAACTCACATATCAAAAAAGCAAAAAAAGAATACCCAGCGATGCAATGTGGTGTTTACATCATGCCAGTTCTCTTTTTTTGAAATCTTTTGTTCGCCACTTTGAATTATACGATCGTCAATACAGCCACAGGCGCGTTATCAAACTATTCTTGAAAAGTATTTGAAGATGCTGCCAAAGATAGCCTGTTTGTGGAAATCGATGTAGATTTACTCGAGGCTGATGACCATCTGCTTTGGACAACTCTTAAAACCGGCTTATCTTAACACGACTTGACTACTGTTTAGAGTCTTTATTAAATAAATATGTTTAGGATTAATAGGTATGACGAAGTAAAATTTAACTTCTTGTGCGTGGTGGCTTTCAACCTACCTACATATATTGAATTTATTTGCCATTTCTGGGCAAGTGTAGCACTAAATGTGGCAGATCAAGCAAAAAATAATACTGTGTCGGAAGCGCTCCCACCACAATCGTGAATAGCTTCCACTGTGTTTAATATTATTATGTGTAATCCTATAAGCCCTATTTATTGCCTTATTGTAACCTTATGATGTGATATGTCTAGTACTAGCTATCTATATTAGGCAGATGGTTACCAAATAATGCCTGATGTATTCATGTCATAGATATGGATATACTTCTTGTAGCACTAATATGGCAGATCACTACAAGTGAATCCACTCTGCGATTCCACTCAGTGATTCCACAAAAACTGGATGAAAAAAAAACAGAGTCAAACGACCATGTTAACGCTGGGAAAAACTGTAAGTTAAGGAAGTGAAAATAAGTTATTTTGTCTTGATAAGACAATAAGAAGCTTGTAGTCGATGAAAATCCTTCCCTAGCTTGTAAAAAGGTTTTTGCTTTGACTATATGGCCCATTAATAACCACTGTGACAGGGAATTAATGAAGATCTAATGAGAGGCTACGAAGGAATTATATCTTGTAGTAGTCTGAGAAGTACTATATTTATCCCTAATTTTACAAAAAGCTTCATCGTCCTAAAATGCATGAATAGCTGTAGGATAGTTAAAACAGTTTGCTCAAAAAGGGTTTCGTTCAGTCAACAGGTAAATAAGATCCTAATTCACCCTTATCCTCAATACCATTTCGCTTACAAGTAAGAAATTTTCCAAAAATCAAAATGCAATACAATACTTATATAATCTAATAGATAAAATAGTGGAATAACTGAGTCTTTGTTATTTACTTTTTCAATGGAGTGTTTACAATTAATAAAGAAAGCTCTAATCGTGCATTGATAATTAAATCAACTTCTTTGAGTGAAATGAGGCAGGATCTTTCGTTTCCGAAGAGTGTTAGTCGACAAACGCACATAAATGTATAAAAAAGGTTAGGGACCATTACAAAAAGATGGTGGAGGGGTTTCATACAACAATAACATCGCATACATATCCATGTAGTTCATCTTTTTAGACTCTTCACATGGATTGTACTGGTAAAAGTCGTGCAGATATAAGCATATAAAAATGTATAACCGCTACAGCAACACATTGGTAACAATCAAATTAGTCATTAACAAGACAGCAATGAAGTATGGGACCATTTTTAGCAGCCAGGAGGTTATTATTTTAATCTCCGAATCATATGGCATACCTTTTTTTTTAAACTGATTTGATAAAAATCAGGATCTTATAATTTTCGTGTCAAAGTAAAGTCGTTGAGCATTAGACTTTTACTAAAATAAAGTTTGCCCAAAATGTCCAAAAAAATTATGCGCATCTTTGGATATATGTTAGAGTGTAGTTTTATATAAAAGATATAAATTTTGACTAACACAAACTAATTTTTTACGTGGGCGTTAAATACAGTTATTGTTACAGTAAAACTGCTCCACAAATGCTACCAATAGAAAAAGCGTAAAATTTGGGCCTTAGTTATCTATGAACACTTTTTGTTAAACTTACAGGAAGGGTTCCTAAAAGGTACATTTGTAAATTTTGATATTTTCCTCGAGGTATACCCTTTGTGTTTTGGTCAAAACCTAATAATCCAATATGATATTTTAGATGATTCTGAACATTTTTTTGGCTTGAAAGGACGTACGGAAACGACAGTTTACTATATGGAAAATTCGATTGAAAATGACATATCAAGTTACAAAGGGACAAAACAGAGAAGTTGATATTATACGCACCCTTTTCTTATTATGGGAGTATGTAAACGCTTGAAGTAGTTTAGAAAATGTCCCAAATATTTTTTTTTACTTTCAATAAACATGATCAGCAATGCATCAATTATAAAAAAAAAACGGTCATGTTTAATAAGCTCTGGATATAAATTACTCATTATTCGATAATTGCTGTTTTTTCATTTTCATTTTTATAAAACAAAATTGTTAGAGATCTCCTGCTTGTGCCGACAGCGAGAACTGCTGAAGATACCCGAAGACACCCCCAGAGTCCCACTGACAACCCGCACAGGAGACCTCAAGGTATACCCCCACAAGTGAGAGCAACCCAAAAGCCCCAGACCCAACATGAAGAAAAAAAAAAGAAGAAAAAAATGAAAATGGAGTGAAAATTGGTCTGCTTTTATACTTTTCAAAAGCTAAAAATTTTGTGTAGATCATCATTTATGACGTTTTTCCTGTGACTTTTTCTTGAGTTTCCACGACTTTCCATGGCACTTTGTGACAATTAAGGATTCTCGCACCTTTCCTTTTTTGTTATATCTAGCCATGCTCTATGTGAATAATGTATCACATCTAATTAAAAATTAGGGATGTATCCGGTTCCACGTTCCTTTTTAATTTACTTTTGTAAAAATTATCTGAATTGATCCACACAGCTTTTTGTTTAAATTATCGTCTCGATGGAGCTTTTTGGTGCCCTAAAACTGTGTAATAACGCATGAATTTCTCCATCGTGTAACATCCCAAGCAACATCTCAGTATCTTTTTTTTGGCACTTGTCAAACAATTTTGTCGTGTTTAAGAGGTTAGGTATAAACATTTGATATATATAATCTTCTCCATTAAAAAGATATTCACATGGGCTTAAATATCAGTAGAATCATAACTGTACTGATGGCTTCCATTTCGAAATCGTTCAGTAGTCACTATAATAAGTATCCACAACAACTACAAAGAAACTATCCTTGCCAATTAAGATCCTTTTTCGCTTTTCAACAAATTAAAAACGATTCTTTATTTATGTCACATTGGCTTTATAAGACTTTATTATTAATAAGTGAATAACGCAATTCACCTCAGTTTTTTTGATGAACCCAGCAAATAAAAAAAAAAAATCCCAATAAAATAGCTTAAAATATAATGATATTCACGGTTAAATATTTATAAGCTGCTGCCTCATTTCCTTTTATTTGCCTTATCTTTTCTATCGAGAAAAATATTAAAACCCTAGAAGGCAGGTTCTCAAAATACGTTCTAAAGTTATAGAAATATGTTGCTCTGTAGGTCTTTTAAGCAAGTTAAAGATTTAGGTGTTTTTGATATTGTATTGTATACAGTCGTGCTTCCCGGGTGCCATAGGACGGTTTTTTTTAGGGATAATCCCGCCTATTTCATTTAGCATCCTTATAATTTGTAAAAAATCGTTAAATGTAAGTGTACATTATGACAAACTACCATTTGTTCACTCTACTGTTTAAGCGCTCCATTTTTTTTTCCTTTCCTCACTCACACATAGCCCTTTAAATTTAAAAATGCTTGTAAATTCACACAAAGTAAAAAAAACCTTATAATTCGTGTTGTGCGTTTTTTTTTTTAGAAAAAGGGGGGGATATCTCTATCGTTTGTGGTATCTTTTCTTTTTACTTGTTGCGAATATCAGTCCATCGTTGCATACAAGAATTAGGTGTAAGATCTAGAACAATAGAGGTGTGAGTTCCAAAGAAAAAAAAAAAAGAGACGAATCTATTGCTTACCAAAATTGTCTTCAGCGCTACAGTGACATTTCTTTTGTAATTCACGGGCCACGGGACAATGCATGAACGGATCATGCTTGTAACCTACATCATTAAAGAAATGAACCTCCGACTTGTTTAAGAAGATACCAACGGCGATCGAATGCACAGGCGCATCACCCCATCTAAGCAGCGTGTGAACAAAGTATATATATAAATATAGACACTACACTTTTATACCTTTCGTAAAAGAAGCCACCGGAACGATCCAAATAATCAAAGAAGGCTGTATATTCAGGACTTCGCAAGAACTTGAGATCGGCAATTTCAAAATTACTCCAGAAATGACAGAGATTGTAATTTTTACCACCGTCATTCGAGATAAAGTCCAATAAGTTATGTTGAGGGATCATCTCTGGGTTTTCCTTCATAAAGGATGTCACTGTGGACCATAAGGAAGGAATCGTTGACTCAAATTCGATCAAGGATATGGTCCAGCCGTATTTCTTGTTATTTTCCTTCATGTACAGGAACGGATCATAGTCTAAATCACAAGAGAATTCAACACTGGGTTCTACACGCCAATAATACTCATAATCAGCCATCAATGGATGACGGTAAAAGAAGCCACTTTCAAATCTTTTTTTTTTTTATATATGGAGTAAACCGTTTAGTAAAACGCTTACCTTCTCCACTTTATTCACTCACCTGCACATGTGCCTGTACGATAGATTATCTCCATAGATAATACCATCTTCTCCCATCTTTTTACGTAATCGATCCGCCTTTTCCACATCCACCCAATCAGGATAACTCCAATGTTCTTGTGGGATAATACCATAATTCGTCTCGGCGTTTGTTAAACTGGAAGTCAGGTCCTTAAACTCTTGCGTAAATTCAACGTCGTTTAAAAAGACATAGGGATAATTAAATTTATGGTTAAAGCGAGCCTCGAGTTGTTGAATGGTCTTTCGAAGTGCATCGAGTTCATTGTTACGAGTCAAGATGACAAACGCTGCTTTTACACGAGTTGTATTGTGCCAGGCAGGTGGTTGAGAGGGATCTCGAAGATTAGGATGGTGAACGAGCGGTTCATAGGTAGTATTACTGAGGGCTACTTGGTTATTAGGAGCCTTTAAAGGCCAAAAGAAGAAGCATATACAAAAGAAAAGAAACCCTGTGGATATTAATAAAGGTCTTCTTTGATTCGAGTTAATGACAAGCATCTCGAATATTTTTGGGAGTAATAATAATAATAAAAAAAGAAAGGAGAGAGAAAAAAAAAAAGAAAGAAAATTTTATTAAGTGGAACCATTGGCACTGGGATTTTGACTGGGATACTTTACTTTTTCTTTTCCAGAAGGAGGAGCAGGAGGTTGAATGGTATTTAAATCTATAGGCTCTAAAATCAGGGATTAAAAAAGTTAATGAGATAATCTAACAAGTTAAAAAAGAGAATACTTTACTGGCTGGTTTTTGTTCTGATTTGCCTTGAGGTTTGGGTCTAGCCCATACAACTTTTAGTGCATGTCCCTTTAAATTTAATCCAATTTCAGCTACTTTCTCAGCAGCTAATTCTGCTGAGGTTCGAGTCATGAAATTAATAAAGGCACATTTAGTTTTATGAGCAACAATCACAGACTTGATATCACCAAAAACATAAAAGAATCCCCTAATAATGAACAACATAATGAGTATACATCTCCCTCTCCTTTTCTTTTTCTTCTTCTTACTTTAAATCATCCTGTGTAATTTCTGGTTCGATACCTGTCACGAACAAAGTGGTCTAATATCTTTACAGGTCAATACAAAAAAAAAATAACTATAAAACAAAAAGTTTTCTTCCTTTACCACAGATTTATCATTGGGAGCAGCTAAAGACCCACCATGTCCTGCGCGAGATCTGTTCAACATTTTCATTGCAACTGGATCATTGTTTCCATTATAACGGTCCTTGATATTCTGCTTAACAGAGCTATCACTCTCGGTAGGTAAAGCATGTCGATATGGACATCCATCACCACGTGTACACTCTCCCTTCAAAAAGAACGAACATAAATGAGCTCGATTACGTTGATAATAAGGTTCGGTTCTTGCTAATTTTGTCAACATGTCTCGACTTTCAGGTGTTAATTTTCCTGCGTCATATATGCCTGTCCCATCTTCTACCTTATTAGCGAGATTTTGTGCAAAATATTGTCGATTGATGTCGGTGGAAGGTGCTTCTGATTTCAAATTCAAAGCCTTGTCTCTGACCTCAACCGGTAAACCTACAAAGAAGCATTGTTTTTTGTTAATTCAACCATGCCCTCATCCCTCTCTCTCTCTCTCTCTCTTTTTTTTTTTACCGTATTGCAAATCCAATACACACGTTTGACACACATTCTTTACTTTGGCACATGTTTGACAGATTTCGGTCTTTTTGTATCTCATGTTTGTTCCAGGTAACCAACGGAATACCGTGTAAGGTCTTTGACAGATCTGCTCAATGAAAAAGAAAAGATTAGCCACCTTTTTTGTCTCTATAAAAAAAAAGGGGGGGGGGAAGAGAGATTACAAACCTTGCATTCTTTTCCAAAAGGTTGTTTTGTCTAGTTTATATCAGTAAATCGCGTTCTTCTAAAGTGTTTGCATAAAGGATGCTTACCATGCGAACATAAGGATTCTCACCTAAACATGTCTCACAAACAATAGGAAATTCCTAAAAGAAAAAAAAAATGAATACTATATCTATAATGCATACTAAATATAACTTACAGAGTCTTCCCAACCTTGCTTATTGGCATCAGCCTTTGTTAAACTCATGATGAAAAAAAAAAAAAAAAAAAAAAAGATTTAAAGAAAGAGACCAAAAATGACGTCGACCCAGTGTTTACTGTGTCGAATATTGGGTGGGGTCTTAAAATAAGCCACCAAACACGTCGCGTGGTTAAAAAAAAAAGAGGGGCAAGTTTTTTTTTTTTTTTTTTCTTTCTTCCTTTTTGTTGTCCCATAAACCCATTCAATAAAATGAGCAGCTTTAATCAAACACCCTCTGACCTTGTACCTGATACACCGGGACGTTACTACAACCGCCGTACCGATATGCTTTCTTCTCAATTGGACCCTTCTTCACCTGCTTTATATGCACGTACACCGGGTTCACCATCACGCATGCGTAACCGACGTTCTGAATTATCATCCACATTATTAGGTGATGATATTGGCGCCACCTCACCTTTAGCTTACCCTTCGACTCCTTTACGCTCTGGACTCAACACCTTTGATTCACCTACCACACCTCGTCATTCATCCTATGTACGTACATCATTTGTACCTCCCACACCAGGTCGTCCCTCATCCGCCACTCAGAACAATAACGCTATGGACTCACAAATCAGCGACCCTTCCTTATCCGTACGTCTTATTTGGGGTACCACCGTTAACATTCACGAAGCCATGACCAGTTTCCGTAACTTTTTGAATAATTTTACGTTGGCCCATCGTAAACGTCGTCTCAATGAACCTGTGGTGGATGATGATATGAGACCTTTTTACCCACAATTGTTAGCTCATCTCTATGATAAATTGGGTAACAATGTCAACCTCGATTGTCGTAACTTACAAGCTTATCCCGAAACACATAAATTATACGATCAACTTGTGAAATATCCTCAAGAAATCATTCCCTTAATGGATCACACCTTGACCGAATTTTATTTGAGTTTATATCCCAGTCATGACTTTAACGGTCTACAATTAAAGGTAATTTTTGTTAGGATGTTTTTATTATATAGAGAGGGAGGGGTGTCATTACTAACGCTCTGTTTTTTTTTCGTGTGTGTGTGTGTAATTTCAGGTCCGTCCTTTTAACCTGTCAGATGCTGTCAACATGAGAGAATTGGATCCTCAAAGTAAGATGGGACACAATTTTTTGTTGTTATTTAGATGTGCAAGGGAGAGATAAAAAAAAAGAGAGAAAGAGAAACTAACAAGATAAGAGTATAGACGTGGACCAATTGATCACTATTAAGGGTCTTATGATTCGTGCTTCTCCCATCATTCCCGATATGAAGGAAGCCTTTTTCCGTTGTTTGATTTGTGATTACACCGTTACTGTCACAGTGGACCGTGGACGTATTCTTGAACCCACACGATGTGGACGTGAATCATGCGATTCTGAAAATTCCATGACGCTTGTGCATAACCGATGCTTGTTCTCAGATAAACAAGTGGCTCGTATTCAAGAGACGCCCGATGTCGTACCCGATGGTCAAACACCTCAGACGGTCACTATGTGTTTGTACGATGATTTGGTGGATGTGGGTAAACCTGGTGATCGTTTAGAAGTCACGGGTATTTTCCGTGGTGTTCCCGTTCGTGTCAACCCAAAACAACGTACGATTCGTTCCCTTTTCAGAACCTATATGGATGTGGTTCATATCAAACGTACCGATAAAAAACGTATGCAGACAGATTCTTCTTTCCGATCCGAGTTTGGACCTGAACAATATGAGGAAGGGGATAATATTGAGGTTGTCTCGACAACAGATGAACAACAGATTTTGGAATTAGGTCAACGTCATAACCTTTATGAGGTACTGTCACGTTCACTTGCACCCAGTATCTATGAATTGGATGATGTGAAGAAGGGTATCCTTTTGCAATTATTTGGTGGAACTCATAAAACCTTCAAGAAATCAGGTGCACCTCATTTCAGAGGTGATATTAATGTTCTTTTGGTGGGTGATCCAGGTACCAGTAAATCTCAATTACTTCAATATGTACACAAGATTGCTCCTCGTGGTGTCTATACCTCTGGTAAAGGTTCTTCAGCTGTTGGTCTCACTGCCTATATCACCAGAGATCCCGATTCCCGTCAACTTGTATTAGAGAGTGGTGCTCTTGTCCTGTCTGATGGTGGTGTCTGCTGTATTGATGAATTTGATAAAATGTCAGATTCAACACGATCTGTTTTACACGAAGTCATGGAACAACAAACTATTTCTGTAGCTAAAGCCGGTATTATCACCACATTAAATGCCAGAACGTCTATCTGTGCCTCTGCTAATCCTATTGGATCACGTTGGAATAAGAACTTGTCGGTACCTGCCAATTTGGATTTACCTCCACCTCTCCTTTCTAGATTTGATTTATTGTACTTGATTTTGGATCGTGTGGATGAGGACTCTGATCGTCGTCTTGCACGACATTTAGTTGCATTGTATATGGAAGATACACCTTTGACAGGTGGTATGGATATTGTGAGCGTCGAACTCTTGACGAAATATATTAATTATGCTAGAGAGAGAATTCAACCTGTCCTGTCAGAAGAGGCAGGAGCTAAATTAGTGGATTCGTATGTCGAGTTACGTAAACAGGGTCAGGATCGTGGTGGATCTGAGAAACGTGTGACAGCTACGACGCGTCAATTAGAATCCATGATTCGTATGTCTGAAGCACACGCTAAAATGAGATTATCCCCTACGGTTGAATTGTCGGATGTGAATGAAGCCTCTCGTCTTATTCGTGAAGCTATCAAGGAATACGCTACGGATCCCAAGACAGGTCGTATTGATATGGATCTTATCTTGTCTGGTACTGCTTCACATGAACGTAACCTTCAAAATAGTTTAAAGGAAGCTCTTGTCAGCCAATTAGCTTCTTATGCTAATAAACGTGTGGATACGATTAAATTATTCAAGGATGTGAATGATCAAAGCCAAATTGTAAGTAATTTTTTTTTTGTGCAGTGTAAGTCTCTTTCATCTAAACTTCTTTTTTTCATAGCCTGTGGATAATCGAGCCTTTGAAGAGGTTTTGAAATCATTGCAAGATCAAGGTGTGATCAACATGTCGGGTGAAGGTCGTAAACGTGTTATTCGTATCTTGTCTACATCCACTTAATATATATCTATCACACACATATTAAAAACCGTTAACTCATTTTTTTTTTTTTTAAAATTAAATTTGTTTATCTTTTATTGATGTCATTTGTACCACTCTTTCTTCCCCCATAAGAAATTTTTTTTCGATCGTTTTGCGCCAAATCGAAATTTCTCAACTTACACATGTTTTAGATTTTTTGCAAATCGGTGGGATATCCTAAATGGATGTGAAAAAAAAAAAAAGTCAAAAACCAAGCCAATCGCCATTTTATAGCGAAAGAACGGTCCGTGATCTCCTTTTAGTGGATGAGACCTCATCAATCAAAAAGGGTCGTGCTGCCACTCTATTATTTTAAGGGTTGTCGTTTCTATGCATAAACAAGACCCGTATCTATTTTCCTTTTTAAGGATGAAGGGGAGGGAAAGGTTTTATCTGCTTCATTCTCATTCGTACATTATAAAGTAACTAAAAAAAAATCACCCACAACAACAAACAAAAGGAGTAAAAAAAATAGAAGATAAAGAAGCAATGATCAACACGCATATTTGTTATTTTATTATTTTTCGTTGGTATAGTAAAAAACGACTTTTTTTAAAGAAGAAAAGAAAGTAGGAAAAGTAGTGATATGTAGAATGTATATGTACAAAGGGGGGTAGAAGGCGTGTGATTTTAAACAGTAGTGCGTTGGGATGATGAGGGATAATGAATTTAAAGGTAACCATAGGAAGCACGCTTCTTATAAATATTGGCATCTGCAATTGAACCCGGGTACAAGGAAGATGTGGCGCTCATAAAGGAGGAGGAAGACATAATACTAGAGCAACAACGACCCATATCATGTCCATAATCATTAGGACAGGAAGCAGTAGGGATAATTTGAAAGGATGGATCATCATCTGGTAAAGTCTCGTTCTTCCAACGACATTTTCTACATTCATAACGTACTCGCATACTGTTGGGTAATTCAATACGTCGGTTAAACACGATCCAATTCTTTTCACTACGAGTCAGTTGCACTGTATCTTGTCGTTTACATCGTGGGCATGGATGAGTGGCGTTTTCAAGAATTAACTTTTTATCGTTGCCGTTAACTAGTCTATTCGTTAGTTTCATCTTCTTTTTTATATATAGGGGTAGTAATAACTTACATAATACAAAGGATTGTCTCATATTTGTAGTTATAAATTTTTTAATACAAAAAGTAAAGGAAATTGTTTCCAGCCAGCCGTTCTTTATATACTTAAAACTTCGTCGGGCATTAAAATACTAACAAAATGCACCTTGTGATTCGTTTTTTTTTTTTTTTTTTTTCTGGTATCTATACATTGCCTACCAAATGAAACCATGAAATTCCCTCAGGGTCACTATGCATGCCTGGGTGGTTAAAATAAAAACAAAAGAAAAAGAGAATGCAGTCAGGATAGTTTCTTCTATATGTACTCTATTATATATGCTTCAACACTCAACTACTGATAACAGCTCTCTATGTGTGATAAATATTAAAACGGAGCTTGATCCCAGTTGGGGGGTATACACAACCACGTTAGATGTGTCTTTAATTATACAAGCATAGATCGAGCCAATTCCTTGCCATCATATATTACAATACAGATCGAGCAAAATAATAAAAAGAAGTCTAAGCTGAATAAAGAGAGTTTTAATTTTAATCCCCCAATTTCAAAAAAAAAACGTGTCTTTTTTGTTTTAAAATCTTAATTTCAACTGTCATAAAAAATAATATTATTATGAACCCGTTTCATCAAGCCGTGCTCTCCTCCTCCTCCCCCAAAAAAAAAAAACAATAAGCATGTGAAATTTATGTGTTGTATTTGTAAAAAAAATAAAAACGCTTACTACCCCTTTTCCCTATTTCCCCTCTTTTTAAAAAAGATCTTTTTTAAAAGATGGAGATTACAAACAACATTAGTAAAACCTTACGAGACCCGTTAAAGTATGTGGTTGCACCTACTATTTACCTTATTTATAGCTCAGCATTGATACTCTATGGTTATCTAATTCAACCATGGATGGTAAAGAATATATATATCACATACAACAATGAAAAAAGATATTAAAAAAACCTTAATTAGAACCAATGGAACAAATATAAGGACAGTAAACCCGAAAACAGATTATTGTATCGATTACAACACGCTGAATCCTTTCATGAATGGCAAGAAAGAGCTAAAGATTTAGACAGGTAAACATTTATACAGTAATCATGCTCTTTTCTCTCTTAACCCCCTCTTCTATTAGACATCAAAGTAAAGCTAGGTACGCCATGCTTACAAAAGAAAAAAGATCATTAACCCCCATTTATCCAATAGAAAACGATGCATGGATTGAACAACCCGTATCTAGAGTCTACGACTATAAATTAATCGCTTCTCGTCTAGAGCATCTTCGAAAAGCACGCAATGAAGAGGATGTCGATAATATGACTTACCTTTTACGAGGAGGATTATTAAGAAACTTTGGCGGTATTTGTGATCGTAAATTATTCTCTCACTCTTATCTTGGGTAAATATAACATTAAATCCTCATCTTCACTTATTCTTATTCTTTTTTTTTTAAAAACCAGCACTAAAAAGTTGATCGAAGACTACATGGATGAAGTCGTAACACAGATCGAACATATTGAATCTACATCCGATTTCGATGCACAAGCCAAAATCAAATTCTTTAGTGATACTCGACAGAGTTTTGGTTGTTCTGCATTAGTACTTCAAGGTGGTACCGCTCTAGGTATGTATTTCATCAAGTAGTATTCACATCCTCATTACTTTTATCAGCCTTGTATCATATCGGCGTAGTTAAGGCATTAAACGAACAAGGCCTTTTACCTCGTATCATTAGTGGTACTGCTATTGGTGCCATGATTGCTGCCTTGATTTGTATTCATACCGATGAGGAATTACCCGTAAGTTATTATTTTTAAAATACATTTAAGCCGCCTCCCCCCCATCCTCACTCTTAGGGAAATTCTTAGTATATTTTACAGCCGGATGGTATCAATTTAACCGCCTTTTCAAACAAGGGACAAAAAGGGCAAGTAGTTTAAAATCATGGTAGAAAATTATAATAATTTTGAATGTTTAGGCATTTCAAGAGACGTATCACTCGATTTATGAAATACGGTAACTACTTCATTATGTAAAATTCATAAAAAAAACATGAGTTGATTTTTTTGTGTGTGTATCAGGTTATCTTATGGACATGAAGGTGTTACAAGAATGTGTCAGAGCAAACGTAGGCGATTTGACATTCGAGGTATTATTTTATTTTTTCTTTGTAGCAGGATGACATTTAAACTCACTCTTCTTTCTTAAAAAAAGGAAGCTTATGCTAAATCAAAACGTGTATTAAATATCAGTGTCTCATCCAGTCGTACACAAGAAGTACCTCAATTATTAAATTATCTCACAGCTCCCAACGTTGTAAGTTTCTATCTTTTCTTTTACATCTTGTCCCTCATCATCATCTGACCCACCCGTAGCTTATTTGGAGTGCCGCCTGTTGTTCCACAGCCTCTGTAGGTTTATTCGGTAGTTGCGATCTCATGGCCAAGGATAAAAACGGCAAGATTGTAAAATGGATTTCTTCCGCTGTGAAATGGAACCATTGGTCAGAAACCACACCAGCTGAAAGTGATGCCCCCTTGTACAGACTCTCTGAATTGTTTAATGTCAACCATTTTATTGTGTCACAAGCAAGTATTTATGCTATCCCTTTTATTGCCAAAGCACAAAACTTGCAACATGAATCTTTGTTGCATAAGTTTGCTTATATCCTTGCTTCCGAGTTTAAACATCGTTTATATCAGTTGGATCAATTGCATATTTTACCTCATATCTTTCGTGGTGTCATTGAAGAAAAAATGTCGGGTAATGTCAATATCGTGCCTGAAATCGCTTTTTCCGTAAGTTTTTTTTATTATAAAAAAAAGTGCCTTTCTTTTTAACCTTGGTGGGTAGGATTTCAATATCTTGTTTTCAAATCCCTCACACAAATCTTTGGCCTACTGGTAATTAAAAAAAAAGAACACACATAGTACATGCTTGCTAAAAAAATAAGAATAGGATTTTGCATGGTGAAAGATCCGTTTGGCCATTAATGGCATGTATTCGAACACGTTGTATGATTGAACTCGCTCTTGACAGAGGTAAATTTCTCCATTCAATTTTTTTTTTCTCATGACTCTAACCTTTCCTATTTAGCCGTGTTAAGATTAAAAGCCATGAATGTAGAGCGTGAGCCTGTGGTTGTACGTAGTCGATTTATGGTTGAGAATAAGCAGCGTGCCAAATCCATGCATTAGTTTTGCGATCAATCTAAATGATTGATAAATAAATAAAAAATGAGCTCAATTTACACTGTGTGTCTTACATTTTTCTCTACAAAAATTGACTATAATGCTGCCGCCTCTTTGTGGACGACAGAAAATGAAAGGATGTATAGATGCGCTTATTGGAAGATTTCCAAAAACCTTTATTTTCAAGAAAACTTTCTCAAAATCACTAGTTACATATTTAAAGTTAAAATCCAAAATATAAGCAAAACATAAAAGTTATGTTAAATTTTCTATTTATTTTGAGTTGCAGCTATATATAGGCAAGTGTTAATGGATCTTCTATAATCATAAGATTCTTAATTGATATGTCTTGACTGTCAGCACAACATCCTAGCCATCTAACTGATATTTGTAACGTATAATTATAATTAACGCGTTTGATGTCTAGTATAATTGGATTATGGCTGATCTTAGCTCCTTGATCGAAAGAAAATTTAGCCTTTGAGACACCAATACCCTCTTTTAAAATTGCATATTTGCCCGGTAATGGATCAGTAACATGAGGCACTTCAACAAGATCTAAAATAAAAAATAAAATTAGGAATAAGCCAGGTATTACTGCATATTAGATACATACAGGCTAGTGGATCAATCTTTTCCGCAATCGGGAAAGTTATTTTAAATATTGTTGCTAGCCCAGTTTTAGGAATAGGCTCACCTTTTTGAAGAAATACCAAATATTCACCATCTCTTGCAACCGCAACATTACCAACTTTGTTGCTTTTCATACAATTGAACGAGAGATATCGAAATTTTTCACCGAAACGTACCCCATACGTTGCGTTAGATATCACGGTTAAAACTCCTTGAATGAACCTATCGTACATATATGGCCTCGTAAGTGTCACTGGTTTTAATAAATGGCAAAATGATTCTTGAAGAACAAATGCGTTTATATCTTTTTCCTTTAACTCCATAGCAATACTTATTTCTTTTTGAACTATCAAGGTGTATGCGGCGTAAAGTGACGAGCATTTTGAAAGGCTGAATGGATTCCCTAATATAAACAAGGATCCCACTTCATAATGGCCGAAAAATTCAGTGTTAGCCATTGAAGCCGCTATGGTGGTTGTTATGTCTTGTATCACTGGCTTGATACCATTTTCAATGATGTCCCGAAGTAAAAGGGTAATTTTGCAACTGCATTCATTTGAGATTTTAAACTCGTGCTTGGAATCCATGTCAATAGTTGTCTGGTCCATGCTCAACTACAAAGAGTTAATTGTTAAATATATCTAATAGCCTTCATGTTATACTTACAGCATTAATCAAGAGAATTTTAAATTGCTGATAAGCATTCTTGTAAACTCTTAATAGATTCAAATTGTGCAAACCACTCCCTTCAGTCTCGTGCATGGAACAGCAATCAAAAATATTGCTAGATATCAAGGTTTTCCAAATTTTTTTATGTAGGGTGTCATGTACATCCTCCATGTGTATTATTTCATCGTCGACAATAATAGTTGCAGCATTTTCTTCAGAGGTTGCTAGCTTAACGACTTGATGTAATGTGAGTTGAATATGATCTGAGTGTACTTGTGCAACAACAAAGTATGATTTCATCTGGAAGTTAACATCTTTTAGTTTATGTTGAATAGCATGAATAATTTCTTCACCGTAGATGGATACTCGAACTTTTTGGTTTTTGTTATTAGCTTTCAGCATTCCACTTGCTACAAGTAGTTCGTCCAGGGTTTCATCTGAACCAAAAACGTTATCAAATAACTTCTTTTCAACCGAAAAGGCAAATGCTGTATTTTTGTTCCTCCAGTCATTTTCATAACTACTGTTTAACTTTTCCTTTATCAGCCTGTTTAGATGATGAAAGTACATTATCTTAAAAAAGAATACATAACCTGGATGACAGACATTCACCAAACGGTCATCGCCAGCAGAAGGTGTATATTTTTTTGAAAATATCTTTTCTGTGCCAACTTTGCTTAAAATTTGGTCAAGTATATTTGATTCAGAAGAAACAAACTCATTCGTGATTTTTGTTCGTTGATTAGGATCTAGATACAGTTCAAGATATTCTCCAAAATTGTCTTTTATAAATAGCTTCATCCTATACTTTTTGTTAAAAATTAAATGAAAACATAAAAGCTCAACACCTATTAATTGTATTACCATATGGATATGCAAAGTACTTGTCTTCCATATACGTTGGGCCGAATAAAAAATTTACTTAACGGTTGTATATCACTATTAATAGAAATCGAAATCTTTAATATTGTTTCATAGTAGTAGACCATGACGCAAAATTTATACTTACAGTTGATCCTTTTCTGCGAGGTTTTTAGCTTGATTATTCTCTTCCGTTTGGGTAATTAATAGGTTTACAGTTGTAGGCAAAAAATCTGTCATACAATTAGACCATGATTATAAGCAGCTTGTAGCGTTAAAATGCAAGGGATTTAATTGATTCTACATACCTATATTAATGAAATAAATAGGCTTGAATGATTCCACTTTTGTATTCGCTGATACTATTTTTGGATCCCTGTGTTTGTTGGATTCTTTGAATTTTTTTTTACAAGTTCTTCACTTCCACGTTGTAGTAGCCCTTTCCCTGAACAAAGGGTGATTTTTCTTTCAGATTCATTATTGTGTGCCATTATTCTATGAGAAACCTGCTGATCGCCATATTCTTTAAGCCACTTCTCAACCAGTTTTAGTAACACAAATGTGTTACGGCCTTGTTTGAATTTATCCGTAAATACAATAAACAACTCGGATACTTTTGGTCCACTAACGTCTTTAAATAGGGCGCCTATTTGATCCATAAAAAATGTTTTCGCACCATGAAAGAACTCTTCATAAATATCATAAATATCATTCATAGTTAATAATTTGATATTTGATATTTCCGTCTTTGTCAGATTAAACTTTTCATAAGTCAAATATTTCAATCTATTGAAAGGCTGATAGTCAAAGAACTCCTGAACAGTCATTTCTGTGAATGCAACATCCTAAAAAAAAATAACAAAAAAAAAAAAAAAAAAAAAAAAAAAAAAAAGGAGGAAAACATGATTAACGACGTAAAGAAACCAAACTGAATCATTTACCCCATATGAATTGTTAGATAATTTGCGAGGGGGATGTGTTCTTTGAGTGTAATCGAAAGATTGAATATTTTTGATTTCAAGAGTCATCATTTTAATGAATTTTGGCGCCAATTTAGTGCTACACCGCGTTTCAAGTATTCGTTTCATCCACGCTTTACTATCCGTTAATTTGAAAGGCAATCTGAAATTAACTGACTTCAATGACTGTGGAACGTAGTTGCTGTCGATTGCTGTTAGTAAAGGGTATTGCACTGAAAATAGTTCCAAGTCCACACAGACTCCATTATCGAAATCTAACGAACATATCGCATATTGCCTGCCAATTATTATTTTTAAATCTTCAGAATTGCAATGATAGAACCATTTGATTGACTCATATAAGACTTCTAATTTTGAGAAAACAAGAAGTCTATCATTATGATCTTTTTCATCAATGAAACCAGCTAGGATAAGAATAGGATGAAGCAATTTCTTTTGTATATTATTATCCCAATTTGTCGACAATGTGAAAGCATATCGGAAATCCTGTTTCGAACTTTCTAATGTCTTTTCCCAATCATCCACTTCATCTTGTAAACATTTTACCACTGCATAAATTATAATTATGTCATGCCTACGACTGTTGTATAGTCCATGTTGCTCCCTTAGATAGACACCATGTAGTTCGGTAAAAACGTTAGGCACATAGCAGATATTTTTCTGATATCTTTTGGACTTTGATGCGGTTGTTGCCGATAATCCTCTAGCAATAACAGAACCATTATTGGTATTATAGATTATCGAAGGTGTATCAACAGATTTTCTATTATTGTATTCATTGTAAGAAATGGACTTCATATTATAGTGCGGTATAATATGTTTACTTAAACTTAAAGGGATGGTTTTGGTTGTCGTTAGAAACATGCATGGACCTTAGCTCTTTAGTAGTGAATTCTAGTTTATGTTAAAACTACTGGTATAACATATATTGTGCTCACAAACCAAATAATATACAGTATCGATGACGAAAAAAATCGTAATAGTCTTTCATTTCCATCCGCGTTATAATAAATAAAAAGAAGAAAAAAAAAAGCGAAACTTAGTAGAATTAATCCAAATACAATGTAAGACAGCTTTTGTGCACACAAGAAAAATCGGATGTTATCCGAAGTGGTTACAAAACTAGCACGGTTACAGTTCACCATCTGTATTTTTAAGATTGAAAAACCATTTTACGTTGATTTGTTTTTAGTTAACATTTTGTTTTATTAGAGTTTTTAAACTGAGGAACTTAAAATAATTATTGTGCATTGCTTTTGTTTTCATATTCTTGTTTCCAAGTCTAAGGACTCTCCCTGATGTCATTGGTCCGCCACAATCAGAAATCAGGGCCGTAACTGAAACTTTTGGCCAACTTTTTTAAGGGTATAAAATATGAATCTTCGGGGGATGAGGAATAGCAGCGTGATTAAAATAATGTTTAATCAACAAAAAAATTTGCAGCGTCCCAAATTTGGGATGCTTCTAAAAGAGCGTCATTTTCCCCCGTCTTTCTATATTGTTAGACAATTGGGGTGGGATACACATAATAGTTTTCACTCTGTTGACACATCAAAATTTCTTAAAGTACAATGTATGATTTTACAATACAGCTTCTGGACTTTAAAATCCATATACTTTTAGTTTGTTACTCTCACTCACCGATCATTTGTCGCTTTTCTCAATCAAATAAATTTTTAGTTCAATTATTATTTTATTATAATGGCAATCTACAACATTTCTGATTCCGGCAGCGATGGGATTAGAAACTTTTGTTCTGATGACTTTTCTAGTCCGGATGATATGTTTCTTCCAGACGATTTTCGTCTCGATGACTCTGACGGCGAGGAAGACTGGACTCCAAGATTCATAAAAAGACCTCGCCTGGATCAGGGCAACGATCAAACCCAAGGTAACAGCCAAATTCAAGGCAACGATCAAATTCAAGGCAAAGATCAACTGCATCTGTTTTCTGAGGAAGTTGATGCCTCCCGCTTTAAAGATTACGATACCAATGACGATGGTTATATACCCGAAGATCACGATCAGGATCACGAAGACACTGTCGATACTCCCGCCCAACCTCCATCACCTTCTTTAATTCTTGAGAATGAAAGGAACCTTGAAGAAAAAAAGAACAAAGCTTGCGAAAAGCGCCAGAAAAAGTTAGGGCAGTTGGCTGATGATTGGAACACCAAACTCGAAAGTGTTGAGGCTGCCTTTTTCGAGTCAATGCAGGGAGGATTTCCCAAAGCTGAAGCAGTTGAGGTTGAGGCACCTGCTGTTTTGTGTGAAGACCATGAAGTTAAATTTCAGGAAGTGAAATTATACTTCTTTCACCGTAAGTTTTTTTTTGACTGATTTGAAAGTGTACTTTTACTAAGAAACATTTTGATGTAGGCCATCTCAAGGTGAAATTTCAAGAGTGCGATTGCAAGCCTCTTTGGAAAACTTTAATACTCTTGCAATTCATGCCTAGCAGCATTAGACAACCATTGTGTGCTGTACACTTTGGCTTCTTGCAAGCCATTCACGACCGTAAGGTATTCGCTCAGGACTCAATCATGTCCTGGGTCAAGTGGATGAACTTTCAGAATTCTAAAAGAGCTGCTAGTGGATCTGGCGAGGAGGTAAGACTAATTTATGAAATGTATTTCTATTTTATTTTATTACTTACATACATGTTTTAACAGTTGCAGCCACTTGAACAAGTTGTGTTAAATGAGTGTTATCTCATTTACTGTACACTATTGCTGTCTATTGAAAGCACTTGAAGAGGAATTTTCGCAGCCTTTGGATGGGATTAAGTCGGCGCCTTCCTGCATTGTTTGCCCTGTAATACTTTTATAAAATGCAATATATATTAATCCTACTCTGACTGATCTTACGTTGTGTTGGAACTTTTCGAGCTTGCACCGATCTTACGCCAGTTCGAACAAAGCTCGAACCGGGTTTTTGTGCTCGAGCATACGCCACTTTTTTTTTAGATTCGAGCGAACTTCGATCGATACTCGCTCGAAGTTCGCTCGGTTATAAAATGAATAGTAGTCACTTTAAATACAAGGCTGCAGAAAGACGGGTAATGGCATTTTCATTTAACAATACTTCTAACTTCATTATTCTTTTTGCTCTTTTGTTTGTGATTTCAATGGTTCGGATTTAAAATCGAATGTAGATTAACAGACGTATCTAAAAAATCCAGTATTCTCAATTAAATGATACAAAAATTTAAGCTAAACCTGATTAAGCCGAACGTTTGTACTGGTTGTACCTAGTAGAAACTATTAAGCAGCTTTCTTGGTTATGTAAGATCCTACTCATTTACACTATACTCTATGTATTCTAGTGTACGCCGTCTAGTCCTTATTTAATTATATACAGTGTACTACTTCTCAATTTTATTCTTGTTAATTTGTATTTTACATTAAATCATATTTCAATAAATAAAATTTTATAATCATAACTTTTTGTATCTGACAATACTTTCACGTGTAGTTTGTGTATCATACTCTCGAGCGAGTTTGAGCATTCGTTTACGCAACCGAGTCGAGCCTACAAACTCGAGCGACTTCAATCTTCAAAAAAAAAAAGCATTCGAGCGAGCTTCGATCTTCATTCCGAACACTAATATACAGTGATTACATACCAAATCTTAAACAGGATCGATGACGAGAAAAGCCTTAGTAGTCTTTCATTTTTTGATCTGAAGGAAGAGAAAACAACGCAAGACTCAGTCAACTCATAAGAATAAGAAGGTACTTTACTGAAGGTTACATATATACCCCACTTGTTTATTTTTTTTTTAAAAAAAACATGATACAAATCAAGAACAGGCTCCAGCACGTTTTTTCCAATAGGCGATACGATGAATGATTTTGAGGTAGTTTTCTTCTGGTACAAGATCCTCTTGAGAGATTTTTTCACCTCGTAAACCGTATTCACGTACTAAATAATCCCAGGTTTGGCCCGAGATTATCATGACTAAATCATTGGAATTCAAATAAAAAGGATTTGTGCCTACTCGATTCAAGCTCATAATAGAAGTCAATAACCCATGTTGATCAATAACCCTCTCAGGTCGATGCGTTTGCCATCCTTCCACAAACATTTCCCATTCAGCCATCCAAGTGGATGATATAAAACAAAAATCACTCTTCATGATGTATTGCGGTGTATCTTGCCATCGCTGTCTTCTCTCTCGCTGTCGAATACGTCGCATCTCATTCATATTTTGATCACCGTCAGTCCATTGCAAGGATAATTTTTCTGCCACGTATTGTTCGGCAGGATTACTCTCCATACCTCCAATCTACAGTATCAACAATTAAGCTTTTTTTCCTCATTCTTTTTTTTTATGTAGATGATGTTACCCAGTCGACACATATTTGGCAAAATAGCTCCGATGTATTCATTTTGTAAAAGACACAATGTGCATTATTAAGTCTTGTATGCTGCCTAGTATGTCTATCACACACTTTTTTTTTTGTCTGCATAAGATGATTCTTATCCTTTGAAGTTTAAAAGATGACCTTACTTGTTTGCTGGTCTTCGATACAAATAAACAGATTTTCAGAGCCAATGGTTGTACAATGTTGACATTGTTGGGTCTCCATGACAGCAAGTCTATTAGGGTAAGTCATGTCACTGATATGGTTACAGGGCAATCGTTTGATAAACGAGGTGGTAGATTGACAACAGGCTAAAAAAAGGTCCTTGTAGGTTTGATTCGGATGATTGTATCGAATTCCAAATTCGGCACGACAATAAGACTTCCAAAGAGAATCCACGTATTGTAATCCATAAAAAGTTTTGTTACACTGAGAGAAATGATATAAATCTTTCCACGACAAGTATTGAGCAATGCATGTTTTTAACTCAAAAGATAAAGTAGATAATGTAGTTGACATGAAAGAGAAAGGAATGTGTATATTTTTTTTTTTTTGTTCTTATCGGGCATATATAATGGGTTTTTATTTTTAAAATAATAAGAATAAAAAAAAAAAAAAAAAGTTGTCTTGCAAAAAAAATTAAAAAAAATAAAATTCACTATTGTCTCCAACCAGCGTTTAATTGCATTAATGTTAATACAGCATCCATAGGGAATTCAGCGTTATTTTGTTGCTGCTGTTGTTGGTCCCCACCACCTCCACCACCTTCTGTTTCCGAGTTTGATATATTTTTATCTACATCCATCTCTTCATCTTTCACAGTCGCTGACGTGGAAGCCACTGCAGCAGCATTAGCGGCCTGTAGTGTCGATGTCAGCAAAGCAGCTAATTTTTCTTCAGGTCTGGCATCATCACTCAACATATTTGCGTTTGCAAACTGTTGTTGCTGTTGTTCTGTCGTCAAGTTAAACTCACCCGTGCCTTCGCCATCCGTGGTTTGTTGTTGGGGTTGGTATTGTTGCAATTGCTGCAAGATTTCTAATAATTGGAACGGAAATGGCACCTTATTATCTTTCACATCGCCATCGGCTCCAGATGTTGATGCACCCCCATCTTCTTCATGTGTCTGTTCTTGTTGCTGTTGCTGCTGTGTGTTCTCATTTGTGTTATCGGTCGTGTTTGTCGACATACCATGAGCGCTTCCGATTAAACTACGTGCAGCAGCTGGAATACCGAGATTATTACATAATAAAGTTAAATAGTTTGCATCTGTTAAACCTCCCAAAGGTTGCGTAGGTGTAACTTGATGGGATAACATGTCCATGTTGGTGTTTGTATTTGTGTTTGACGCATTGTTGTTATTTGACGCACTGCCATTGGTATTAGCGTTGCCATTAGTGATCCCGTTAGCGTTAGCGTTAGCATTAGCGGCAGCAGCAGCAGCGGCAGCAGCAGCAGCAACCAAGTTGGCATGATGACCGCCCAAAGAATCATCCACCAACCCTTTTCTTCGCTCTTTATCCTTTCGCTTTTGTTGACGCTTTAAAAATTCATCATCGATCCATTTCTTTTTATGCTCGCTGTCTTCTTTCCCAAACAATTTATGTGCCCTCTTATTAACACGACAACGAAGATCATTATCCTTGTCTATAGAACGTCTATTTAACACACCTTTCTTCCTCTCTCCTCTCAAAAAAAAAGCTAAACTTACTTCGTTCTTCGTTTTGTTGTCTCCAACGTTTCTTACGCTCTCGGTTATCAGCTCTCACCTAGACAATACAGACAAAAAAAAAATTTTTTTGTCTTCTGTAAACAACTTCCCCTTTCATTTTTTTTTTCGCGTTTTTTTTTAATATGAATAATATACCTTTTGGTTCATTAGTTCACGTTTAAGAATCTCTGTGGGTAGGGGATGACCCACCTGTTGTTGTTGGTTTAAGAGTTCCTCATTAGGTGTAGAAGACGACGTATTATTGTTTGTTGTGTTGTTATTATTATTGTTGTTGACGTTGGCAGCAGCGGCCATGACGGACGCAGCCAAGGCAGCGTTAGAGTCAAAGTTGGCGAACAAGTGAAAGTTCGAACTGTTGGATAAGGCAGCAGCAGCAGCAGAAGCTAACGCCTGTGTTTGAGCAGCACTCATTTGTTGTAATTGACTAATGGCTTCCAAGTCTTGTAAATGTTGTCTTTCTTGTTCGGTGGTCTCAATAGAAGGCGTAGGTTCAATGGGTGTAACAGCAAGAGGAGATGAAGGTACACTGGTATCGGTTGTGCCCATCGTATTATTATTATTATTGTTGTTATTATTGTTCTCTACTTCAGTAGTCAAGTTATTGTGACTAGTGTCTATATCCATGCCTTGCACTTCGTTATCGGCTACTTCTGGCTTGACAATGGGTAAAGAAAGTGTAGCTTCATCACTACTTTCTTTGCTTACGGATGCTGCTTGTTGTTGATCCATTATTTCATGAGATTAAAAAAGAGAGAAGAAGAGGAAAAAAAAAAAAAAAAAAATAGACGGCAAGGGAAAAAAAAAATATCTCCCACTAAGATTTTTTATTTTTTCTGAAAGAAAAAAAAAGAACACTTTTTTTTATTTATTTGTCTAAATAATTCAAATCAGGATTACCTAACGTTACTTGGGGGAGGGGGTTTATGTGGTATATATGATTTGTATATACTATGTATGGAGTGTGTGTTGCGGCGGGGGGATTGATGGGCGCGGTAAAATATTCTCCCGCACTTCAAGCCACCCCACTCTGTCCACATCAGCACTCCTCTTTTGTTGTACAGATGGGCTTTTTTTTTTTTTTTTTTTTTAATTATTAGATTACTAATTCTTCCTCGTGTGAAAAAAACCTCACTCAAAGAAAAAACAACCCTCTTTTCAAATTGAAAGGATGCATCAATTTTTATCCCCTCTATCACCTTTCCCCCATCATCATAAATTAAAACAAAAAAATAAAGATTACTTTATATACATTTTAAAACGTGACTACTTTTCGTTTTTTTCTTGAGACAATACGGAACCACTGAACATTCATAATATCAGCGACGGAAGAAAGGAAAGTAATGGGTCATATCAGAGTGTATTTTTACACGGACATAAATCTCTACGATACGGACTACGCAATTCACAAGAGATCTCTTTTCCTAGTGTTTAGATATACTAATGTTTACAGGGCAATTATTTCCGGAACCCTCTAATGTTTATCAGGCTGCCGTAGATCTACACAAATAGGAAACCTCAAGCAGTAACTAATCAGTGCACACTAACATCCCCAGGAATATAATAGTTTTTAAATATATATATATATTAGGGCCCCGCCCAGCACGGGAAATTCGGATTATGCGCTTTGAAAGCTCACTGCTAAATGACAACAATAAGGGCAACATGTCATACTCCTTATTGCCCTATGCAATATCGCTGCACTCTCAATAAGCGGGCATCACCCGTGACATTCATACTTTATGGATTTTACAGTGTAGAAAATAAAACTCCACCTTTTAACATTCATGCATTTGCAGTACTGAGCAAAAAGAAGGATCCTTTTTTATATGATGAAATAATCAATATACTTAAGTTACCATTGTGTTATATGCACCATCTTTTTGCAACTCGAGAGATAAATGGGACCACTGGATCAATAAAGAGGATAAATGATGTGCACCTAAAAGCTGTTTTGTCTTTTCTTATACGGTCCTTTTATATCCAATAGTAGTTGCAAGTTCCTTTGTATTGTGCTCAAATCAGGCCATGAAGAATGGCTTTTATTATTATTTTTTCGAAAATTGGAATTCTATAATAATGGAATAGAACATCATTCAAAAAAGGCCATATTCCCAAGTTGGGCATGTATACATTGGGCGCGCATAGTAGATTGAACAAGCAATTCCTAAATTTCAAACACAGTTGGGCCCCCAAATTTAATGAACCCTTTTTTTTATTCTTGTTGCAACATCTTTCTTTCTTTCATACATTCTCAAACATGGCGTTTGAATTCCTAGCTACGGGTCAATACAAAATCATCTTGGGAAAGTCATTTGACGCAAAACCCAAGAAAAAAGCTCCCAAGTACTTTAATGTTAAAAGTAAATCAAGAGGGAAAAAAGAAAAAGTACACCATTACTTGAGGATTAACATTTAATAAAAAAAATAGATAAAGCAAGCTCAGATTCACATGCCTATGGTAGTGAAGCCAAATTAGAAAAAAAGAAGGATAAATACCAAGTTGAAATGAAACATACAAGCGTAAGCTTTCTTTCTCTTTTTTATATATAAATACTTCTTTTAACATTTAAACTGTAAAGGGTCCTAATATAGCCTACGAAGCCGAAGTATCGACAGAAGAAGAATACAATTGCATACTTATTTACAATGAAGAGAAAAAGGTTTCTTTACATATTTCTGATAGACCCCCGAAAAGATAGATATTAATTATTTTCATTATAGACGATCACACTAGAGCGCCAAAGTGCGCAGATCAAACTCACACGTAAAATACATACACCACCACCAGTACCACCGCCAGTGTCAGAACCACCACAAACCAATCATAGTGCAATGACCAATTCTCCCTTACCAGGTAATCAATATACAACCATCCATACACCGCCTATTGTTCCCAAGGAGCAGAAAGTGGTCAGAACACCCCCACCCCCACCCCCACAAACACATACACAAACACATACACAAACAGTGGTAGCAACACCCACTGTTGTGACGCCCACTGTTGTCAAGCCCACTGTAGTAACACCTCCCGTGGTAACTACACCGGTGGTAGTTACACCCACAGTACAAGATAATTCATCACCCGCCATGATGATGGAAGACGATGAGTTTGACTTATCAAAGGATATGGATGAGATTTTGGATAGTGATGGAGAGGACTCGGACTCTGAAGATCAATTTGAAGAGATTGCTGCTCCTACAGCAGCCAGTGTCACACCATCCATGCCATTGACACCTTCACTTCATCCTGCGTCACCTAGTATACCTCTCAACTTAGCATTACCAAGTACACCCACTGCAACCCTCGTCCATACAACCACATCCTCTCCTACACCTCTTCATGCTCCTTCTCCTACCAACGTTAAAAAACGTAAGCTTGCATCCGCACCCATCCGCCACCCGGGCATCATCTCTCCCGTCATGCCCATAACAAAGCCAACACACATGATGGTTGGTAACAAGAAACAAAAGACCGAATCTTCTTCAGAGGAAGAAGATTCTTCCAGTGGATCCGAGTCGGGTAGTACAGACGATTCTTCCAGTGGAGAAAGTGAGAGCGAAAGTGGTTCCAGTAGTGATGATGACGATTTTGAGTCTTTGGCTCAAGATATCTCCATGAGTCTGGATAAAGGTGGTCCCTCGGCTCCACCATCGCCTCAGCATCATCATAGCATGACTGGTGGTACACCGGGACATACTCCCACTCCATCTACAAGACAGCCTTCTTCTCAAGGTGCTCCTGCTCCCATGTCTCTGCGTGCTTTATTCAGTAAGTCTTATTTGTTATAACACATTATATCTTAGTTTAACACTTCTTTACCATTGTAGAAGAAGATGATGAAGAGGAGGGATTATCTAGTTCGAGTAGCGAAGACGAGTAAAAAGAGAACTTTATAATAATTTTTTTTTTCTAAGCAGGAATATCATTCCATGCAATAAAGAGCATTAAACCCAAACCAACAAACATGGCAAAGAATTCTGTAAAAGCTTGTTTTCTATCCTTCTTTTGGTTTCCTGTCACTACTAACAATTCGGGAATCACACCCACAGTAGCAATATACATGAACCCACCAGCAGCAAAAGGAATCACAAGATCTCCCCAGCGGAGATCTGTACCCATTAATCCTACCGTATCCACTACACCAGCCTTCTCATCCGCTGCCTTGTTCGACAACGAAGATTCCTCAATCAAAATACCAATAAATGTACCCAAGAACGCGCCAATGGCAGTCGTGAATTGAGCCATCATGGCCTTTTGCTTACTGAATCCGGATTGGATAAGAATCGCATAATCACCTACTTCATGAGGGATCTCGTGGAAGAAAACAGCAACGGCAGTGGTAGCACCTACAGCGGGGGAAGCATAAAAGGAAGCAGCCATAGCAAGACCATCTGTCATGTTGTGAGTGAAATCTGCTAAAAGATTTAAATAAGCACTCAGTTTAACTCCATTTTCGGATTTGCCCTTTTTATCTGCAACAGGGTCATCGTGTTTCTTATGATCATGACTGTGAGCACCATCGCCACCGTTTACGACACGCATCATTTTGTCCATGAAAAAGAAAAAGAAGAGTCCTACAAAGATACCAAGACCAATCAAGACATTCTTTTGGTTATTCACAACCACCACTGCATTTTCTTCCGCGTGTTCGCCCAAGAACGCATGAGGAAGCAAGTGAAGGAAGACGTCACCGAGAAGTCCACCTGAAAATAATGTTTCAATATAGGGTTGCTATGATAATTTTTTTTTTAAGAGCTGCTTTTCTTACCAACTGCAAAACTGACAAGCACGTTCAAGGAACCCGTGTTAATATCAGGAGGAACAAAGTAAAGAAGTAAGTTAGGAAAGATGGAGATATACGCTGTCGCCAAAATAGAATTTGTCATTGCACTTCCTGGGAACAGGAACGCAAATGCTGTTGCCTGAAACGACATGATGAACTTTTTTGTTATTGCGTGAATGAAAAAAAAGAAACAACTAAAAATAAAAAAAGAACGAGGTTTTCAAGCAATTTTAGTTCGGGTGCATCAAGCCCGTTCGACAGACATCGGTGATTTAAAAAAAAAAGTTTAAATAATTCTGTTAAAGGAGGTTTTTTTTCATTTCTTTGTCTCTCATTATTTTCAACAATTTAGAAATGGCACAACAATACAAGAGCAAGATTGAAGGTATAATATAGTTTGCTATACATCACAAACAACAACAATAAAATCCTTCGCGCATGAGTGAAAAATTCCACGCACAAAAGTCTAAATTATGCAAACCTTAATAGACATTTTAAAAAAGTCTGATCTTTCTTGCATCACGACAAAGAGTGTTCGTCGTGAACTAGAGTCTCAAGCCGGTGTTTCATTAACTCCCATCAAGAAGGAAGTCAATAAGCTTATTGAAGAAACTTTTTTGGACTTTCAAGAAGCACAGACCGTAAAAGACGAACCCGTCGCCATTAAACAAACAGCTAAACAAAAAGCTGACATGGTTGTGGCCAAAAAAGTCATTCCAAAGGCACCAGGTAACAAGGTCACAAAAAAGGTCTCCTCCACCACCACCACCGTAACTAAAACCACCAAGAAAAAGCCCGTGCTCACCGAAGAAGAAAAGAAACAGAAAGCTCTGAACCAGACTGTCTACAAGATTATTCCTCCTCTCAGTGACATTATCGGCACAGAAGTGGTAAAGCATCCACCATCTTTTTTTCTTGTGCCTGTACTAATTTATCAATTTATCTTTATAGTGCTCCCGTTTTCGTACCGTCAAAAAGATTTGGTCATACATTCGTAAACACAATTTACAAGTACCCACAGACAAGCGAAAGATTAATTGTGATGAGAACCTAAAGAAATTAACAGGCTTGGATCAAGTCACGGGTTTCAGTATCAACAAGTATACCCAGAAATGCTTCGTGCCTATTCCCAAGGAAGATCAACCAAAATACAAGCAGATCTTTAAGGAACAAGAAGAGGCCTTAGACGAGGATTCTTCATAAAATCTATCACCTACTAGAAAACACCTGGATATAGATGTGTCTATGTACACACTTTTCTATTTTTTGCTATCTAATATTAAAGATAATATCGCTGCTCTTTTTTTTTACGTTCTTCTTCTTGCACACTTTCATTGTATTGTTTTTAAAGGGGTTATGAATACATAGGTCATGCTAATAGAGTTATTTTTTGGGGGAAAAAATTAACCGGTGGATCTAACCAACATTTTCCCAAAAGTGATTGATTAATTAAAAAGTAAGTAGATCACCACAAACAATCCTTATTTATTACACAAGGCAGCCATGCTCTACAAGTTTCTTATTTATCTGTCAGTGTATTCAGCATTACGTAATCATACCTCCGTATTGCTGATAGACAAAGCGTTACCAAGGCGACAAAAAAAGGGTAAAGTATACACGCTTATTAATATTGGCTAATTGATAAAACTATTCATTGTTGTTAATGACCCCCCCCCCCCTCCAAATAATTTTAAAGCCTTAAAAACTTTCTTTAACTAAGTTGGTGGCATAGCCCCGTTATAAAAAGGAGACCTTGAAAGGGAAAGTAATTTTTAGTCTCCGTTTTGTCCACAACGAATGATCTTTTTAAAGTGTGGGGGGCAAGAAAAATGCAAAAATGTACTAAAATTTTAAAAGTGCCAAAAAAAAAAAAAAGTATATAAACTCCCTAGTAACCTTATTTTTTTTTTTTCGTTGTTCTTTTCTCCCCTTAATCATGACTTTACCTACTTTTGACCAATTACCTATCAGCCCTGAATATCCTCCTCAAACTGCCTGGGGTGTGTGGGGTAAAGAAGATAACCTCGGTACACTTAATCTTTTGACAGAAGAACGAGTTGCAAATGTAAAATAAAAAAATGGCATATTTTAGGGGGTGTGCACATGTCAAAACATAAAAACTTACACATTTATCTATAGGCTGCTAAATATATCAAACGAGGCGCTGTCTTCTCCCTCAACTGGAACTTAGAATCCCCTAGTCCTGCTCTTTTCGGTAGAACTCATATTGATCATGCTTACAAAGCCATTGCTCCCAATGATTTAGGGTTTGATGATTGTTACAGCAACTTTAATACTCAGTCCTCCACTCAATGGGATGGCCTCCGTCATATCGCTCACCTCAGTTCCGGCCTATTTTATAACGGTGTCAAGTCCTCTGAAATCGTCAAGGGAAATGATGAAACCAATGGTCGTCTAGGCATTCATCATATGGCTCGTAAAGGTATCGCTGGTCGTGCTGTCCTGCTGGATTACGCTCGTTGGGCTCGTGTACATAAACCAGACTATGACCCATTTGTCAGATACGAAATCACCGTACAGGATCTGGATGAAATCGCAAAGGCTCAAGGCGTGGTCTTTGAGCAAGGGGATATTTTGCTTGTTCATACCGGTTGGTTAGAGACTTATGAACGTCATGGAGATAAAGTCAAGGAATTAATCACCGATCTTGAAAACCCAGATTGTGCGGGCATCAAGGCGTGTGAAGATACCTTTCGCTGGGTTTGGGATCATCATTTTGCAGCCGTAGGATCTGATAACTTTGCCTTTGAAGCTTTTCCACCTAAGGATTGGAACAAATCATGCCGTAAGTATATTAGCTGTAAAGAAAGAGAAAAATTGTATACATGTAACTAAAGAATATTATATATTTACTTAAAAAAAGACTCTACTTTCTTGGGCGGGTTCGGTCTTCCTATCGGCGAAATGTTTCAATTGGGCGCGTTGGCAGAGGATTCGGCAAAAGATGGCGTCTACACTTATTTCTTTACAAGTGCTCCCTTGAATAAACAAGACGGTATTGCAACACCTCCTAATGCGTTGTGTATCAAATAAAATAAATAAATCAAGCTGCGCTTCATTATACAGTCTAAACAAAACTTTAAAAATTAAGTGGAGAAAAAGATGACATTTGTTAATACCTGGTCGAGTCATTTTTGTGTTACAGTGAGAAAGCCAAAACAACAGTGAAGGGGCCAAACTTTTCAGTGAGGGAGCCAAAACAACAGTGAAGGAGCCGAAATAACAGCGAGGGAGCCGAAAAAACTATACAGTCAAACCTATAGAGTTTGGCGTTTTCTAAAAAAAATGATTCAATGAACGGATCTCAGCCAATTTTCCTTAGGAATAACCACGGTGCGCGTAGTCGTAATGTAGGATATTTTACAAACACATTAATATGCATAACGTATGTCCTAAACTAAATGCACATCTATCGCAACACGCATATGGTAAACCTGTCTGCATGTCCTATAACTTACTTCCAGCGTCTCGTTTAAAGTATTGCGCTTTATAATTAGTGTAAGGTTTGGTGAAGCTACAATTTAACAAGGTTATTGTACTTAGCCTCTATGGCTAGTAAGTTTTGTTTAAAATGCGATTGACGTTTATAAACTTTACGGCGCCATCGCTTTCCAGATAAATAGTATATTATCTAAAAAGAAAGAAGAACGAATAGCTTAATGCGCTATCATACGTCTAGGATCCAATGCGGCATTCTACATTACCGGAGTAGCTACAAAGGGTATATACACGTTTAAGGAAATTGCACACCTCCTCTTTCCCAATCGTTAGAAGACTTGCCTTCATTCTTTACTCTGATTAATGTCCAAACATTACTCATGGTCACTCATATTTTTTGGGATACTTGTAAAAAATTCCAACCTCCCTATTTTATCTATCCAAGCGATGAAAAAACCCAAATGCGTTTGGACACTATTATTGATTCAAGCCAAGATAGTATCCGGCAATGTGTATTACAGTTTGGAAATTAACCAGCCATACACTTATTATTTGAACTTTTTACCATTCTTTATATTGCTACCTCCCCTTTTTCTCCTGCTTGTACTTTTTAATTTCAGAATCCTTTATCTTTTTGATTGCTTTTGGTCCTTCTTATTAAAAAACCTCAAAGTTGTTTATTAAAGTGTTTAGTTTCTTCACTATAAGCTACAGTGCTCACGATACCAATTTGCGAGTTTATAATTGTTTTTGCGGGTTTACATATTCCTAATTTGCGGCTTTTAATTGGTTAGTTTGCAGATTTTTAATTGGTCATTTTGCGTCTTTTTTTTTCTCAGTTTGCGGGTTTGACGCCTGGCGAAAAAATAGGCCCTATCGGTGACGCCCGGTGAAAAAATAGACTCTATCGGTGACGCTATCGGTGACACCCGGCGACAAAAGAGACTCTATCGGTGACGCTACCGGTGACGGTGCGTCTTTTTCTTTCTTTCGCAAAAGAAAAATGTCTTCACAACAAGGTAATCTAGCGAATTAGCTTTGGTTGTACACAAAACAAGAGTACTTAACAAACTTATTCAATTATAGATGGAAATGCTGACACTGATATTTTACCTTTGAAGTGGAAACCTGGAACAGATCATGTGAGCAAACTCCTGCTCAATGACCCAAACGTTATGAATCTGATTGTTCGCTCTTTAGTTGGTAATGTATTTTGCTGTTTGTATAAAGATACTTTGCTTATCTTACACATTATATCTCTTCATAGGTGAAATTGCTCCAGAAAATAGCTACACTGTAGCGCCAACGGAATGGGCCGATAATAGTAGATCGGACGTGTTATACACACCACGAGCTGAAGTAACGAAAACAATGCCTCCCATCTTAATTGTCACGCAGTACCTAGTCGATCAAGAGTTCATGTTAAGACTCATCCGTTATGCATCTTCTACGTATGATCGTTACAGAGTGCTTCCTCTTATTCTCGTTATAGTTACTAAAGGGTTTTCAAGTACTACATTCAGAAGAGAGTTCACCGTCAGTAGTAATGGGTTCCTGCTAGAAGCAAGCTGTTTATTCTGGGCGAAGCAATGTCTGCTGTTGTCTGCAGAATCAATCAATGGTCATCTTAATCAAGCAACCCTGGATCCTATGGTTGCACTAGGGTACCTTTTTACTAACCACCCATCCTGCCAAATGCCACCTCAACACCAAGCTAATTCAACTCTGATGATGTTATACTCCGTTGCAAGAGAAATTCTATCGAAAGAAGAAAGTACAAAGAGTGAAAAAGCGAATCTAATTTACCGATTAGAAAAAGCCAAAAGAGACTTTGAAACAATCCTGGATTCAGATGACAGCCAAGGCAGCAACAAAAACAAAGTTAGACAAAGCGCAGAAGATGGAATCATGCTAATTGAAAAGATGCAGAAAGATCTGGAAGGCGGTGGTGACTCAATTGAAGAAGACAATAATACCATAGCAAAATATACCCTTGAAGATGCCCAGTTTCTTGAAAGTTTAACCGTGCCTGGAGAAAACAAGAATTGGAAAGATATTTTTAATAAGGGGAAAGCAAAAGGTCATTTTAAGTCTTATAAGTCATCTCATAGTTTAAAGTCATCCTATTATCATATTCAACGACGAAAGAAACAGAAGACTGGTTAAAAAAAAAAAAAATAAGCCTTTATTGGTTAAATAAAATTATACATATTTTTTTTTATTGTAATCTGTCTTTGCCTATTGTAACTTCACAGGCCAAACAAATAGTTCGAGTCTCAAAATCGTATGAAAAACAAAGCGTTTTGTCTGGATCAGACATAAATTGGCATAGTTTAATAAATGCAGGTACGGATACATTAGTTGCATCTGTTGTGTTAACTGAATCAGGAAAAAACAAAAAACACTTCTGTGCCCAGAAGCTACATTTTAATTGCCTCAAAAATGAGTCGCCATCGGCACTAAACACTTCGCGAACCTCTAGGCTAGACCATCCTTTGATAGAGATGATCAAAACAGTAGGCAATAGCCTAAATTCTTCATAAATCCGCGTACAGTATTCAATAATTTTTAACATTGAAGCTTGATTGACTTCTTCCTGAATAGCAATAAGTACTGGAATAAACCGGTCATCTTCTGCATTCTGTGGGATATACACAGTAAATTTACCCTTTGTATCAGTCCATTCAGTTTGTGCTACAGTGTAGCTATTTTCTGGAGCAATTTCACCTATGAAAAGATATAATGTGTAAGATAAGCAGAGTATCTTTATACAAACAGCAAAATACATTACCAACTAAAGAGCGAACAATCAGATTTATAACGTTTGGGTCATTGAGCAGGAGTTTGCTCATATGATCTGTTCCAGGTTTCCACTTCAAAGGTAAAATATCAGTGTCAGCATTTCCATCTATAATTGAATAAGTTTGTTAAGTACTCTTGTTTTGTATACAACCAAAGCTAATTCGCTAGATTACCTTGTTGTGAAGACATTTTTCTTTTGCGAAAGAAAGAAAAAGACGCACCGTCACCGGTAGCGTCACCGATAAAGTCTATTTTGTCGCCGGGCGTCACCGGTAGCGTCACCGGTAGCGTCATCGATAGAATCTACTTTCTCACCGGGCGTCACCGTGAGCACTGTACAGTGCTTCCAGCGTCAATTGGTCACCTTACCGAAAAAATTGGTCACCTTTCTGAGAACCAATTGGTCACTTTTCTGAATGCCGAAGACCAATTGGTCACTTTTTTGAACTTCAATTGGTCACACCTTAAAACAGTTTACAGACAGGCTATACTTAGTGATAAACAAACAGCACTTTTCAAGATATTCATATCTGTTGCAGTCCATTGTTTGACCCAAGCTAGTCAATTACCAATCTCGGTACTATTATTTCTAGGAACCGGTTGAAGTATTACTTCCCTGAAAGAAAGATTGCACTCGGTCTTCAAGAAGTTATGAGCAGTACTCTTTTCAATACTTAAAGTCTGCAAAGTTGTGAGTGAGAGAATCAACTGCGTCAGTCAATCGTGTTTGCGGGTTATCGAAAGAATTTACTAGGAGAGTTTTATGTTCTGGTCTTAGCTGAGGCTTTGGTCTATTAACCAGGTTTGTCTGCTTTTCTAAAATATTCCAATCCTTATCTTCTTTAAGTCTTTTAGCCCACTTTTGAGCCGTTCGTTCGACCATACCGCCAGCTAAGCGACGAGACTTCGCAGCATTGAAACGCTTAATTCTATTCATATATACAAACAAATGCTTTTGTTCGTTTGAATACTTATTATAAACCTTTCTCTGCAGTTTAACTGTATTTGCAATCTCCTATGTTTGCATCTAACTCCAAGTCAGGCTCCTGCTCACTTCCTTGCATTTCACAGTACTGTCTAATACGAGCTATGGTGGTCAAGTGGAATTGAGTTACATTGTCTTCCCAGTCCATGGCATCATTTCCCTGCTCATCGACAATCTCTCCTTGTCCATCTTCGTAATAAAAATGAGAACTCCTTTCCTTCTCTTTTTTTTTTTTTTGGTATTGTGGAAATCGGTGTAGATTTATAAAATAAAAGCAAGAAAATTATCAAACTTGCAAAAATTAACTAAGGCTTTATTAAACAAATAAAAGGGGGTCTTTATATACACATTATTTCAGACATTGATCACAGATGGGCTGATGACGGTCGTGGGTAGATTCATCCAGATAATACTCGGATGTAATGATCCCATATAGAAAGGCCATAATGAGATGTCAATAACAATAACAATAACAATAACATTCATTCTTAAACTGTGTATGTCTTGTAGCACAATATTCAGGGGAAAATGTAGTTCTTAATTCAGATAGCTGTGGCACTTCAATTTGGCTGATGTAACCTTCATATGTTTTCATATCAATGTTATTATTTAAATGTATGTCTTATACTTGTATGAAGGATGATATGAGATCAAGCCTGTACATAAAGTAAATGATCAGTATTTAATATAACAGTATCGATAAGAATTATATTTAGGATTATCAAATGGAAGATTTAAGAAGTGTAGATAGAGTCATATATTAAGTATATAGCCTCGATCACGACAGATACTAATTGTCCTTTGTCTGAAAACCAAGCATATTTTCTTAATTTCAAGGTTTTTGTCGGAATCTTTTTGAAAATTTGGCGCAGCCATAAGCACAGGCATAAACGCAGGCATAAACGCAGGCATAAACGCAGGCATAAACGCAGGCATAAAGGGTAATGTGAATTACCACAATAATTTTAGTGTGGCTTTTTTTAAGCATTATAATGAGCACTACTCCCTCAAGTTATACATTTACACTATCAGTTCAACGTTCTATTTTGCTATAATTTGTCATTTGTCTATCAAACCTCTCTCTGTTGTCTATTCCAGTAGCATTAAGGTATGCAATGCATTTAATATTGACGATTTTATTAGGAAAAAAAATGCAGATAAGGTATAGTAGGGGTCGAACCTATATCGTTTCAGCTATTCGAAAGGCTCTGACATTAAGCCATATACCAATCCACATTCAAGTATAAAGAAGTAAATAAATAAAGATGGAATTACTGAGAAATTCGAGAGATAAAGTAACGAATTAAGAATAAAAATAAAGAAATTTGACGAAGTAAAATTATCAAACTGCAAAAATAAACTAAAGTCTTTATTATACAATAAATTGGGTTCTTTATATACATATTCAGGGCTGGCTGAATATCAATCATTAAAGTGAAACCTGTCAAATATACAATAGGCATATTGTCAATTAAAGATCGAGCATATCATGGTACCTTCGAGAATCTTGTTATTGACGAGCGATCATATCATTAGATTGTATTATCTGGAATAAATGTATGACTCTTGTTTTCTATATATTGATGAGTAATCAATGCGTAGTAAATAGAGTGTAATAGCATGTATTTGATTTAAAGAGTAATGCAATAATGATTTATAGAAAAGTTATCAAATAAGAAAGAAAGAATTGATGATAGAGTTATATCTGTATATAAGCTCGATCTCAACAATTACTTTGTTCTGGAAGTTTCCGTATATGATGAGGTTGCAGGTATAATAACTCTAGTTTTCTTGTCCAAGCAATGGTCGAGCCAATTTGCATTGTTGGGGCTGGCAGTTTGAGAAAGTCTGACATTTTGATATACACTTCTAACCATTTTCTTCAGATGATATAATTGCACGAGTATCGGTAGAATCTTCTCACCGAAACTTCCAACATCAATTGGTATTTGTAGGCGTTTTCCTTCATTAACTCTAGTGATGTATCCATTTGGTCGATCGACTGAAATAACTTGCATATATAGACCTTTGATTCAGGAACACAGAGCATATATCAGTCCATCATAAACAATATATAGAGTAATTTCTTATCTTAGAGTGCATCTGGACTTCAATATGCCAAAAAAAAAATTTTAAGCAGAGAGAAACGTTAAAACTGGACCACCACACTTTCCTCATAATTAAAGTCCAATATTTTTGGACATATATTATTTTAATCATGATTAAAATGAGAATATGAAGTTTTTATTCTAAAAAAAAAAGTGTGTCCGGGATTTTTACAACTGGATTTTAGGTGTGGGGGGAAAAAATTGTCACAAGCAGGTTCAAAATTTTAAATTTTTCTTTTCCGACCAATAGTATTGTCCCGCGTATAGTATTTGCCGCCTTCGGACCATGAAATGCTTACTGCCTGTACTCTCAATTTGAGTACCCGCATGCGTAGTATCGCAGCCTATTAAATCAAAGTCTGAGGACATTTACTGTCAACCCTGTAAGACACAAAAAGGATAAAACAAACTTTATGTACTAAGTAGAAACGCTTCATATTTAAAAGATATAATTTAGAGTATTTCGAAAATAGATCCAACTAGTTGTTTATTTTAATTTATGTATTTGAAGGGTCGTATTCGTTAGATAAAGTACACAGTGCCACAACCCGTTATATCAGAGTCTGAGATCAAATATGATCAACACTGTAAGGCACAAAAAGGATAAAACAAACTTTATGTACTAAGTAAAAACACTTCATATTCAAAAGATATAATTTAGAGTACTTGGAAAATAGATCCAACTAGCTGTTTAATTTAATTTATGTATTTGAAAGGTCATATTCATTAGATAAAGTACTCAGTGCCACAACCCGTTATATCAGAGTCTGAGATCAAATATGATCAATACTGTAAGGCACCAAAAGGATAAAACAAACTTTATGTACTAAGTAGAAACACTTCATATTCAAAAGATATAATTTAGAGTATTTGGAAAATAGATCCAACTAGCTGTTTAATTTAATTTATGTATTTGAAGGGTCGTATTTGTTAGATAAAGTGCACAGTGCCACAACCCGTTATATCAGAGTCTGAGATCAAATATGATCAACACTGTAAGGCACCAAAAGGATAAAACAAACTTTATGTACTAAGTAAAAACACTTCATATTCAAAAGATATAAATTAGAGTATTTGGAAAATAGATCCAACTAGCTGTTTAATTTAATTTATGTATTTGAAAGGTCATATTCATTAGATAAAGTACTCAGTGCCATAACCTGCTAATTTTAAACTGAGATCAAATATGGTGAAGTGTAAAACACAAAAAAGATGTTTGAAATCGGATATACATTAAGTAAGAACGTCTACTACATGGAAACTTTGTTTACTTCAGTAATATTAGATGTAACGTTCTTTAAAACTAAAAACGCGTCAAAAGGGTTACTGTTTTTGAGCGTATTACTTCACGGGAGCTTTAAAAATGACAAATAGAATTGTGAATTTAAAACTAAGTTTGGGTTTATTTTTGTACCTTGTAATTATTCTTTTAAAATTACTTTTATAAATTTACATATCTATATCAATATTCATTATGGCTAAATCAAGAAAAAGAATCAACATTGGAAGAAAGGCTAAATTCATTCAAATGGAAAAAATTGCTGCTGCTGAGTACATTGCTAATGAAGCAATTGCCAAAGAGGCCGAAATCGCTGACATGCCTCGACCAGAAGAAGTCAACGCAGAAGCTTTCCCCATTTCCTGGAGCAACGCAACCGAAAAAACCGGGGAACAGAAGTTTAAGCGTAAACTTCTCCCTACAAGAGAGACGCTCAGTAGAAAGAGATCTGCTGCAGCCAAGGCAGCTGTAGGCTGTCATTCGATTAATGATTTTTTCCCCGTGGTTCAACAGGTTCCTACACCACCTCAAGTAGAGAAGAAGGAGAAACCCAGAAGACCCGACGAAGCAAGTTTGGTAAAGATTCGCGAGTCTTTGCCCCTTTTGGAATCGAAAATCCGTATCTCTGGTAATACCACCAGCGACCAACACCACAACGGTGTTAAACAATTTCTGAAGTACGTGGTTGTAAAGCATGTAATGTTGCAGCTATTAGACGGTAAAACTTTTGTGGAAGCAACGAAGCTTGCGGTAAACATGCACTGGATCCAAGCTTCGAAATCCTATCGTCATCGTGCTGCCAGAAAGTGGTTTGAAGCCTGGCTAAACACTGGTGACATTCCATGTCATCAGCAAGGAAAACATGCGAAGAGAAAATCAATTCTCAGTGATCCTGATGTGAAGGAAAGATGCATCACCTGGCTCAGGAGTCAAGACCCTGTCCGTAGAAGTATCCCTGCTCTTCGTCAGCATATACGACAAGAAGTGCTCCCTGAGTTACTTGAGTTGGAGAATGATGTCGAGGCCGGTGCCGATGTCATTTCCTCTCAGCCAGAGCATCCATTGTCGAACGTTGCTCTGGCAACCTACCTGAAGGCTTGGGGTTTTGACTATAAAACAGGTAAATACAATATGTAAAAACTTAGCATATATACTAATGCTTTAGCTTGATTATATTTTTGGGCATATGTGTGTAGGAAAGGATCGAACATACTTTGATGGCCATGAGCGGGATGATGTTGTCAGATATCGAATTAAGTGGGCCCAACAAATGATGGAATGGCATAAGCGTATGGAAACCTATCCCTTGGATAATGAGAATGCTGATCCAGTTCAACCTAGCCTAAAGGATAATGAAAAAAAGATGGTTTTAGTTACTCACGACGAATCAATCTTTTATTCAAATGATTGTAAAGTCACTCGTTGGTGTGAGAAGAACGAAACCATGATTCTTCCTAAAGGTCAAGGAAGATCTATTATGATCAGTTCATTCATGTGTCCCTGCCACGGAACAATGAGAGGTACCGTCAATGGTGTCAATTTGATATCAAGAGTCATCTTCTTCCCTGGCAACAGTAACGGCGATGGTTATTGGACAAACAGAGATCTGACGTGTCAATTATATGATGTAATTCATCTTTTCAATGAATTACATCCTAATTGTGTTGGTATCTTTGCCTTTGACCAGAGCTCGAACCATAAAGCCTTTGCGGACGATGCTCTTGTTGCCTCGAGGATGACTTCCGGGACTAGCGAAGTAAAGTCTTCTACCCTGTATAGGTTTCGGGATACCACTTATGTAGATAGAAACGGCATCATCAAGCCTCAAAGTATGTATACCATGGAATCCATGAACGTGGATGCCGCCATGAAGGAGATAAACAGACGGCGTGCCAAAGGACAGGCGTTTGATACCAATGCACTTGTCGAAAAGTACCAACACGCACAAGTAAATTTAATAATATAACATTAATATATAAAGAACTGACATCTTTATTATCATTATCTCTGTAGAAACGTGAGAAGTTCAAGGGAACTCTCCGTCTGTTGAGAGAACGTGGCCTGCTCGGCAGAAATGAGCCTCTGCGAAGGGTTTGTGTGAGAGGTACTCCACACGACCCTCAGGCTAAACCTGGCTGTTGTGCCGAATACTTGTTGTCACAACAACCTGATTTCAAGGCCCAGAAGAATATGCTGGAGACCCAAACATCCAAGGCTGGTCACCTTTTTACCCTATACCCTAAGTACCATTGTGAGTGCAATTGGATTGAAAGACATTGGGGTGCGGCTAAACGATTTGCACGAATAGAATGTGATTACTCGTTTGACACTCTGAAGTCAAGAATCGAAGAGTTTCTTGACCATGATGAGGCTGTTTTCGGTCCTAAAATCAATAGACGATATTATAATCGTGCCTATAGATATATTGACGCTTACAGCAAGGGTAACGATGTCTTGGAAGCTGAAGATATTATCAGTAAGTTTTCCAAAGAATATCGATCCCACAGACGTGCTGTTTAGTTGCTCCTTGATGACTTTCAATCTAAAAAAAAAAAAAAAAAAAAAAAAAAAAAAAAAAACAATTTAGACTCCCCCCAAATAAAATATATTTCCCTGAAAAATTTTCTTAAAAAAAAAAAAAAATTCTCCCCACATTAAAAAAATCTGGCTATAAATAAATTTCCTTTTATATTACTTGTACTAGTCGGAGATGAATGCTCAAAAATGTCACAGATTACGTTTTGGTATATTACAATGAAGATGCACTCTACCGGAATGTAGAACACCAAACGTACATAAATTATTAGCATCACCTTGCTTTTCTTGCAAAAGCATATCCAGCATGTCTTTTAAGACTCTTGGCAGCTTCGCATTTCTTTCGATTATCATTTTGTTGCTGTTTAAGTCGTAATTTTTAGCCACCTCTGCCGCACCATACTCTAAACTAGTGGTACTTTTTGAGTGATTTTCTCTTATTAGGAAATCAAATCGTCGACCCATATTTTTTCAGGTGAGCTGTTTACGTCTTCTAAAGTTCTTTTGGCGTTTTTTCTTACAGCAGACGCCACCGATGCCCCCTCGCCTCTAAAAACGCTTGACAATTAATACAAAAGATTAAATAGGAATGCATGAAATCATGTTTACCTTATAATTTCGATTCCTTTTAGATTTCCAAAACATCTGTCGATAATACACCACAAGTGTATATTATACCAAGCCTCGGAGTGATCATTTGCAAAGCTATCAAGTTCGTACTCTTGTAAAAGCTTATGTATCGATTGTTTGATCCAGTCTAAATCGAAATGTTTATCTTGACGGTAACTGTCTTCCCAGCTTTCTTTTTGTAACAATGCTTTTCTTATGTCTACTGTTGATTTGCAGTTGAATTTGTTCAAATATTGTTTGAAATCGTCAGGCAGTTGTAATGGTATGCTGTTATAATTAGTCATTATTTCCTCAATTTCACCACTCGTGAATGTTCCATGTTTGATATACAGTTCAGAATCGTTGACATCAAAGATGAAAGACTGAGAAGAATGCTCTCTAATTTGAAGCTTGCCAAATTTATATAATTGGTCTTCTACCACTGTACCAGTTGAGAGAGTCCATTTGTCTTCGTTCTTAAGACTTTCAAAGCTAGTGTCCACTTCTGGTCTTGCTTCGGGTGCTAATAAAAACTATTATTGTTTACAAACTCAAGAAGCTTCGTTCCAATACTCACTATGTTTTTCATCTAGATGATTTCCGAGTTCATTGGTGGTATCATAATGATCAGAACAGCTAGGGCAACCATAATTTTTAACTACATTTTGCTAGAGTGCATCTGCTTTTAGGTGGTACCTAAAAAAAATTTAAGCAGAGACAAATATTTAGATGGGTAAAACACATTTTCCTTATAATTAATATCCCATCTGAAAGGTTAGGATTGTTTTTTATGTTGATTAAAACGAGAATCTACATATATCAAATTAAAAAACGGAAATGTCTAGACCTCCGTATTTTTTTCAAACGTATTTTTTTTATACCACTTATAGGAATTCTGGCCAGAAGACCAGCAGACCAGTATGATTGCACCTATTTACAGTGTAATCACAGCCATTCACGGTTCGTGAGTTCCAAAAACTCAAGAACTCTGCCCTCCTATAGCAAAGACTAGCCGCAGCCGCAATATCACAATTATGTATCTTTTTCAATTTAGCTTCTTTTCAAAGAAACAAGAGTCACTACTAAACAAACCTTTTTACGTGATCGGTTACTTTCATACGATAAAAGAAGTATGTTAAGGGAAAAGAGAAGGAGAAGGATAAAGTGTGTGAACCAGCTTTATTTATAGATAAACAAGCTTATGTCAGGATGATTTCATTGTCTATTTTATCATCCATAATGTTTGAGCCTTTACATAAAATAGAAATACTTGCAAAAACCTCCCAAGCAAGTCAGAGCTTAGTAATTGTCTATCTGCATTCCAGTAGTAGCTTGTAATGACAGCGAAGCAGATTTTATGGAAAACAGAAAACGATCATCATATGAAGTTTAGATGATATGGCATGTCAATCGACGTGTATAACAACGCGTAATTCTAAAAAATACGTTTATTTGAAAAAAATACGTTTGAAAAAAATACGGAATTCTAGACATTTCCTTAAAAAACATAACAGATTCTGGATTCAACATTTTTTTTTAGGTGGGGGCGGGGAAAAAATGTCACAACCTGTACAAAAAGGTTTTTGGGCCAATAATAACCTGCAGATAATATCATTAGCCGTGTTCGGATTTTGAAATAACCCACTGTTTCACCCCACTCTTCCAGTGCAAACACCTCACCCTTCCAGTCACCTCACCCTTCCAGTGCAAAATAAAAAAATCATTTTGACCTCCGAGCCCACCAAAATTTGACCCTCATATTTTTTTTTACAGCCAAAACCACTAAAACCACAAGAAAACCACAAAAAAATTGGTAAACCACAAAAAAAAAATTTTAAAAAAAAAATCTTAATTGCGAGTGACTTTTGATTTTGGTTTCGCTGCTGTTTCACTTTAATAAAATTAACTTATAAACTAAAATGGGTCTTAGCAAAAGTAAAAAAAGAAAAATAGAAGAAGCTAATATTCGGGAAAAATGGTTATGTGCCGCTATGGAGGAGAAGGAGCGTAGAGAAGAGGAATTAAGAAGATTTCGGCCCCTACGCATTCCTGTCCATAATAGAAGCTCCCTCAATGATATTGCACCCGAGATTGCTGCACCCGAGACTACTGCACCCGAGATTACCAGCGATGTCATTGCCACTACCACTGATGAAAATAACAATGATCCCGATTTCCCTGACGATTTCAATGTGGAGATGTTAGTTCCTGGGGCTGAATATCATGATTGTGGAGATTATCAGGATGACGAGTGTGAGGTACGAATTCCTACAGAACATCAGCCGGTGGTACCTGTCATTGATTCCGAGATCGAATCCATCACCACCCAACCAGTTACCACCAAAACTGTCCCAAGAAAAAAGACAGCTTACAGACTTAAGCTGGAAAAATGTCAAATGCGTTGGCAAACTCTTATGAAGGCCTTGCCAGCATCTTACCTGTCTTACTTAGGTGAAAAAGGCAGCATGCCTGATATGATGGATGTCACTCCTGGCCCAAGAATGTCATGTGAGAGCTCTTCGGCCTACCTGGAAATTGTAGAAGTCGATTTATACTTCGTATCTGGTAAAGTAAAGTATTTATTTGCATTTCCTCTATATTTATACAAAGTTTATTTAAAGGTGTGCAAAAGAAACAAAAGTTTCCATACTGCATCAGTTGTCAGTCATTGCCTGTTGCTTTGGTGAAATCAGGCATGTTCCCTCTTTCGCCCTTCAAACCGAAAGGGGCTCTGCATTTTAGTCTCTGCAATATGTTTATTGAACTGAGAAACATCTTCGCTGGTTCTGGTGAGAAGATTGCAGAGTTCTATGGTCGCTGGGCTGCAGGAACCGAGAAGGTATCATTTTGTAAATAATTATTAGCGTTTTATTAACTAAATCCATGTAGACCAACCTCTCGGGCGAATCATGCTCCAACGTCATCTTGATGTACAACAAGATGGTAGAGCTGTCTGAACAACTGGTGATGGAAGACGTTTCCACCTCATGTCCTGCTTGTCCTGAGGTTTGCAAAAAAAAAAAAAAAAAAAAAAAAAAAAAAATCACTACGTATTATTAACCATTTGAATATTTTATACACCAGGTGAATTCTAATGATGTTAAGGACAAGCAGTTTATGATGATGGATGGTAACTTCCGTTTAAAATGCAGGAAATCGTTGGCTGATCACGATGATGTGCCAAAGATCACTGGTCTTGATGGATTCAAGAAATTTTGGATGGATCGAGATTTGATCAAAAAATACGATAAGTCTGAACAGGTAATTAATAGTTATGGGATATTGTGATATAATGCATTAAAGTACATTTTTTGTTTTAAGAATACCGCCACCACCACCACCAACACCACCACCAACAACAACAACAACAACAACAACAACAACAACAACAACAACAACAACAACAACAACAACAACAACAACAACAACAACAACAACAACAACAACAACAACAACAGCACCGACACCGACACCGACATCAGCACCGCCGATGGTATATCTACCAAAAAGACTGCTGTGGAAGAACCTCGTGTCTTCCAAGCCTTAATGCACCAAAATCGAACCTCGGCTATTTATCCTGTGCGTGGCGTCTTTGGTAGTGGTTGCGCGAGACATGATATTGTATTCGGACTTGCAGACATGCATTCCGGGGAAGGGTAACATTAAATATTTTAGAGGTTATGTATTTTTTTTTTCATGGATTAATAGTTTATATAGGTTCAAATACCCTTTGGCTTCCATAGCTTCTGTTGAGAACCAGCTTAATAGAAAGGTTCCGTTGCATATCATGTATGACATTGTATGTAAATTGGAGCCATCTATTAAGGTATGTTGCATTTATAATCACCAATTATTACTCTATTAATTTACAAGTTTTAGCTGAACTTCCCCAGGATTGCCGGTTCTGACCGTTTGGGTTTGTCTGTATTCCATGCCTACGCCCATGTAATGCACTGTCAGGCCAAGTACAACCCGAGGTATATCTCTAACTTTGGGTTAACTGACGGTGAGGGCATGGAAAGACTTTGGTCCTACCTAGCCAACTACATTACCATGACCAAGCCCATGTCGGTTGAGAACCGGCAGTATGTCCTATACATGGCTGTCAAGTACAGGAATACGGCCATCAGGCTCAATCTGGGTACGTCAATTAAATGAAGACAAGACAATACATATTAACACTAATTCTTGTAAAATGTTTGCATTGGTAGCTAAAACCTTAAAGGAGAAAATCCGTCGCTTTGCTGTCGAAAAAAAAAATGTCGACAACAAGGTTAGAGTGTGGACGGATACATATATCCGAAGCATTGAGGAGCGTTACGCCAGGCAAGTGGCTAATCTTGGGGAGCGAGGATGTTCTGGGTATGATTTAACGAATATACTCCCAAAAAGCTATGTAGACGAACATACTTTTCCTTTGTTATTGAGCGTTTACATTAGCTTTAAGTAAGTCCTCTTTTTTTTTATTTTAATATGTTTATAAATTTATATCAAATTCATTTTTTTTTATTTCAATTTGTAGGAGCATCCTCAACGGTAACGATACGGCCTATATTGTCAGCTCCACCGGTAGGTCCTACTTCCGCAGTGAGTTGCCAAAGATCGAAAAGTATCTTGGTGATGTGGAGAGGGCTGCCGGTCGTAACGTCTCCGAAAGACCAACAATCTTGGCGCGCGAATATTTCCAGTTTGCCGAGTCCCAATGGTTGGCCTTCCTCAAGGTCAAAGAGGCATTATATAGGGATATTTTAAGAAGTAATGTCCAAGTTTACTTTGACCTTGGGGATAAACTTCATAGCGGCCATATCGGTACGTACTTTTGTGTTTAGTCTATTGCCAATGACTTAACTTTATTTTTTGACCAGGAACTAGGCAGGCTGCAAAGCTTCAAGAAGCTATGAGGAAGCAGAAGTCCCAGGTGATGGACTTTATATCCATATACAACACGGGCAACGAGGAGCTGATTGGCAGTTTGCATGGAGGTACGGTTTAATATATACCTTTCTTTCTTACTCAAAAGTGTAACAAAGCTCTAACATTTTTAATAGGTGATATACAGTATGTCACCTTGGACTTTGTTCTTGAAAAGGAGAACGGTTTTTGGGATGTTAAATGGTCAAAAGACGTCTCGCTTTGGTTAAGATCGAAAAGCTTACAGGAGGAGCTGGTTCGACTAGAGGTATGTTAAATAAACATTGCTTAAATTATAGTATTAAACACTGACGCTTAACACTCATTGCAGCGGGATGTCTTTTGGCTAAAACATAATATTGGCAAGGAGAATAAAGCTTTGAAATCGGCACTTGCGAAGCATGTTCAAGGCTCTGGTGCTTGGGTCATTCTTGGGCGTGCTTTGGAGGTCGACATTAAATGGGCTAAATTTACGACCCATCACTTACCCCATCGTAATAATGAGCCTGTAATCGCAAGTACCGATGCCCAGAGTGCCGATGTTCAGAGTGAAGAAGATCTTGATAACTTCAACTTGGATGGTGCTGAAAATGATGAATAAATTTTTTTTAAAAAAAATCAGTAATGCATAATTTTTTTTAGAATGAGTGGAATTCTGCCATGTATAAAAGTTGTATATACCAGACAGCGTGCTTCAAGTAATTTCATTAAGCGTGCATTTGTAGTATTTTAAAGCACCCATTCAGAACGATATTATCCATCACACTAAATCACGCAATTTAAGTGATTTAATTTTTTATAATAGCCATAACGTCGAATAACTCCTTTGTAGTGGTAGTAATGTCATTTTTCCCCCAATTATCGATTTAATGGATTGAACAAGGATACCTCATTGTTTAATGACTCTAATACTAGCTGTATGCAGACTTTGTTTTGAAGCCACTGTAAAGGACAACATTAGTTTTCATATAATAAACTTTTTAATTAGTATGATTTTATAAAATACATAACATTATTTTATTGCATGATATATAAACATTATATTTATGATTGAAATTTATTTGTAGTATTGTACCAAAGCTTTGTAATAAGATTATAAAACTGATAAAGACGAATAAAAATTATATCCTGAATATAAAACTTCGAATGAGAGATAGGACGAACTAGATGTTTCGACACAACATTGAATTATACTATTATTAAAAATGTAATACTTTTTTTTTGTATCAGGACATGGAACGAAACCACAACATCATACTATGTAACAATTAACACTAGTTCATTGCATAATAAATATAATACGGAATTAAACAAACTATCAGTATATTATCTTTAATATGATTAAGATGTATTTACTTTGCATTATATCAATTGTCTTCTATTAACTTTAAAACTAAAATTTATATTTTTAAAATATTTTATCAAACGAAGAGAGCTTTCGTATATCTGAAAATGTTATCAAAAATGTATTCAAGTATGGTAAACTTGATAAGCCAATTTTTGATGTTTGAAAAAAATAAACTTCTAAAAGTTTTTTTCACATAAAAATCATATTTTATTTTTCTTAATACAGCGACAAAAATTGGACGCAGTTCAACTTGTGGTCCATTTTTGGCTTTTGAATATGAGCACTTGACATATCGTGTTTTAGCTCAACCAGTTTTAACACTTTTTAGTACTATCTGTAAATCAAAGCTTAAAATATGTGAATGAAATTCATTCAGCAATCTCGAAATAGTAAGACAACTTTACAGCTGTCCGCACGTTATCATTTGGCGGTATATGTCAGGTTAAAAAACATAAAATCTGCAGCATTTCGAAAGAAGCAAAATCTTCTTCATAGTTTATAAAATCCTTCGCACAATAATATAAAACCGCAGATGAATCTTCGTACTTCTTTAGACTTTCCACATGTGTAATACTTACAGCCACGCTGCCATATCAGAGATCTTAAGGAACAGTTTAGTCGCTATTCATATTGATTGTGAAAACGGCTTACTGAGGGATGAGTGGGCGTCTTCTGTTCAACCTATGCTAGTTTGACCCATTGGGTTAGTGGAGCGAGATACAGATAGGGCAAGCTTACACATGGGCAATTGACGGATAAGCGTACATTATTAATTGCTGGTTGGCCTAACGTAAAAGCACGTTGAACATAATGACAACCCATTTACTGTTATATTATCCGTTCAGCAGACGATGAGGCACTGGTAATTCGAGCAATAAAGTTATAAGATGACCCCGAGGTTTATTAATTAAATTGAGCAGACATAGCATAAAAGATAGGCTTACAAACAGTGCAGTTTTATTAACGAGCTTGGACAAATACTGATTTTGAGATGAATCGAGAATCAAGATGAAAGGTCTAGAAAAGACACTCTCGAACCTTGTGAATACACTATCAAGCACTACAAACCTCAACGTGTCCAACGCTATTCATTGCAAAAAATTTTGCCATAAATCTTCCATGTAATTACGTTAATTCAAAAATCTTCAATGAGTAACCAAGCATCGAGTAAACATTCTAGAAACTTTAGATTTGAACAAAAAAATATTGATATGTTATGTGTTCCATATAGTATACCTCACTCACAACATTGTCTAGTACAATCTGGAATAAACGCAATTTATTTCATAAGAGAATTTTTAGCAGAGAGATTTTGTCATAATGGAGTCCAATTCTGACTCCATGATCATTTTCGTGATCCATACTTGTTTAACCAGAGGGATTATTCTCTTTCCAAACTCCTTTGCCAAAGCAGGATAATAAAGCTCCTTCGTTTTTCTTAACACACAAACGTATCCTACAGGATTTGTCAACTCTATGAAGTTAATCTTCAACTCTAATAGAATAGTTCAAATAAAAATAAGTAAACTAGTAGACAAAGCATAATGATTTTTTTTCTACCTGCAATAAACATCCCTATAATTTTGAGCTTATGTTGCTGCTCAGGATTGCTTCTGATTATATTCATTAACATCGATTTCATAACTTTTCCAAGCTTAATTGAACCATCGTTCAATTCCTTGGTGTTGTCAGTCAAGTCTTTGCTGACTTCTACAGCTCCCAGTTCGTATCTATCGCATGCAATTTTATAATCTGGAATTTCTCCTGCCTTTTGTCGTTCCATCAGCTCTTCAGCCGCGATTTTCCTTCTTTTATTGTTCTCTAATGAACACGCTTTACTGGTTTTTTCGCTACATATATACATAAATTTCTTAAGTCAATACATATACTTCAATCATATATGGGTTTTTAAAGTTTTACCTTCGGCAATTCAGTTCGCTTCTGTCAAAAGCTGTATCAATAAAACCCCAGACACGTCGCATAACATCGCGTTCGCTATGATCTGTGACAGGCAAATAGTTGGTAACGAACAAATCTGCAGCCTGTTGAATAGTCATCTTTAGCCAATAAAGATCTCGGTCAGTCGCTGGATCAATGACTATATTGTTGATATGGTTGAAAACTTTAATTATATCCGTAGTTCTAGGGATTGCATTCAAAAAGTCTTTCATTTTTTCGGGAAATTGAAAACTGATATCCTTCTCAACACACTTGTTCTTGATCTCATCTAATTCTTCCGCAGAAAAGACATTTATCCAATTTTTGTCATCCAAGTCTAAAATAAGAGAACAAGAAGGACTAATACATAAAAAAGTTTCATTAAATACATTTATGTACGACGCTTAGCATGTTACTTACTGTTCATAATTCATTACTTCTTCTACATATCGTCCAGTAGAAAGCTTCCACATTCTATCTTTTTGAAGCGAGGTATACATATTTGTAACATTCACTTTATCGGTACTTGTTAACTTGTATCCTAAAAGACTTGCTTTACTTGTATTACTTGATTTATTTGATTTACTTGATTGTGAACCACTTCCACTGCCACTATTAATAATACCACTACAAGACTGATTGGATGACTGCAAATTATCGTCTGGATCAAGCAGTGAACTTTTTGTAGATGAAGATGCTACTGCTACTTCTTCTTTTGAATGAATAAGTTTTTCAATGATATACCAGTTATCATTATTCGTCTTGACGGTTATATTGAACTCTTTGGCTACAGTTTTTACGCGATGTTTCCAAACACCTTTTAGGTTACGCGTGGTATCAGTTGAATCTGTTATATAGTCTTGAACAATATCAGCTCTGCATGCAGTCACCATATCTGACCAAGAGACTACATTATCCGAGTCCTTTAACTCTATGAGAGACCTATAAATTACTGCATGTTGAAATGTTAATGGTAGTAAAAAATAATAGAAATTCACTTACATTCTTTATGTTTGACGTCTGACATGCTTGATCGAGTTACAAGTGTGTATGTTTTTTTTATCGAAGACGAGAAACGAAAGATTGTTTCTTTTCTTTTTTTCAAAGGAGAAGGGAAAAGGCCTTTTTTTTTTACCTCAACAGAGACTTAGTTTAGTTGGGAAATGTCTAGACCTCCGTATTTTTTTCAAACGTATTTTTTTGTACCACTTACAGGAATTCTGGCAGACCAGTATGATTGCACCTATTTACAGTCCAATCCCAGCTATTCACGGTTCGTGAGTTCCAAAAACTCAAGAACTCTGCCTAGGAGGTCGCCCTCCTATTGCAAAGACTAGCCGCAGCCGCAATATCACAATTATATATCTTTTTCGATTTAGCTTCTTTTCAAAGAAACAAGAGTCACTACTAAACTAACCTTTTTATGTGATCGGTTACTTTCATACGATAAAAGAAGTATGTTAAGGAAAAAGAAAAGGAGAAGAACAAAGTGTGTGAACCAGCTTTATTTATTGATAAACAAGCTTATGTCAGGATGATTTCATTTGTCTATTTTATCATCCATAATATTTGAGCCTTTACTTAAAATAGAAACAGTTGCAAAAACCTACCAAGCAAGTCAGAGCTTGGTAATTGTCTATCTGCATTCCAGTAGTAGCTTGTAATGGCAGTAAAGCAGATTTTATGGAAAACAGAAAACGATCATCCAATGAAGTTTAGATGATATGGCATGTCAATCGACGTGTAGACCATCACGTTTGAAAAAATACGTTTGAAAAAATACGTTTGAAAAAATACGTTTGAAAAAATACGTTTGAAAAAAATACGGAGTTCTAGACATTTCCGTTTAGTTGAGGGCGTTTTTTGTGTTTCAACCTTTAAAAGGAAACCATCTTCTGTTGTACACAAATAAGTTTGAAATGTTGAAAGTAGTTTATAAAGTTCGAGTGCTGTAGCTTCTCTTTTTTTTCTCTCTTTTTTTTTCTCTCTTTTTTTTTCTCTCTGTTTTTTAGCTAAAGCTTTCGAATACATCTGCTGCACTATTTTTAGTTGGGTCTCAAGGATTTAGTTGTACTGGTTAGTACGTATAGAATAAACGAAAAGTGAAGATGTGTCGAAAAGAAAGTGAAAGTTAAATAGATATGTAACTAATTATTTTGTTACAGAAACAACATTCGTAGTATTTATTTCGTGTTATGCTTTCTTTTTCTTTACAAGTGTTATATCGCTCATCAAGAATAACAAGAACTCCAGGAGCCACACAAACAGCATTTGATTGCTTTTTTTTTGATGAAAATCCATCTGCTGTTATAACTTATGCTGTAGAGAGCTTGACCGCAGCTTTTGAGGGGCTTAATATCAAGAAGTCTAGAGTACATGAGTTTATGAAAGACAAATGCAATCTTTCGTTAAAAGTCACCACATTGCACCCAGGCCCTCGTAACGATGAAAAAAACTTAGAAAAAAGATTGAAGTGGGCACAAACATGGACATAGACATGGACTTTACAAAAAACTGTGTATTTATTGACGAGTCCGGTTTTGATATAAACATGAGACGCAGTAGAGCATGGTCTAGAAAAGGTACCGAAGCCATAGCCCCTACCGAAAGTACTAGGGCTAAATCACATACTGTTATTGGAGCAATATCGGCCATAGGTATTGTTAGTATTACTATGAGAGTACCTCTGCCTCCTAAAAAAAAATTAAGATTCAAGGTGGTAAAAAAAGAAAAGCTGCCCCACCCAAAGCCCCCCAATCTAAAGGTACAACAACTGGTCATTATTAATTTCAATATGTGTTTAGATTGAAGTCCACAGAGTGTTTCGATTTAAGTTTGAGAAGTGTTCCAAATTTTGTTCGAATTTAATTGGTTGAATGTTCCATTTTATTTTTGAAAAATGTACGATGATTTGAGAGTGGACATCCTGTATTGTATGAAAAAGCGAAAATAAGAACCGCCCTTTGAGAAAATATTAACCGCCTTTTGACAAAATAAAAACCGCCTTTTGACAAAATAAAAACCGCCTTTTGACAAAATAAAAACCGCCTTTTGACAAAATAAAAACCCGCCCTTTGATTTGTTTTATTGGCCGCCCTTTTTTTCAAAAAACCGCCCTTTGGCGTTGGAACGACTGTACACTGTTTTATAAGCAAGCTGACTTCATAAGAGGCAACTGAGCTTTAAATCCAAAAATGGGATGTCCAATAAAACAAACAAAAGTCCCTTTCCTGTCAAAAAAAAAAAAAGCTTCTTCCGGATAATAGTAGAGCGCAGCTTGTCAATGGAATGATTCACGACACACATTCCAGAGTCCAAGTATACCTCAGATATTACTGTAATGATTCCAATCGACATGTTATTCTACTTTGAATCCGAAAGCAACCCGTTTTATAGATACCATGTATTGCTCCCCCTCCCAAATGAAGGCTTTACCATGAAGCCTGTCATCGTGGATCTAATGAGTGACTTCTCAATTCGCTGTCATTTTATTTGATTAATGGATTAATAATAGAAAAAATTAATTTTATTCTATTTGTTCTTTTACCGTCATGTCTTTACCTACCTTTGACCAATTGCCTATCAACCCTGAATATCCTCCTCAAACTGCTTGGGGAGTATGGGGCAAAGAAGATAATCTCGGGACACTCAATTTATTAAATGAAGAGAGAGTAGCCAATGTAAAGTCATGCATCAAAAAATCGAATTTTGTTTACTAAGCAAACATTTTTTTATTATTATTAGGCAGCCAAATGTATTAAGCGAGGTGCTGTATTCTCCCTTAACTGGAAATTAGAATCTCCCAACCCAGCACTTTTTGGAAGATCCCACGTTGAGCATACTTATAATGCAATTATCCCTAATAATTTAGGTTTTGATGATTGTTACCATAACTTTAATACTCAATCTTCAACACAATGGGACGGCCTTCGTCATTTCGCTCACCTTGGTTCCGGCCAATTTTATAACGGTGTCAAGTCTTCGGAAATTGTCAAGGGCAATGATGAAACCAATAATCGTTTGGGTATCCATCATATGGCACGTCGTGGTATTGCTGGTCGGGCTGTCTTATTGGATTACGCTCGTTGGGCTCGTCAACATGTTTCTGACTTTGACCCCTTTGTGCGATCTGAAATTACTGTCCAAGTCTTGGACCAAATCGCAGAGGCACAAGGCGTGGTGTTCCAAGATGGTGATATCTTATTAATCCATACGGGATGGTTAGAGACCTACGAACGTCATGGCGATAAAGTAAAAGATCTCATCAAGGACCTTGAAAATCCATCTTGTGTTGGTGTCAAGGCATGTGAAGATACATTTAGATGGTTTTGGGATCATCATTTCGCTGCTGTTGCCTCTGATAACTTTTCTTTCGAAGCATGTCCTTTGTTGGATTATGTGAAATCTTGCCGTAAGAACTTTTCTCTTTTTTGGTTTTTTTTTTATACGTGCTAATATCTTAAATCATTAGATGCTACTTTCTTGGGTGGTTTTGGTCTTCCAATTGGAGAGTTGTTCCAATTAGGTGCTTTGGCAGAGGATTCTGCAAAGGATGGTGTCTACACTTACTTCTTCACGAGTGCCCCTCTTAACAAAGAAGATGGCATTGCAAGTCCTCCTAATGCATTATGTATTAAATAAATATGTATCAAATAAATATTAAATATTGAATATTGACATTTGATTTTGGATTTCTATTCTACATGGATTTTTTATTATATTTATTTTTTTAACAGAAAAAAAAAAGAGAGCTTATTTACTGACAGTGGGGAAAGGTGGTGGCATAGATTCCTTGGGGAAAAGTTTATCACCGCGCAATTTGACAGCATCCTTAATTTTAACAAATTGATCATCGAAACCAGGTACGGAACCCTTTACGTAAACCAAATTCAATTCGGGGTCAACCTTAATGACCTTTAAACTTTGAACTGTAATACTCTCACCACCAAGACGACCAGCCATCTTCTTTCCCTTAAAAACCTTACTAGGCCACTATAGAATCGACTAGTTTAGTTTCTGGTTTCTTCTTCCTTTCAATCTTTTGATGTGATGCATGATTAGAGTGATACTTTACCTTACGTTGACCTGTGGAACCACCAGAACGATGAGTTAAAGAAACACCATGAGAGGCAGGAAGACCCTTGAAATTCCATCTCTTCATGACACCAGCAAAACCCTTACCAATGCTAAAGTATAATTTAAAATGGTTTTCAGTTTTCCCCTTCTTTTCATAAAAAATCTGCTGACAAAAAGACTTACGAAGGTGCTGTAACATCGACGTATTGTCCAGTAACGAAATGTTCAGCGGTCAATTGGGTACCGATAGGTAAAACAGCGTCTTTTGACACCTTGAATTCGTATAATTTTTGTCTAAGCTCAACACCCAAAGTTTTAAAGTGTTCAATCATGGGTTTTGGTACATTCTTTTCTTTCTTTGGTGTACAACCCACTTGTAATGCGGTATAACCGTGCTTTTCCTCGGTACGAACATCAGTGACAATAACATCTTCCAACTATCAATTATTTTTTAAAAAAAAAATTAATGCATAAATTCATTCATGTCACCCCAAAAAATCAGGTACTCAATTTGAGAGAGTGTCGCTCTTCCTTTTTCTTACCTGTAAAACAGTGACAGGCAAACGAACACCTGCTTCAGTCCAGACAGAGGTCATACCCTTCTTTTTGGCAATGACACCTGTACGTACGGAATCAACAGTCCATGCAGGGGTTGCTTGAGCTGAAAAGCTGCTGGTGTGAAAAGTAGCAGCAACAACAGAGCGCATAGGGTTGGCACTCTTGACTGCAAAGGCAGACTTTGTAAATAAACTCAAAGACATGATTCCTTCTAAAGTTGTTTGTCACAAAAAAAAGTGTATTAAAACTCTCGCCTTGGGTGGTATGGGGTCCCTCCAAAAATTATGATTCTATTTTGAAAAACCGCTCCCCGCTCTTTCTGTAACTTGCAAGGACCGTCACAGCAACAGTGGCTTATGCTATGGTAGGAATCGCAATGGATGCAAGATTCGCAGCCATGTTTAGCGTACTATGTGAAAAAAGGATTCATGGTAGTCCAACTTTCCTTATCCGTCGTTTTAGAACCTCGAAAAAAAAATTTCATAAGATCACCATTTATGTAGAAATAGGACAAGATAATTAAGCGGAGGTAGTTGGGGCCCTATGAAAGCTGTATGCGGTAACAGCATGGTCGATTCGGAACCCACTTAATTGTTACCTTATAATACAAGATTGCCCGTTGATTATTATGTATATTTTTGAAACTGGTTTATTAATTAAAAAATACGCCGTATCAAATAAACTTAATGAGACAAGTGATTATCGAGTAGTATGTATACTAACACAATTTATTGCAATAATAAAAATAATCTACAAGATAAAGAAAATATCCTGATAAAAATCAGTTTGTAAATTTACTTTTACGAATGATGCAGCTGTTCTATTTTAGGATTGCTAGCTTGACTAAGAATAAAATTGAAGAACAAGCGAGACATTTATTAAATAACAGCTAATACATTTGCAACTCGCTTCCACAAATATATTGAAAGCCTCTTCCATCTGTTAAAGCCTTCCACGCTGAATCGAACTTTTTAAGTGTTTCTTCCATAGCATCTGGTTTACAACCGGATCTATATGTCTGGTTAATTACAGTTAATAATTACATAATATTATGAATACTCACGCAATATTGTTAATTGGTAAAAACGGATCATTAATGACAACAGGGTGAAAATATTTTCGACATCTTCTACTTCCACCTGCTCGAAAGATAGAGACTCCACCAGTGAGATTTTTTCGGTTGGAATAATATTGGAAAAACCCAATCAAGAGTGTACCCAAACTATCAACGTTTTGACCATTCCACAAAGTTCGATTCTCCATTGAAATATCTAAATTATTGCAATTCTGTTTGGTTATAACGCACGTATGGTAGCAAAACATCATTTTTCTTATTCTTTTAAAATATAGTGTTGTAACTATAATCCCCTTGTTTTTGGTAAATAAACAATCTTCAAAGTTACACTCATTGTCTAACGAGAGATTTTGAAGGTTAGGAATAACAGGGTGTTCCAATCCATTCATCAAGAAGTTCAATATCAACATGATTAAGGAATATGTGCTTAAAGATGGATGCCCGTCAGCTAGCAAATTAAATATTGGTAAGTAACACAGCCATGGTTAAAAATAAGTCCTATTTACCATTCTTTAGATGATGTCCTTGGCAAAAATACAGTATGACATTAATTAAAGGCCTAATCCTTTCATCCAACTCAAGATATGTTTTGATCAATTCTTCCCTTTCAAAAAGCAGGGTTCTATCAATGCTGATATCACATAAGTTTCCGGATACAGAGTCAGTAAACAATAAGATGTTGCCACGTTTTGGACAACATTGAATATCAGCCATGCCAATCTCTTGTAAACACCCGATATAGTTATCCATATCTTGTAAACAATCATGACGTGCTTGAAATTTTGAAAACTCAGCTTTTTTTTCACTTGAACATTTGGGAATAATGATCCCCAGATGTAAAGTACTATCAGGAAACGTCAATTCTGTATGGCACGATCTAAATTTATAAGAGTTATGAGTAAAACGATTTAAAGTCGATTCTTATTTTAATACCTAATCATTTCAACAGATAAAGCAAATTGGGGGAATACGGTTTGGACGGCGGCGTTCACCCTTTCCCTGATACCTCTTTTTACCAAGTACACGTCCTCTTTTGAAAGTTGGTTTTCCTTGTAGAGTCTATGTGAGATGACATTTTATTGTGACCAATTTATTTTTAAATACCTTGTAACATGCTATTATTTCTTCGGTCAGTGATCTTTCAGAGCTCATAGTCCCATTTTTGTTATACATCACCAATAGATGGGCATCATCCGTCGAAAATGTTTTCAGATCCAAGAAACTGTTCTTCAAGTGTGGCAAGTCTTGCTTATATTCACCGGCGGTCATGATTTCATACGATTGTTTTTGAGAAGATTCCAATGCTTCTTTTGACATCAAAAAATTGAATAACGAAGCATACTGAGACTTCATAATACCATACTCAGTCGATGCAACTTGTTTTAAATGGGTTTCGAAGTCCTCTAAACATATTACGCTGGTCCCTTTGGTACTTTGATCAAAGTTGGTGAGATTGTTCTCAACCGTATATGCAGCAAGCCTTCTTAGGATATTTTCAGTTATGTCTTGTTTCATTGTCTACAAAAATGGAAAATAAAGAAAAGAAAGGAGTTGTTAATTGCAGCTTTTATTTTCCAGCCAATTTATAAATCAAAACAATTTCATCGTGTAACCAGATTGTAATGAATAAACAAGCGAATTGTACCAATATTTACATGTCTACTCAGGAGTATTTTATGCTTTAGACTGACAAATATCATAAGAATATGTTCTTTCTGTTAAGTTATTCTACCATTTTTACTGTCTTTTTTAGAGCAAGCAGTTTGGATGCATGTAGATCCTTGTTACGCAAAACCTTATTTTTCGGTTGTCGTAACTCAGGGTCAAAGAAAGAGGATAATGAATGTAATATTTTCAAAACAGAACTTTAATTTAAATACAGGTTAAACAAGGCTAAGGAGTGAAATTGTTTTTTTTTCGAAGTGTACCAAGTTAAATCAATGTAATATAGGAAAACTCGCTAAAAAAGTAGGTAATAAACTTACCTCTTTGATCTATAATAAGACTAATAATTGTAATAGCTAAACGTTTGAATTTATTATAAAGTTAATAAGACTGTAACACAATTGTGAAATTGATTATGCAACATTGTTGTAAATGAACTATTACAATAATAATTTGCCTCCGCAGATAAATTCAAAGTTTTTTTCATCTGTCAATGCCTCCCAAGCTAAATAAAACGTTTCAATTATTTTTTCCACAGTATCTGGTCTACAGCAGGATCTGTAAAACTGGTTAAGTAATGCTAATAAACACGTAACGTTGTGGATACTTACGAAATATTGTTAATTGGTAAAAACGGATCACTGATGACAACAGGGTGAAAATAATTTAGGCCTCTTCTACTTCCACCTACTCGAGAGATAGAGACTCCACCAGTGAGATTTTTTCGGTTGGAATAATATTGGAAAAACCCAATCAAGAGTGAACCCAAACTATCAATGTTTTGACCATTCCACAAAGTTCGATTTTCCATTATAATATCTAAACTATCACCATTGTGTTGGGTTATAACGCACGTATGGTAGCGAAACATCATTTTTCTAATTCTTTTAGCGTATATTACTGTAACTATAATGTCTTTGTTTTTGGTAAATAAACAATCTTCAAAATCGCACTCATTGTTTCTTGAGATATTTTGAAGGTTGGGGATAACAGGGTACTCTAATCCGTTTATCAAAAAGTTTAGTACCATGATGATTATGGAATATGTGCTTAAAGATGGATATCCATCAGCTAGCAAATTAAATATTGGTAAGTAACACAGCCATGGTTAAAAAGAAGTCCTATTTACCATTCTTTATATGGTGTCCTTGACAGAAATGCAGAATAGCATTGATTAAAGGCCTGATCCTTTTATCCAGCTCGAGATACGCTTCAATCAATTTTTCTCTTTCATAAAGCAAGGTTCTATCAATGCTGATATCACATAAGTTTCCGGATATAGAGTCAGTAAACAATAAAGTGCTACTACAACGTCCTGGGGCATAATGTATATCAACCATGCCAATCTCTTCTAAGCACTCGATATAGTTATCCATGTTATTCAAAGACTTATGGCGTTCTTGAAATTCTGCAAACTCATCCGGGTCTTCGCTCGAACATTTTGGAACAATAACCCCCATGTGTAAAGTACTATCGGAAGATATCAATTCCGTATGGCATGATCTAGATTTATATGAATTATGAGCAAATCAAGCTGAATTCAAACTTCCTTATACTACCTAATCAACTGAACGGATAAATCAAATTGAGGAAATAATGTTTGAACGGCAGCGTTTACTTTGTCTCTGATACTTCTTTTTACCTGGTACACGTTCTCTTTTGAAAAATAGTTTTCCTAAAATCTATGTGAGATGAAGTTTTATTTTGATCAATTTATTCTTACGTCGTAACATGCTATAATTTCTTCTGTCAGTGATTTTTCAGGACGCGCAATGACATTTTTGACATGCATCACTAAAAGTTGGGTGTCATCCAAGGGAAATGTGTTCAAAGACAAGAAGCGTCGCAAGTCTTGTTTATATTCACCGACGTTCATGATTTCAAACGACAGTTTTTGAGAAGATTTCAAGGTTTCCTCTGACACCAAAAAATTGAGTAAAGTAACATACTGAGATATCATAACATCATACTTAGATGATGCAACCTGTTTCAAATGATTCTCGACATCTTCGAAACATACCACCTTCATTTCTTCGGTATTATCACCAAAGTGGGCCATGTTGTATTGGACCATATATGCGATTAAGATTTTTAAAAGCTCGTCTATACTTTTTTTATTCATCATTTACTGAAAGAAAAGCGTAATTAATAACAGCTCCTACTTTTCAGCCATTTTATCTCAAGTTTTTCAAATGTGACATAGGATTATCAAAAAGAAACAAGTATGTTCATACAGGTTTCTATATATTTAATCATAATTGATTGGTATTCTAACTTAACAAATATCAATAGAATACGCTCCTTTTGTTGAGCAATGTCATAACGTAGCAGTAAGTTTTATCATCTTCTTCTGGCATTTAAATGAAAACCGACGTCATTTCTTGTTACGTTATAATTTAATTAGCACAGCACCTAATAAAACGGGGGAAATTGAGGCTGACTTCAATAAGTAGATTTTGTCGAAAATATTTCCCACCAGCGAAGTAATTTTAGCAATGCCTCTCATATTCAGATCAAGTTAGAGTTGAAACAAAGCTATTTGTTTTATAAATTGCTAATACAATATCCAAATGCGTCTGAATAAACCAGTATATGTCCCGAAGGATTTTCTTTTAATTTAAATAAAACTTGAATTTATGACATGTGTATGACCTCAGACAGGAAAAAGTACCCGAATTTTTTTTCGCACTTGTATTAATGGTATATTGTGGGTGCACCAATACGTGTTACTTGAAGGAGGCAGGTTTAGAAGAATATACGTTAACATGGCACATAAGCGATCTATACGAAAATAATAGTAATAAATAATTGTTACACGCATTGGTTGATGAATAAAGTTCCTTGCTCCATCTTATAACTATTAACTATAAATTTGAAATTTAAAAAAGGTTATGGCACAAGTTCAAGTTTTATTATGCAGCTGTATTCATAAAGACTGAAACAAATGATGGCATAAGCTAATACGAATCCAAGTTGCTTCCACAAATGAACTGAAGGCTCTCGCCTGCTTCCAATGCCTTCCAGGCGGCATCAAATTTTTGAATTATTAGTTCCTTAGCAAATGATTCACATACACATCTACAAAGACAATTAAATTATTGTTAAGAATGAAAACTAAATACTTACGAAATGTTGTTGGATGGTAGAAAAGGATCTTGAATGACGATAGGAGTGCTAAAATCGGGGAATCTTCTTTTACCAGCATAAAAGATGGAAATGCCGCCAGTGAGATTTTTTGGATTCGCATAGTATTTAAAAAATGCAATCAAGAGCGTCCCCAAGCTGTCATTGTTGTAACTTTTCCATACAGTCCGGTTTTCTGTCGAGATTTTCAAATAATCATCGCCGCTATGCTCGATCAGTACGCAGGTATGGTATAAAATACTCAATTCCTTTATGGTTTTACGAAAACTTCTAGTTACTACTACCCCTTTATTTTTGGTGTACAAGCAATCTTCAAAGTTACACTCTTGTTTTTGCGAGAGATTTTGAAGACTAGGAATGACCGGGTAATTTAATCCATTCATTAAAAAGTTCAACACCAAAACGATATGGGAGTAAGTACTTAAAAATGGATTGCCTTCAGCTAAAGAGTAAAAGTTTATAAAAAATAAAAAAGAAAAAAAAAATAAAAGATTACTACCTTTCTTTAAACCATGGCTTCGGGAGAAATGAAGGATGACAGTAATTAAAGGTCTGATCCTTTTGTCTAACTCAAGATACGCTCCAATCAACTTTTCCCTTTCATACATTAGCCCACTATCGACACTAAGTTTGCACAAGTTTCCGGACATTGAATCTGTAAATATAAAAACATCGCCACGTTGTGGACAATATTTTAAATCGATCATGCCAATTTTTTCGAAACATTTACTAAAGTTATCCATGTTTTTCAAACAATTGTAGCGTTTCTGGAACCTGAAAAAACCACCTTTGTCTTTAATTGAACAACCAGGGACAACAATTCCCATGTTGATCGTGCCATCGGGAAAAGCCAGTTCAGTGTGAGATGATCTACGTTCATACAAATATATTGAACAAATCGATTGAAATCTTAAATTTTTTTTTGTTACCTTATCATTTGAACAGATACATTCAACTGCGGAAAGATGGATTGAACGGCAGCGTTCACCTTGTCTCTGATACTTCTTTTTACCCGGTACACGTCCTCTTTTAAAAGATAGTTCTCCTAGACAGTCTAAATATGAGATGACATTTTATTGTGATCGATTTTATCTTACCTTGTAGCATGCTATTATTTCCTCTGTCAGTGATTTTTCAGGACTCATAGTGGCATTTTTGACATACATCACCAACAGTTGAGTATCATCCGTTGGAAATGTTTCCAAATTCAAGGAAGTATTGTTCAAGTGTCGCAGGTCTTGCTGATATTCACCAACGGTCATGATTTCATACGATTGTTTTTGAGAAGATTCCAAGGCTTCCTCTGACATTAAAAAATCTGATAGAGTAGCATAATGAGATTTCATAACATTGTATACTATTGGCGCGGTTTGCTTTAAATGATTTTTGAAATCCTCCAAACATATGACGCTCGTCTCTCCGGTGCTATTATTGAAATTGGCGATATTTTTCTCAACTGTATATACAGTAAGCTTTCTTAAAAACTTGTCAATTATGTCTTTTTCCATTGTCTTAAAAAACTAAAACATAAAGAAATAAGAGAAAAGTGTGATTGATTACATCATATATGTTTTTGCCATTTTATATCAAAAAATTTATCGTGTGACGAGGTTATCATAAATAAACAAGTGCAATTGTACTAGATTATATATGTCTACTCATGGGTAATTTATACTATAATTTGACAATTGTTATGAGAATGTTCTTCTTTTTGAATCATTCCACCACTTTTATTGTCTTTTCCAGAGTACGTAATGCGCAGCTAAATGTTCTCGATGAATATAGATCATTGTTACGCCAAAACTTACTTTCAAGTTGTCGTGCTTTAGTCTCAAAGAAAAACTTATCAGCTCAAACAATGCATACAGATTAAACGAGGCAAAAAAGATCAAGTGTTTATGAAGCGTAACAAAATAAAGCAGATTTCAAATGAGGTAAGTAAGTGTTTTTCAAGAGGTAGAATAGAGAGATGTATTACGGCTACCAAAAATAGTTTCATGGTAGCAAAAGACTGCTAGACAACTTACATGTGTTTGAAGCTTTTAGTCCTGTTCTAAGATTACTAATCACGATAAATATTTGTATTGATTTCAAAGTTGGTAAAATTGTAGCACAAGTGGGAGATTTATTATGAAGCTTTTTTGTATTAATAAGGAGAAATTTTTGTTAACAGATTAATACAACTGCAATTTGTATTCGCAAATGAATTGGAGGCTTTTTTCATCCATCAATGCCTTCCAGGCCGAATCAAACTTTTTAATTGTTTGTTCCATGGCATCTTGTTTACAACTAGATCTACAAAACCAGTTAGACTTTGCCAATAGTGACACAGCATGCATACTTACGAAATATTATTGATTGGTAAAAATGGATCCTGAATAGCAATAGGCGTTTTTAAATTTATGTACCCTCTTTTACCAGCATGAAAGATGGAGACTCCGCCAGTGAGATTATTTTGGTTAGCATAATATTGAAAAAATGCTATCAAGAGAGCTCCTAAGCTATCATTGTTATGACTATTCCAGACAGTTTTGTTCTCCATTTGAATGTCCATATTATCGTTGTCATGCTTGATTATTACGCAGGTATGATACCAGAACTTCATTTCATTTAGATATTGACGATAGCGTTTTGTCACCACGATCCCTTTATTTTTGGTGAACAAGCAATCCTCTATGTTACATTCGTTGTCTACGGAGAGTTTTTGAAGACTAGGAATAACAGGATATTCTAATCCACTCATCAGGAAGTTCAGAACCAAGATAATAAGAGGATAGGTGCTTAGGAATTTATCGCCATCATCCACTAATTCAAAAGTTAATAATGGATCCAAGTATTTTCAAGAAAAGCTGTACCTCTTTTAATATTCTGGGTTTGACAGAAATAAAGGACGAAGCTGATTAATGGCCTAATTCTTTTGTCCAAATTAAGATACGTTTCAATTAATTTTTCTCTTTCATAAAGCATGCCATGATCATCTGCAATTTGACATTTTTGTCTGGAGAAAGAATCAGTAAACATAAAAACGCCTTTACGTCTTATACAAGGCTTCACGTCAGTCATGCCAATATCTTGTAAACACTTTATGAATTTGTTCGTATCACTCAAGCAGTTGTAGCGTGCTTTAAATAGATCAAATTCATCCTTGTCTTTGATTGAACAAGTAGGAGTTATGATTCCCATGCATATAGTGCTGTCTGGAAAAGCTAATTCTGTATGGGATGCACCCTAAAATAAATCAGCAATCAAAATGTTTTTTTTGATCGATATTGGCGATATCGCTCAAAAAATCGAAAATATCGATATCTCCGATATTTTTGATTTTTTGATCGCTGATCGCAAAGCCAAATTTTCAAATCTCTATAAAAACAACCTATACATAAATAAATAGATGTAGCAATACCATGTTAATAGATAAACGTAATTTTTTAAAGAAAAAAAATGTTTATGGGGATGATAGCCAGGGTAAGAAAAAGACAACTTCAGATTACGTAAGTAAAATGAGAAAAGGGGACATGTGACTGTGGGTTTTAATGATTTTCCAACACTGCTGGTAATACTACTCTTATCGACTTTGAAAGCCTTACCAGTTTTTATTGAATATTTGTTGTTAGACCTGTCGACCCCATTCACCAACCCAATAGTAGACACAAGGTCCTTTGCATCAAAGACGACAATTTTTTTTTGCTCTGCCTCATCATGCGCGGGATGGCCTTTGAATAAGGGGAAACGTCATGATTCTTTATAACTTCACCAAAAACGAAGTTCGAGCCTGGAGTACTTTCTTAATATGTAAAGTCAAAAAAGAACAAGCGTTTACACACGTACCAGTTTTCAACAGGCCGAGACATCCAAATTACTTTAAGTGAGCACACATGAATTTAGATTTGCAAAAAAAAAAAAAAAAAAAAAAAAAAAAAATAGGAGAGTGCCTTGAATCTATCATTTACAAGACTGATGAATCAGTTGCTGTAGAAAATAATCAACGGCGTTGCCAAAAAAAAAGGAATTGAGTCTGAATTTTTTTTTTTCTTATTTAAACAAACTTTGTTTTTTATACCTTTTTATTCTTATTCTTTTTCCTCTTTTTTTCTTCCGGTTAATGTT